ACTGAAGTTTAGCATGGCTGTGCTTTTCGTAATAGAATGCTAAAGACTTTGACAATGGATCTTGGATGTTTGTTATAGGAAAATGCTTTCGATGTACATGAAGGCAGCAGTTGTAGGATTAACATTCTTGTCCACTGTATATTACCTTGGAAGACTCTTGTTAATATGTTATACTTAATATTCTCCACAGTAACTTTAGAGAGAATTTATGAGTAGTTTCTGATACAGAGGTTTAAATTAGGCTGTGATGTGATCAAAAGTCCTTTTAGCATTCTACCTCAAAGGGACACTGTTAGTATGCCTAAAATTTATTCACGTAGTTTTTTTAATTGAAAAAATACATGACATGTATCTTTTTTTAATTTCTCAGATTTTAAAGTACTATATTAAAGGGAAAAAAATGTCGAAAGCCCAGCATTCTTGCAGCAACCCTATACTAACATGAAATTGGGAGAGGGTGGGGCAGATGAGTAGAGAACTAGATTCAAGCCTCAAGCTTCCAAAGCATTTTTATAAATGGAAAATACTTAAATTATAAAACAGCTTGATATAGTGTCCTTTTTTTAAAATTCAAAACTTTTTTATTGATAATGAAGATTGCTGTTTGAGTTTTTAAACTTAATGTAGAGCAGAGAAGTATTAAAAGTAATGCTATGCTGCATTATTTAAGATTATTGGCAAATTATTTGATAGATTGTTCTTATGACTTGTATTCTGATTACAGAGAAGGATCATGAGTGTGGAATAAATACTGGATTAAATCCTTTTTCCTGGGTGTTGACTTTTCCCCAATGTGTTGATATCTTTTAAAAAGTATTTTTGTGGAAATGGGTGAAATGTTGGTAGAGTCACACTGTGGAGAGGTATATTTCAGTGAATTTGAAGCGTGTAGACTAGAATTGGACATAGGTCAGTACTCTGTAATCCTTACTAGAGTTCTTAATGGCAGTTCCCTTTGTTCAAGGGTGTTGTATTACTGGATTGTTCTTTGGATTGGGTGATTACTCAGTTTCATATCAAAGGTGCTTATCGAGGTACTTTGTACTTGGATTACATAATTGGACTTAAAAGAATTTTTATAAGTTGACTCATTTAATTTTTTTTTAGAGCAGAGAAACAAGCTCAAAGTGATTTGTTCAGTCAGTGCCAGGACTAACATGAGTGTTCCTGAAATCATATCATATTAACATTTATTTGATCTCACCTTTTATTGGCCAACTGATGGGCACTCAGAAGTCACCTGGCAAAATTGTTAAATGGAGCAAACAAGTATATTTGAAGAGCCAGCCCTTTATATGTGGGCTTAACATTTGTACCTACCTAACTCCAGAAAAATCTCATTAAATGAAGAAATTTCTCTATGAAAATGCTATGCCTTTTTTTTTTTTTTGAAGAGAAGATTATCATCTTAAATTGAGATCGAGTTGACACGACACAGAAATTAGAAGACTACTCTTGAGTAATGAAAAGCAGTAGATAATTCACATGGAAAATATTTTGGGTGTACCCAAATTAAAGGTGCTACTCCTTGGAATATAGTTCTACCTGAAATGTTAATTCAGTGGTGTATTTTAAGTAATATGTGAAAAGGATTTACTTCAAATGGAGGTGAAAATTTCTATCAAGCTGCATTTGATTTCCTGTGACATTTAAAGTTAAGTTTGCTTTTGAGGAACATTTTGATAGAACATGCCATAATACTAGTTAATGTCGAATATATTCAGGATTAATTCTTCCGACACAAGAAAACTTGGAAAGTTTTTGATAGAGTTTAATATAACTAGCAGCCTCCATCCAGTTTTCTCAACTTACTGAAATGGTTTCATACTTATCATACTTTTCATCTGTTTTCTAATGTTCAGTTTATAATTAAATAATATGCATGGGCTAGTTGAGTATCAATCTTGAGATTTTAATAGAAAATGTCCATATAAATGCTCAACTAATCTTAGTTAAATTTAGTTACTTAATTCTTAACCTTTGAGTTATGGGTCCCTTTTTAGGAATCTAATGAAAGCTACAGATCATGTCTAGAAAAATAAAAGGGCTCGCCCTGGCTGGACAGCTCAGTTGGTTAGGGTGTTGTCCTGATAGGCCACAGTTGGGGTTTGATCCCTGGTCAGGGACATACAAGCAGCAACCAATGAATGCATGAGATGAAGCAGCAAATCAAAACTATGTAAAATAAAAGGGCTCAAATTTGCACAGAATTTCAGAAGGACTAAACTTGGGCTTTTATGCTATTTACTTACTGATTTTTACCAACCTGTAATTAGGCGTCCATTAGTTAGGAATGAATAGCAAGTTACTGGGAGAACTGCAAGACAACAAAAGTTTGGGTTTGGGGGCGGGGGGTGGTGAGAGGAGTTAAAAAATGAAATTAGAACAAAAAGGTAATAGTATTCACTTATTTCCCTTCTGCAAAAGAGTTTCCTTGGTGAATATAAGTAGTTTATTTGAACATTGAGATGAGGCCCAGTTTGTAAGTTTTGTTGAACTGATTCCAATGTGTGATCTTGATTATACTCTGACCAGTTCCCTGGTTACATTGGCCAATTGATGAGCTTAAACTTGGTTTAGGTCCTAATCTGATTCGGTCGTAACTTCTGAATTCCTCCTTGAATGACTGACCCAATTACAGGACTTCTTTAGTGGAGCTGATTTTATGGGGAAGGAAACATTTCTCCCCGGCAGTTTTGGCCTCTGAAATCCCTCCATTCCATTCTAAGGGCCACCAGCTCTTTGACTTCTGAAGAGGTGTTTTTCATTTTAGGATCACTGTCAACATTTGTTACTGTGGGAACATGACAGCATGAATACAATCAACTGAAAAAAATACCAGCATCATAGCTGACTTCAAACCCATTGTTCTGTTCCTCCACTTTGATAGTCGAGATTACATATCTGTGACATAATCATGATCCGTAATGTAATGCACCGGCGAAGTGCTCAGGTTGGTGGGGGTGTGGGGCCCGATGTCTTAGCCTATTGCAAACATGAGTTCTACCTGTTCAAGGTAAACCGCTGGCCTCGGTTCCCAAGTCCACCTTCATTACTCTACATTGTGCTGCTGGAGCCAAGCCCTTACTATTTCTCTTGCCTGCTGGCACAGTACCACACTGGTCAGTAGAGGATGCAGAAGCAAACCGCTGCCCGGTTCTGGTGAGGCTTTCTAATTCTGAAGTGCATAGGACCTTGGCCCGTCCAGTGCCCCCTCACAGGAGGCTGTTTCCCAGCAAGTTTCTGGTGCTTCCTAGTAAGTTCAATGGCACCCCTGTGGGTGGCCTCCTAAGGAGTTTTGTTGACACCCCTTCCTCTCTAGCCCCACACTCCAGCACCTCAGTAAAGAGTGGGTCACCGCCACGCCCTCTCCAACAAAGTCTGCATGGGAGTCTCACAAGGGAATCTCTTCCAAAGTTGTTCCTCGTCGGGTCCTCGACCTAGAGGTGGTGGCTGCTCCTGTAGCCACTATTCCTGTATTCTAAGGTGCCGGAGGCCGGTCCATCCTTGTTGCTTGACACAGTCGCTGCAGGGAAGAAACATCTGCACAGCATATGTTTCAAGGGACCTGGCATATACAGCATACTGTTCTTAATATGTTTGCTCCCCCTTTTTTAACGCTATGTGTTATAACCAGAACCACCTCCCTTAGGTTGTTTCCCCACGTGGGGATTTTTCCCTGGAGTTAGGGATTAACAGGACTAAGGAAGAGAATAAATCAGTAAAACCTCCTAGTTTTACAGAAATACCATGTACTACTTATGAAGAACTTGGACTAAGACTGTTGGCAATAAATTTGGGACTTGTTGGGCCCACATCTCCAGGGGTCTGCCCACCAGGGAAAGCACCAAAGCCTATACCCCTGGAGACCCACTGACACAGGGCAGTCCCAGGGAAGGCAAGCAGGGGGCTGGGAGGACATGACCTTTACTGGGTAGGATAATCTCCTTCAGTCACTTCCTTGTAGCCTATCAGTAGAGCAGTAGAATAGTGACCTTGGAATAGCCCTTATAATGGAACACAGAGATTAACCTAGACAAGGTTAAAATCAACAGAACTAGATAGAGACAGGATTTTTGGCAAAGGTCAGATAAGAAACTATGGAAATGAAACAAGAACTGTAGAAGGTTACCCAAAGCATACCATGATGTAATTATAGAGGCATGCTTATAGGATCAAATAGTATAAATACAGATGTAACAGGACAATAAAAAGAGAACCTGGCTATGCTGATCAACTGAACACTGTCTCCATGTCATTCCTTCTTCACCAACTCCGTCCACACCTTTGGGAAACCCTGGACCTGCTGGGGCAGGACCCCAACACTTAGGCATTCTCTTTACCCTTAGTAATTAATCCCCTGTTACTGATTAGTAATTCTTTACATCAAAGTTTCCCTGTTCCAATTACTGTTTTCTGTCTCCTGACTGGCCCCTGGCTGTTACAGTGGATTAAGATGCCAGTCACAAGGGTGCCCCTCCATAGGCTGGTTGATAACCCCTTCTGTAGTTTAGTATAAAGGGCTCAACCAGACAGGTTGAGAATGATGTAAGCGAATCAGACTGGCTCCTAGAATTTTGCCTGACAACTAAGTACAAATTGTCCAGTCCTCAAAAGAATGGGCAAGACTTGGATAGTTGACATTTGAGGATGCCCATTCTCTCTTCATTTTGTTTTTTCTTTTTATCATGGTCTGTGTTTCTCTTTGGAATCCACAAGTCTAACTGGATTCTTTTATTGTAGTCGTCAGGGATTCCTGATCAGGGAAGGTCTTCCTGACATTTTCTTGACAATTCACTCTTATCTATCTGTGCTCAGCACCGGTAAGGAAATGTCATCTACTTGGCTGGACTTGGAAAAGAAGTGGAAAAACACATTTTATTTATTTATTTATTTATTTATTTTTTACAGAGAGGAAGGGAGAGAGAGAGAGAGTTAGAAACATCGATGAGAGAGAAACATCGATCAGCTGCCTCCTGCACATCTCCCACTGGGGATATGCCCGCAACCCAGGTACACGCCCTTGACCGGAATCGAACCTGGGACCTTTCAGTCTGCAGGCCGACGCTCTATCCACTGAGCCAAACCAGTTTCGGCGAAAAACAAATTTTAGATACAATTGTTTTTCCTTGCTGGGATGGTCTGTCCAAGGGCAGAGGTCCCGTCTGGGTGTGGTGGGAGAACGGAGTGTGAATTAGGGCCACCATCTATCTCCTAGTGTCCAGTCTTCCTGTACAGTCAGCCTTACCCCATGTTCCTTCTACATCGCTAAACAACTCTATTCCCCCTACAGTGGCTACTTTAAATCTTTGCTAGTTTCTTAGCTCATTCTCACTTCACATACTGAGACTATCAGGGAAAAAGTCCCTCAACTTGCTGCCTTCTCTCTGCTATGATAGCTGGAGCTTTATCTTGGACAAATAAGAAAGGGCAGATGCCTGGCCATTGTGGCTCAGTGGTTGAGCATTGACCTATGACCTGGGGGTCATGGTTCAATTCCCAGTCAAGCGCACATGCCTTGTTGCAGGCTTGATCCCTAGTAGGCGGTATGCAGGAGGCAGCCAGCAGATCAATGATTCTCTCATCTTTAATGTTTCTATCTCTCCCTCTCCCTTCCTCTCTGAAATAAAACAATAATTTTTTTTAAAAAAAAGGCAGACTAGGAGATTGGAAAGGAGCCTGGGTCTTTGAGGACTCCTTGGAAAAGAGTGGCCTCCACTATTTTATATCAGAAAGAAACTATCCTTTATCCACGGGTTATCTTTGCACCTTTGCTGAAAATCAATTGTCCTTCTATGCGTGGGTCTATTTTTGGACTTTGCTCCATTGATTTATTTATCTTATCTTGATGCCAATTCTTGTCTTTAATCTTGCCTCAATTACTGTAGCTTTAGAAGTCTTCACGCCTGGGAAGGTCAGTCCAGCCCTCTTTACCCCATCTTGGTTGGAAGCAGAGATCAGACTGATGCGCTTAATCCCAGCTCCACCATTTAGTACTTGTGTGATTTCATATAAGTCAGTTAATAATGCTTATTAGTCATGCATGCACTTGTCTATTGTTAGAATTAAATATTATAGTGCTTGGATTAAACGTTAATTATTATTAAGACCGAACTAGGGCCCTATTATGGTGTGGCTCAGTGGGTTGGGTGTCGTCCTGTTCACTGAAAGGTTAGCAGTTTGGTTCAGTCGTACAAGCCCGGGTTACGGACTCAATCCCCTGTAGGGGACACGCAGGAGGCAGCCCATCAATGTTCCGTTCTCACATCGATGTTCCTCTTTCCCCTTCTCTCTTCCTCTCTCTTTCAAAACAAAAATCAATAAAAATATATTTTTTTAAAAAGAGCCTGAACTACGTACGGAAGATGGCTCTGGGAATAAACGGTATTGGAACTGCGGGGTGGAACTGGGGATGGGTAAACTTGCTTCGCTCATAAAGGACCTCCCGCCGTCTTTCCCAGCTCAGGGACATGCTCCCGCCTTTTCATCTTTGTTTATTTTTTGAGATATAAGTGACATGCAACACGGCGTAAGTCTGAGGTGCACACCGTGTTGGTTTGACACATTTACATATTACAATGTGATGACTACAGTAGCATTAGCTAAACACCTCCACATCACCGCATTTCCATTTCTGTGTGGAGACTGGTTAAGATCTGGCCTCTTCCCTTTGAGGTGTGTAAAGCAGTATCATGGATGAACTCACTGCGTTGGATCTCAGGACTTAGTCATCTGCCCCTTGTAAGTTCGTACCCCTCAGCAATACCTCCCTGTGCCCCGGCCCAGCCCCCTGCCCTGTCGTCTTCCATAGTGAAGTTTGGCAGCAAATTGCCCTGGACAGCAGGCTGATCCCTTCCTACAGGGACAAGAACAATAACCCAGGTGAAAAGGGATAAATAAAACCAGCCAGGAGCCCCACATTGAAAAGGATCATCCCGCTATCTCAACAATTTTCTGCGCAGCTTTGTAACATTTTTATGTAGAAACAAATGTTTTTTTAAAAAGAAAAGGAGAGCATTCTCCGTGTTCCCTTCAAACCCAGGTCACAGCAGCTTTTCGGCTGGCTTGGCCTGGCTTTCTTCAACTCTCTCTTTTTTTCAGGCTTTGCAGTACCTGTCCCTGCCGGTCTCCAGGCCCCCAGTTACAGGTCAGCTCCACACCGAAGGGGAGGAGCTACTGGCCAGGTTCTGTTCCCAGCATCAGGGCCCCACATCCCAGGGACCTACAGTGCCTCCTGGGGACCAAAGAGGACCCCATCTCTCCGTCGTGTGCCCTGTGAGTGCCGTGTCCAACACCATGGATGGCGGGCCCAAGAAAGGTTTGGCTTTGATTGGATTCAGTCTTCTCTGCCTTAAAATGGTGAGTTGATCATTCTGACCTTCTTGCAACTATTTTGGGGGAGGCAGGGGGAAGACATTCATTACCTGTCTCTTTTAGGGCCCAGGGGGTGAGGAGGAAGAAATCGAAATACCCTTGAACCATACTAAAATTGTGTATGTTTGTATATTTGAAATGTGATGCCATTTACTAGGGAAAGGAAACAAAATTATCATTGTATTTTAAGAACAAAGATTTCTGAAAAATCTGTCAGTAGCGACTGACTTAGTTCAATAGGCAGATTCAGGGAGAAAAATGAAATAGTAATGTGACCCTTCTCCAGCCTCTAAGCGCTATTTAGGATTGCTTTGTGGTGGATTTGAGTGTGCGGAAATGACTTGTGCAAATGAACACTCCGTCTGGAGCGAAAGATTGCTCACGTCATGTGTAAAATGTGATGAATTTATTACCCCTTTGATTGATGTTTTTACATTTCCCCAAATGGCGTTTTTCTTTATGGTTCTAATTTTCCAAACTTTCCTTTTCAGGTTGCTTCAGCAAAAACAGGTACAGTTTCCTAAATTGCAAGCTCCCCCTCCCCATGTTTGATTTGAATTTTCATTGTGCATTCTTGGCTACCCTGAACTGTAAAGGCTCTCCCAGAAAAAAGTATTCAACGTTTTCTGAACATTCACACTGTGAGCGGAGCTGGTAAGACAAATATACGGATCAAACTTAAAAAGTAAGTCCTCCCCCTAGCCAGTTTGGCTCCGTGGATGGAGCATTGGCCTTCAGACTGAAGGGTCCTGGGTTCGATTCCTGTCAAGGGCACATGCCCAGGTTGTGGGCTCGATCCCCAGTAGGGGGTGTGCAGGAAGCAGCTGATCAATGATTATCTCTCATCAATGATGTTTCTATTTCTCTCTCCCTCTTCTTTCCTCTCTGAAATCAATAAAAATATTTTTTAAAAAAAGATAAGTCCTCAAAAAAAATACAAAAGAACAAAGATAAGTCCTCTTAAGATGTTCTTATTGAGTACTAAGTGTTATAGAGCAGTGGTTCTCAACCTTCCTAATGCCGCGGTCCTTTAATACAGTTCCTCATGTTGTGGTGACCGCCAATTTCATTGTTACAAATTGAACATAATTAAAGCATAGTGATTAATCACAAAAACAATATGTAATTATATATGTGTTTTCCGATGGTCTTAGGCGACCCCTGTGAAAGGGTTGTTCGACCCCCAAAGGGGTCGCAACCCACAGGTTGAGAACCGCTGTTATAGTGTCATGTAGTTTGGGTTTTCTCAAACAGAGGTAGCCATCAGTGAAATATTACAAAACCATCATTTCAGTCCAAGAAACAAAATTTCAGTCATAGTGAGGAGTCTAATTTATATAACTTCTTATTTGTCTTCTGAGGAATTAGAGCAGAAACCTAGAAATGTTTTTTAATTAAAATCTTAAGATTCTCCACTTCCCCCCCCCCACTTTAATAAAAAATATTTTATACTTCTAATATTGCATCCTTAAAATATAGACAATGGTACCTTGGAGCTGGAAAAAGGCTTTTAAAGAAAACCCCACTATTTTATTACTTTTTTAAAAAAAATAAATGACTGAAGGCACGGATAAGTTCCCTAAAGGCCTCTTCTAGCTCATACATTCTAGAAACCTAAGTCCCCAGACTGGAAATGTATATTCAGTGGGATTTAGATGATCTGGAGGGATCTTATAACATCGATTATATCACCAGTAAATTCTCACACCAATTCAACATAAGAATAATTTTATCTTATTATTTTAAAAAATACGTTTTTATTGATTTTTAGAGAACAAGGAAAGGAGAGAGATAGAAAGATAGAAACACAGATGAGAGAGAACCATCGATCAGCCGCCAGACTACAACCCAGGCATATGCCATGATCAGGAATTGATCCGGTGACCCCCCTGGTTCATGGGTCAACACTCAACCACTGAGCCACACCAGCCGGGCAAGAACAATTTTATTATTTTATCTATACCCCACTAAAGGAAGTATAAATAAGGCAGTTTCAAATTTGATATTAGACATATGGCTGAGCCATAAAATGCATGCATCTACCATAGGTTTTTAAAAATCATTTTATGCTTGATTCTTATTCACTCATTCTTGAATCGATCAGAAAGTTATGAGAAGGACTGAGTAGCCACATACAGAGTGATTGTGTTATAATTGCTTTGAGTGGACAAAATGTAGCGCTGCTGTCTCTTGGAGGCCCCAGGACGCACTCACGGAGCCCCGGAAGGAGGCACTTTTTAGAGTCCCTCACTATTAGGGGGGCCGGCTGAGATCCGATGGTGGCTGGCGTCCATTGACTCGCCCTGGCTGTTTCACAGATGGGCGTGTGTTCGGGATTGTGCAGGAGGTTTCCTTCGGATGTATGTCTTTTGATGCTCCTCGGGCTCTGGCGTCAGCTGTTTGTGATCTGTGTCTTGGCGCCGGGGCCATGCGGGCTCATGTAGACCCTGAGCTGGGAGAATGCAGATGCTGTGCATCCGGGGCCTCGCTCCTGACTCATGGGAATGGCTGACAAACGCTTTCTCTCCCATCAACGCGCCAGTGGGCCAAGCACAGAACCGAGACAGAGGGAAGGGCTGCTGATGTGTGGAACCTGCCCCCCACGCAGGCTGCTCTTCTCCTTAGGGGACAGGACAGAGGTGTTGATCTTTTGTTGCTGTGCCTGTTCAGATCCTGCCCTACCACCAAGTGAAAAATGGGCACAACAGGCAACCTGTCTCTCCAAGAGCCTGTGTCGGCCCCAGACTCCCCAGAATCTCGCTTTCCCTGACACCCCTCCCCGGCACTGCCATGCCGACTGGCTTTTCCAAACCAGAACTCGCTCACCCTGTTACACACACACACACACACACACACACACACACACACACGCACACACATGCACACACATGCACACACACACACACATGCACACACACAAGCCCTTCCTACCTTGCAAAGTCCCCTTACATACACCCTTTCCCTTCATCTTTATAGCAGTCATGAGATGTGGGTATTTAAATATGTAGATATTATTAACATTCCACATTCTCCAGAGAGAATACGGAGACTAGAAAAGGTGAAATGACTCGTACATGTTCACAAGCAAAAGTAAATGGCTCAGCCCTGGACGGCGTTCCCAGTGGTTAGAGCATCGGCCCGAGCACCGAAGGGTCTCACATTCGAGTCCCTGTCAAAGGCATGGACCTGGGCTGTGGTTCACTCCCCATCCCTGATCAGGATGCGTGCAGGAGGCAAGCAGTCAATGGGTCTCTCTCACATCAACGTTTCTGTCTCCCACCCCCTCCCCTTCCTCCCTTCCACTCTCTCTCTCTGAAAACCAATGGATGAAATATCCTCATGTGCGGATTTAAAGAAAAAGAAAGTAAAAAGCTCCAGCCCAGAGTTCCCAAATCCAAACCTCTGCTGTTCCCCACCACCCGGCCCTGAGCTCCGCGGCTGAAACCCGCTTCCCGTAGGACTCCTGGGTAGTACGCCAACCCCAGCTCAGTTCAGCAAGTTTTGTGTAGGCTTCAGGCCCCTTGACAGGCCTGCAGGGAGTTCGTCTGTGACCTACTAGTTGTTTATATTCCTCTCCACCCTCTCCCCATGACTCTCAGGCCTCCTGTGTCTGAGTGGCTAACTTGGTTGCCATTTTCCCAGGAAGTTATTCCATCCCAGTGAGCAAGTCTGGCTGACGTAGAAGATAAACTATGGGGACAAAGGAAACAGAAGGAGCTGAGAGACACCACAAATGCAGAGGAAAGATAGCAGATAACACAGGACCAATAGCAGGAAAGGGATGCGGGTGTGGGAGCGATGAAAGGATGAGACCCTCTTTGAAATCTCAGAGCGCAGGTGGGAGAGGGGGAGCGGGTGGGAAGAGATCAACCAAAGACCTTGTATGCATATATGCATAACCCATGGGCACAGACTCTAGGATGGTGAGGGCCTGGGCAGGGGGTGGAGGTGGGCTAGAAGAGGTCAATGGGGAAAAAAGGGGGCATATGTAATACTTTCAACAATAAAGATTTAAAAACCCCTGGCTGGTTTGGCTCGGTGGATAGAGCATCAGCCGGTGGACTGAAGGGTCCCAGGTTTGATTCCAGCCAAGGGCACATGCCTGGGTTGTGCACTTGATCCCCAGTAGACAACGTGCAGGAGGCAGCCAATCCATGGTTCTCTCTCATCATTGATGTTTCTATCTCTCTCTCCCTTTCCCTTCCTCTCTGAAATCAATAAAAATATATTTAAAAGAAAAAAGAAGAAAGAAAGAAAGAAAGAAAGAAAGAAAGAAAGAAAGAAAGAAAGAAAGAAAGAAAGAGGAAGTCCCTGCTGGGACTTTCTATGCTGCAGGAGAGGCAGGGGTGGGGTGGGGTAGGGGAGTGGGGGGTGGGGGGAAGGAACGGGGACATGGCGCTTCCTGCAGAGGCAGCTTCTGCTGGCAAATGGCTGGGATGGGCAGGCAACTCCCCCTCTCCCCCCTCCCCCCCACCCCAGGGCATAAAGAACCATCATCATTTCCCCGCGATGGCAGAGGGGACAGTCCTGGGTGACGTTCAAGGAATGCCTGGCCCGCGCACAGTGCGGACTTTGTTCATCCTTGCAGCATGGCTGTTTCTGAGACGCTGCCAAGGCCAGCTCTCTGGGCTATTGGTGCAGAAGGAGAGGGTGTCTGTGCCATGCACACGGGGGCTTGGCAGGTGGGGGCTGCCGGGGGAGGGGGTGACACTGGCAAGTCACCCATTGGGTCTGTGTCTACTCTTCCTCCTCTTTGCCCTATAGTTTCGTTCTGCCTTTTCATTTGGAGTTTGGCATGTTGTGATTTTACCCAGCAAATATTTGCTCCACGTTACACGGAAAAGGCCAGGTGCCTGTTTCAAGCTAGCTATTTTTATTTGACCTTTCCTTCCACTTGGATCAACATCCGGGGCATTTTTGTGCCTGTGGGATTTTTGCAAAAGTAGCAAATCTGATGACCATGCTGTGCCTCCCACCCCGTGTTGAAAGTCTAGGAATGCCTTGTATGAGCTTGTGGCATGAACAGTCATAGCTCCCTGGCAACCCATGGCCAGGCCTAGGGGAGGAGGGACCAGAGCAGCCTGAGGCAGATATTTTGATAGAGAAAGGGTGAACAAAGTTGATTTTTATTTTATATAAAACAATCTGAAAATGGTCCCATTCTAATAATATGAAAGAAATACGATGGCGTGGTTATACAACAAAACTCAATTCTCCCTGCTTCCTCTATTAGATTACATGCATGAATGGAGACTCAGCCACGGCAAGGTGGAGAGGGAGGTGGACTCTCGCTGCCCTCAGTGGAGAGTAGTCATGGGGCTGGGGGTGGAGATAGTGGCAAAGCAGGCTGGGAAATTACCAGGATGCCAAACTAGAGTAGAATCTTCTGGAATAAAGCCCCTCAAAGCCCCTCTCCCTCCTCTCAAGATCTTTCATCATTCCCTACTCTTATTTCACTCTTAAAAATACAGAAGGTGCAAATTATCCCAGAGGCAAGTGGGGGAAAACCTCTTTGAAATCTCATTCCTGAATGGAAGGTTTGAGCTTTCTGGCTCTCTTTTGGAAAGTAGATTTCCCTTTCTTTTTCTCTGTTTCTTCTTTTTTTAAAAAATATTTTTATTGCTTTCAGAGAGGCAGGGAGAGGAAGAGAGAGAGAGAGATAGAAATATTAATGATGAGAGATAATCATTGATCCGTTGCCTCTTGCATACCTCACACTGAGGATCGAGCCCGAAACCAGGACATGTGCCCTGACCAGGAATTGAACCGTGACCTCCTGGTTCGTAGGTTGATGCTCAACCACTGAGCCACGCGGGCCCGACTGTTTCTTCTTCTTCTTTTCAATCTGGAAAGTCAGGCCAGAGTCTGTGTCTGAAGGATGATGCAAAAATGGTGTAGTTTGCCAAGTAAAATGATGAAGGAAGTCGTTCTTATAGGTGTCCTAGCTAATGGTCAACTTCAAAATCTCTTTCAGCTCCTGAAATACCCACTATTGACCAGGCATACTCAAAAATCAGCAACAGTATCACCGTGGAATGGGCTACCGTGCCAGGCGCCACCAGTTACCTCCTCACGGCCAAAGATGGGGACACCGTCATTGAAACCACAGTGGCCAATTCCCCGGGCACTGTGTCGGGCCTGAAGGCTGCCACCTTGTACCAAATCACCGTCAGCTCCATCAGTGCTGCTGGGCGGAGCCAGGCGTCACCTCCCACGCAGGCAAAGACAGGTAGCTGGACGCCCAGCCTCCTCCGAGCCACCGCTGGTGACCTGGACAGTTACACTGACGCTGCAATGGCACCATGCGGTTCTGTGTTGCGTGAGTCCCTATGATTCAGGGCCCAGAAGTCAAAGCCACCAATGACGTCCTTTGGGAATGTGGTTATCTGTGGAGAAGGTGGCATTTAAACTCCAGATGCTTTGGGAAATAAGCTTTCCTGGGCATCTTGAAAAGCATCCCTGCTTGTAAATCTCTGAAAAAGGGATTTCTATTTTTAACCCGTTATCCATCAAGACCGGGCAGAACAAAGGGCCCAGAAGGGCGGCTGCTGCACTTTGCCTTACTCAGAATAAAAGCGTCTGTGGAGTTTGTCATCAGCACAACTTAAATAGATTTGATAAATTTGTGCCCAGGCGTATTTCTGACAGGTTGTCGGGGTAGTAAAATGGAATGAACCACTATTTACCCCACGGACTTATGTGATGATTACAGGGATGTCTTATTTAATTTCTCACCATCCTCCAGCTTAAAGTAATGCCTAATATTAGAATTTCTCTGTTCCCCATTCCTGGGATGAACTATTTGTAATGAACACACATTTAAATAGCAATTCTTGTGTTTTTATTTAAATGGCAAGTCTTTTTTTTAATAGCAATTCTTCATGAAACTCTGCCTTGAATCTTTTTTTGCAAAGCAAGTCATTATTTCCTAACATGGCTAACCCACCTCAGACTACTTCCTCCTAAATCAGAATTGTTCCTCCACCAAACCTCTGTAATGCAAACACACGCGTTTTTGCCTTTGTAGTGCTGGCCGCACCGGTTCTAGAAGTGAGCTCTCCAAGTTCAGACTCTATCCTCGTGCAGTGGGAAGCCGTATATATGGCCACCGGGTTCTCTGTGTCCATCATGCAAGCCAATGGTTTGGGTAGAATATGGAAGGAGAATACCACAAACACCACCTTGACATTCACCAGTTTAGACGCTGGGACGCTGTACACCATCAAGGCCTATGCGTGGAATGCCAACGGGACCCCTGGGGATGACTCCACCTGCAACCAGAGAACGAGTAAGACTTCCCCGCTCACTTGCCTCAAGCTCCTTTGTGGTTAAGGAGAGGGGCTGTGCCTGTGTTGAGTGATGAGCACAGAGCAGCTGGCAGCAGCTATTCGAATGTATGATGTTTATTTATAGTTTCCTGCCTGTCCCCCTGGGCATTTTAAATGCTTACTACATGAACAAAGAAATGCTCATTTCAGAGCAGATGTAACTAGTTAAGATGACGTCATGGGGTAGGCCCTAATCCAGTATGACTCATGTCCTTATAAAAAGAGGGAAATTTGGACCCAGACATACACATGCAGGGAGAATGCCATATGAACCCCAGGGCCAGTGTCTACAAGCCAAGGAGAAAGGCCTGGAAGGCAGCCTTTTTCGCAGCCCCTGCCAACACCTTCATTTCAGACTTCTAGTGGCCAGGACTGGGAGACAATACATCTCTGTTGTTTAAGCCACTTTTTATTTATTTTTTTAAAATATATATATTTTATTGATTTATTTTTTAGAAAGGGAGAGAGAGATAGAAACATCAATGATGAGAAAGAATCATTGATTGGCTGCCTCTTGCACCCCCCTACTGGGGATCGAGCCCGCAACCCAGGCAGTGCCCTTGGCTGGAATCGAACCTGGGACCCTTCAGTGTGCAGGCGATGCTCTATCCATTGAGCCAAACCAGCTAGGGCTTTAAGCCACTTTTTAAAAAAATATATATTTTTATTGATTTCCTGTAGGAAGGAGGGGGAGAGAGATAGAAATATCAATGATGAGAAAGAATCTTTGATCAGCTACCTCCTGCACGCCCCACACTGGGGATCGAGCCTGAAACCTGGGCCTGTGCCCTGACTGGGAATCGAACTGGGACTTCCTGGTTCATAGATCGATGCTCAACCACTGAGCCACACCGGCTGGCTGTTCAAGCCACTTGGTTACAGCAGCCCCAGCAAAGTCAGGCTAAATCCAAAGTCTCTAAAACTGAAAGCACGGGGACATGAACCAAGAGAAAGGCTTTGGGAAACCAGTCCCCCCTAGCACATGGCTCTCCCTGCTCCCCAGCCTGGTGTAGACGCCCCTCCTGCCACTCTCTGGCCCCCCGCCCTCCTATCTGAGCACTTGTTAGGCCAAACCTTACTCAGGTTCTTGCGGCTACTGCCGAAATCTGAACTGTTTCTCCAAAATGCAGGTCCCCGGGCTCCCGCCGACATTCAAGTCTCTTTTGACAGCGGGGCTCTGGCCGCGTCGGTTTCCTGGGCCCCCACGGAAGGAGCCTCCAACTACACTGCGCTGGCTCGGAGCGACTCCTCCCAGCTGAGCTGCAGCACGGCCTCCAGCGGCTGCACCATCTCCTCCCTCCGCTGCGGGACCGAGTACCTGATCTCCGTGTCGGCCAGCAACGATGCCGGGTCCAGCAGGTTGGCTTCGGCGGGGACCCTGAAAACCAGTACGTAACCGCCCTGGCCGGTTTGGCTCAATAGTTAGAGCGTCAGCCCACAGACCAAAGGGTCTCAGGTTCGATTCCGGTCAAGGGCATGACCTGGGTTGCAGGCCCCATCCCGGTCCAGGTTGGGGCATGTGCAGGAGGCAACCAATCAATGTGTCTTTTTCACATCAATGTTTTTTTCTCTCTCTTTCTCTCTCTCTCTCCCTCTCCTCCCTCCCTGTCTTCCACTCTCTCTAAAAATCAATGGAAAAATATCCTTGGGTGAGGATTAACCAAAAAAAACCCAAAAAAACCGATAGGTAACCAAGAGCGAGGTCACCGTGGGGCTGGCGAGCTAACGTGACGGCCATGCCGACACAGGTGCGTGAACAGGAGAGCCTGGTCCAAAGGAAAGCCTTGAGTTGGACGTGCCGATGCGGTTGAGTAACGTGGACAGCGAAACCAGACACTGGGCATTAGGAGAAGCGCGTCTTTGAAAAGCGGAGGCCGGGCTCCGAGCCCAGATCTTCCCTTGCTTGGTTCCTCTCCCACCTGTCAGGCCGCACGGTTCCTAAGACCCAGGGTGAGTCGAGCTCAGTTCGGACCTTGCAGCACAGATGGTGGCCTCTTCCTGGCATCGCCTTTCACAGACCCAGGCCTGGGGGTGCTCGTTTTTAAGATAAAGAAGGGCTGTCCGTCGTTCTGGATAGGTGTCTAGCTATCTTACCATTTCCATTCTTATCAAAGGCGTCAGGCATGCAGATGCGGAGGTTTGCTCCTCTGTTGAGAAATGCTACGTGTTTGGTGAAGACCTACGATGTCCCAGGCATTCTAAGTGCATCGTTTTATTTAATTCTCAACGAGGCAGGTTCTGTTATCTCCTTTTTAGATAAGAAAATGGAAGCTCAGAGACGTTAAATAATTTTTCCAAGGTCTCAGTGATGGAACATCAGTTTGCGTGATTTGACTTCTCTAAGCCAAAGAAACTGTAGCTAACTGCAAGGATGTCCACTTTACCCCAAATTCAGAATTATGTCTTTCTAAATGTAAAAGGGTTTTTTTGGAGGGGGGAGAGGGTAAGAGATCAACCAAAGGACTTGTATGCATGCATATAAGCATAACCAATGGATACAGACAAGGTGGGGGGAGAACATGTGCTGGGGGGTGGGAGTGGCCAGGGAGAGGTCAATAGGGGAAAAAGGAGACATATGTGCTACTATATGTAATACTTTAAACAATAAAATAATTAAAAGAAAAAAAGGTTTTTGAGCAGGGAGGAAGAGAGCCGCCACCAAGCCGGCACACCCTTCAGATCATAAATAAAATAATAATTAAATTATGTTAAATAAAATCATAACTATGTTAAAGTCGCTGATCATAAGTTGGTGACTTGGCTTCTCTTTGAACAACTCCAATTCAATGTGGATGGCACATTGGAAATGATTAGCAGAAGCTGGGAGAGGGAGAGACCGGAAATACACTTTCACTTTCTTTTGCCCAAAATGACTAAGGCCAAGGGAAAGGGAGAGGCTCCCGCTGTATGTCCTCTAGGCCTTGGAGAAAACACAGAGTTGTTCCTTTGGCCACATACATGTGAATCTACAGGAAAGGTGATTGGCAGACGTATCAAGGGGATGGGCACTGTTCAGGAAGGAACGCCCACAAATGCCACCAGGATCCACTGGCAGAGTCTGCAGTATCAGCCGGCACGCAGGAGGCATTGTTGTAAACAAACAAGTTAAGGGCAAGATTCTCGCCAAGAGAATAAAGGTATGCATTGAGCATATTGAACACGCGAAGAGCCGAGATAGCTTCCTGAAAGGTGTACAGGAAAATGATCAGAAAAAGAAGGAAGCCAAAGGGAAAGGCTCCTCCTGCCAGAGAAACTGTGGGAACCAATGGAAAGGGGCCTGAGCTGCTGGAACCCCTCCCTGTGAATTCATGGCATGATGAGTGGAAAATAATAATCATCATAAGAGACCTCTGTCCTGATAAAAATGTTTCTCTTAATTAAGTAGAAGTGTGGTGTCCCCTCCCCCCAAAATATTTAAATAAAATTTTGTGTCCTAAAAAAGAAAAAAGAAAGAAATACACTTTACAAAGCCCTGCAGTTCTGAGTTAGTCATTTAATGCCCGTGAGAACCAGCCAGTGTTTTCCATCCTGGCTGCACGGTAACAGCATCCGGAGAGCTTTTATAAAGTCCAGAACCCAGGCCCCACTGAAGACCAGTGAAGTCGAGTTGCTGGGAATGGAGACTGGATATGAGTAGTTTGTAAAAGCTCCCCAGTCGGCTCTAACATGCTCCAGGGTAAGTGCCATTGACACAGCCCCCCACAGTCATCAGTCCAGGAGGCACTACTGTAGTTTGTATGCAACAGTACATGATCATGGAACGGCCTTGACTTACTAATAAGAGAACTATATTTAGAAAGTTCTACGTGTTTCCTGAGGCTGAGAATTGTGTAGTATATTTTGGGAAGATTTCTATTAGAGATGACTAAAGTTTTAAAAGCTTAGCCCAGCCAGCCAATGCCGCTCAATGGTTGAGCATCGACCCCTAAACCAAGAAGTCACGGTTTGATTCCTGGTCAGGGCACATGCCCAGGGTTTCGGGCTCAATCCCCAGTAGAGGGCATGCAGCAGGCAGCTGATCAATGATTCTCTCTCATCATTGATGTTTCTCTCTCTCTCTCCCTCTCTCATCCTCTCTCTGAAATCAAAAGTATTTTTAAAAAACAAAATTTTGAAAGCTTAGAGCTTGAAAGAATGAACTTCAGTTGAATTCATTCCTTCAGAGGACTTCATTCTGTGCTGATCCTGGCATTGCCTTAACGCAGAAACAGCATTGAACAATCCGTGACTGTTTCCAACACAGTACGGGGCGAGAGAAATTTCAGGGCATGTGAGAATGTCTGGTTGGCTTGCACATGCTGTTTGATGTATTCCTTGTTCACAGCATCCGGTATCTGGGACAATTGCAAAGACACAAAGTAAACCTCTCACAACTGTTTATTGTTCATCATTTCCTAGTTGCTTGTGCACCTGGAAGAGTGACGATCCAAGAAGACCCCCCTGGCCACCTGTCTGTGTCTTGGTCCAACGTGGACCTGGGTGATTACTACGTGGCCTTTGTGAAGAGTGATGACGGCTTGGAAGTTCACTGCAACACATCCCTCCCCCAGTGCGACTTCCCCTCTGAATGTGGCTTCACTTACTTCATTAGCGTCTTTGCCTATAACAAGGCGGGGCAGAGCCCTTTGGGCGATGTGTTCAATTACACCACAGGTAAGTCGCACCTGAGGCTGGTAAAGGGGGATCCGAGTCCACTACACGGGGTAGTAAAATGGATCACCGGTTACATAGCCCCCCTGGGGGCTACTCTAGGGCCAAGAAGGCAAAGTGGATTTCTCCTTTCACATTCTTTCCAGGCTAGGAAGTTTTGGCTCCCTGGACCAAAGCTTCACCAGAATGCAAGGGTTTGGTGTGAAAAGAGGGGAAAGAATATAGTTGTCCAACCCCGCTCTGAAAAATGGACCCCTCCGCCCAGGTGTTCAGCTCTTGTGCTAGGTGTCCAAGGGGATGCAACCCTAATGTCTCAGGAATTCCTTCCTTCCCCCGAAACCAGGAAACAGATGCAAAGATGGTACCTGGTGTGGAGGGCTTTGCAGAGGGACGCCTGGGTTCAGGCCCTAAGTTGAGTACCAACTTATTTGTAAACTGGGGACAATGATGTCTACCTTGCTGGTTCCTCTGTATCCCCCACTTCCAAATGGGAAGATGAATATGAAAAGGTCTTTGCATGTGACAAGGCACAATGCAAGCATTTTTATTAGCATCGTTATTACTGTCACTAATGAACCTCCTCCACTAGGCTTGGATCTCCTATGGAACAGGGATGATGTTCTATTTATCTCTTCATCCTCAATGCTTGTCATAGTGTGATTGGCTCGATATGGGAGATGCTCAATTTTTGAAGGATGAATGGAGTGACTTAAAACCAGTCAACTATATTTGCAGATAAGAATACTACAATATCATTATGTAGAAAGCAATGCTAGCTGGATTGTAGTACATGTTACCAGGGTGAGGGGATCAAGTCATCGCTGCCTTGGAATTTAGAGAAAGAGGCCTCCAGAGTGTGGGAGCGTCTTCCAGAGGGAGTGACCTTGAACTGGATCTTTAAGGACAGGTGGCAGGCGGGAGGGGCAAGAGCATTCCAGAGACACTCCAAGCTGAGTTAGACACGGGTCAGAATTTGTCCGTGAGTTAGTGTAGGGTCTCTTGTAAAACCTGCTCATCGGCTGCTGCCGCCTGCCCTCCTCCGCCCCCAGCTTATCTGTTTCAGAGCCTGGAGAGGCCGATAGGATGGACCAGCTGGACAGAGTCTGGTTTGTCGGACAGAAGAGGGGAATGGCATTCCAGCAGAGGGTCGGCGGTCTTGGAGGCACAGGGAAATGAGAGCCCGTGTGTGGTGGGGCGTCGAGGAGCCTGGGAGGCAGGGGGCCCAGGGAGGTGCAGCTGAACAGCAGACTGGGTACAGCTCCTAATGAACTTGAATGTCAGGCTTAGAGGGTTCATCCTCCATGTAGCAGGTCTTAGGCCCCGTTCGGAGCTGGAAGGTCTAGGAGAGTCTTGCAATAATTGAGGGCAGTGACAGGGTCCTGCACGGGGAGGTCAGGGTCTGCTCCTGTGCTGACCTCCACCCCCTCTCCGTGTCTGCTCCCAGCTCCCTGTTGTCCTAGCGACATTAACCCCGTGTTGGTGTCCAGCGACCGAGTGGAGATGGTCTGGTCGCCCGTCCGGGGTGCCGAACTTTATGAAACCAGGGCTGCTGATGGGTTCAACGTGGTGGAGTGCAACGACACGGCCCCCGCGTGTACCCTCTCTGCCCTGGAGTGCGACACCAAGTACAACATCACAGTGTATTCCTTCAGCGAAGCCCGGGGCAGCAATACCTCCTGTAATTCCCGATTTATCACCACGGGTAAGATCCACTAAGCTTCCACTCCCTGACCCCACCCGCCCCAGCTGTGTGCCCCAGGGTGGGCCTGCAGCAAGAACCACAGGCAGGCAAACTCCCACTCCCGCCCCTGCTCCTGTGGGGCCATTGGGGCTCCTCTTACTCAGGGGAGGCTGAGAGAGGGTGGAAGAGGGGAATTGGGGGAAAAGAAAACGAAAGAGGAGACCCTGGGGATGGTGGAAGGTTTTGCCTGTCAGCCATTCACTTCCCCTACCTTTGGGGGTCCTGCCTGTATTCCCACCATGAAGGTTCAGACCACACATTTTTGTCTCAATTACTTTTTTTAAACTAGGCTTTTATCGATTACAGAGAGGAAGTGAGAGGGAGAGAGAGAGAGAAACATCATCGATCAGCTGCCTCCTGCATGCCCTCTGCTGGGGATCAAGCCCACAACCTGGGCATGACTGGGAATCGAACCCTGACCTCCTGGCTCATGTGTCAACGCTCAACCACTGAGCCACACCAGCCAAGCTCAATTACTTTTGCTTTTGGAGTCCAAAATGTAGCATTTCCCAGTTAGTCGGATGCTCTAGGAACCCCAAAACATCTGTCCATGGCGCCAGGGTTTCCACACAAAGACTATGAATGTGGCCTGCACGCGGGGGGTGGCTGGAAGGGACACTGATCTCACTGGGGGGAGAAAGTCAGTTTTAGAGCAAATGGCACAGGGAGGGGATGTTTTTGACTCTCACTGTTTCAGTGAATAACCTGAACTGTCTCAGCTCCTTGCAGTCCCGAAATACAAAGCATTTCGAAGGATGCCTTCTCCGCGATCCAAGTGTACTGGAGATCCCGGAACCAGGGCGCCACCTACACCGTGACGGCGCGGGGAGAAGAGGGGCTGTATCGGTGCAGCAGCTCGGGCCAGGCCTGTGCCCTGGGCGGCCTGCCCTGCGGCTCCCTGTTCTCCGTCACCGCAGTGGCCGAGACGCAGGCGGGACGGAGCCTGCCCAGCTACAGTGTCCCCCTGGAGACAGGTACGTGGCCGCCACCAGCCTGCACCCGGCATCCGGTGGGGTCCTGAGGAACTGTTTGAAGACAGGAACTATTTCACTTGACCTACTCGATGTGGGATAGAGACACATGAAACTCAGAGGCCTTTCCAAGAGCCCCAGTCTTGCCCTGGCGGGGTAGCTCAGTTGGTTGGAGCGTCGTCCCAATATGCCAAGGTTGTGGGTTCAATCCCCCGTCAGGGCCCAGACAGGAATCAATCAGTGAATGCATAGATAAGTGGGTTAACAAGCTCATGTCTCTCTCTCTCTCTCTCTCTCTCTCTCTCTCTCTCTCTCTCTCTCTCTGTCTTTCTTCCTTTCTCTCTCTCGCTCTCTAATTAATTAAAAAAGCCCCAGTCTTATAAAGCTTTCACCATTTGAACACAGGCTCTATAAAAGCATCAGAGTCTCTAATACACTCATGCATTGACATCAAAGGGGGATACGCTGACTACAAGAACATTTATTTGAAGTCCTATTCCCCCGTGACACAGTCTACCAAAACAACTAACACGTGACCAAGTGAGCTGGGTTATTTACCTCTTTGGCTCAGCCCTTTTGAGTCTTTGTCTAAAGAATGCTTTCTGAGATTGCGTTTTCTAACATGGTAAAGGTGGGGAATGGCTTCCTTGAGTGGTTGTGAATATTAATTAATTCTGCAAAGCTCTCCACATGGTACCTGCTGCACAGTACTAGTAAGAGCTGGAGGAGAGGAAGCTGTTATTGCTTGTTAGTGTTGTGTGTGAGCAAAATTTAGCAAGTTACTTAAAGCCTTGGACATTATTTTCTCTTACATACAACGACCGATGGCACTTTGGATTATAAAAAGTTGAAACGTAAAAAGCTGTGGAATAGAGACAATGCCAAGTACACAGGGACGATTCCAGACATTTCTATATTCTATATAATGGGTCCCTAAAAAATTGAGACTTGGCTGTGGTATTCTTAGGTTGTTAGGAATATTTCAAGCTTTTATATCCGTTATAGCCTATGAAATGCATGATAAATGAAAAATACATTTAATTACAAATGCTCTGAAATGTTATATTGGGAGGAGGTGTGTAGGCAGCTGCTGCTGTGAAATTTGCAACTGGAATTGTTAAAGCTGGGAGACAACGAAGCGTTTTCTTATTCTGAAAAAAAAATGGGGGGCACCTCGTCTTACCCACAGCCAGTTAATGCATCGTGTTCTTGGGGAAAGCACCCACTATATATATTCAGTTGATGTTAAATGATGAGTCAGAGGACATGAGATTTTGCTTGACAAAAGGAAATCTTCATGACATTGAAGGTTTGAGGAATGTAGGCTATTGAACAAAACACAGGCTGAACACCATTCTTGGTCATTTTTCACAAATAATGACCGTTCTATTCTCTTTTTCCTCATGTAAGTGCCCTGCTGTCCAGCCGGCCTGATGGTGACTCAGGTCACCCAATCAGTGGTCAACGTGAGCTGGACTGTTGGAACTGGGGCCCTCACCTACGTGACTGTCCTGGCGTCCCACACTGGACAGTCTCAGTGTCACACCCATCAAAACCACTGCCTCCTGGGATGCGTCACATGTGGCGTCAATTACACGGTGGCCTTAAAAGCAATCAGCGCCACCGGGCTGACTGCAGACTGCGCCTACCAACGCTACGCCTCTAGTAAGTGGATCCTCAACCCAGCTCTACTGCACCCATAAGGGCCTTGGCTATCCATCTTAAGTCCAGGCGTAAGGCCTTCCTTCTCACATAGAAAGATGCCGTTTCTCCTGGGAAAGAGCTCCATGACCAGCTAATGGTATCTGCCGCAGGGCCTGGGACAGGAGAGTTGAAATATAATTTTGCCAGCCCAGGGGTTGGAGAACAAGTCTGCAGCTAGGGGTCTAATGACATGGCTTCGTATAAGCTGTGCTGCCTTATCTTCCCTGGTTCTGTTTCCGCATTGGGAAGAGGAATGGGAATAATCAGAACAAGAAAGCATATGTAACGGGCTACAAATACGTAAGGTGGTTTATACCGTCTTCTGGCCCGTTACTTTTCCTTAGATTTGCTGCCTAAGTTCTCACCCTGATATCTACTTCTGGGAATATGGCCCTTTGCTTAGCGTCACACTCCTACCCCCAAAAATATTTTTTAAAGAATAAATCCAGCCCAGCCAGTGTGGCTCGGTGGTTAAGTATCAGCCTATGAACCAAGAAGTCACCGTTTGATTCCCCGTCAGGGCATATGCCTGGGTTGCGGACTCGATCCCCAGTGGGGGGCATGCAGGAGGCAGCTGATCAATGATTCTCTCACATCATTAATGTTTCTATCTCTCTCTCCCTCTCCCATCCTCTGAAATCAATAAAAATATTTTTTTAAAAAGAAGAAGAAATCCAATGAGCCTGATTATCTATAACTGAATTTTTCTTATTATTATACAACAACATCTTTATTTCAGTTACCGAGGAATCCACCCTTTGGTGCCCTGCTTGACACCCGATGTGTGATCCGCTCAAGGCATTTGGAAAAGAGAAAAAAAAGTGCCTCATTGGCTAGCCCGGGTGAAGTGTGACCCGCAGAGCTGGTCACAGAGCTGGTGACCTGCCTGTGGTGTGAGCGGCTGCTCCCCTGGCATCGCTGCGTTCAGCACAATAGGTCTTTTCAGTTAGAGTGGACGGCAGCCAGTGATATTGAAATCCAACCCCACGAAAAGCATCTGAAACTGGGGCAGTAGGAAGGCTCTTGACGAGGAGTCTGTGCCTTTGCCTCATAACTTTTGACTCATCTACACCATGTATCGGCCAGAGGTGACTTTTGGACTCACCATCGCTCCCTCTTAAAAATCCACGCCCCTGGTGATGGAAAAAAGAAAAGAAAAAAAATACACACACATGGATTTCTCCCCTTTTCTTTTTTACAGTTTAGTGCATTTACTTAACTTGTTTTTACACATGGGTTTCTAACCACGTGGCCCACCGTGGGGAGAACTGAGCACCTCTTCAAACCTTGCGCTCAGCACATACCCCTTAGCATAAGTTACTGGTGTTGTTTCCCCAGAGCAGTGAAGGCCATGTCTGTGCGACGGGGGAATAAGCGGTCTGTGTGTGTCTTTGTTGTCCTTCAGGTGCCTGCTGCCCGCTGGGCGTGAAGCTGTACAGGCTGGGCCCTCACGGCATCCGGGTGGACTGGCGAGCCGCCAGGGGCTCCGCCACCTACAGCGCCGACCTCTATGGCTCCAAAGGCATTTTCACCTGCTCCCCAAGCGCCGGCCTCAGTTTCTGTGACGTCACGGAGATTCCCTGCGGGGACGTGTACACCGTGATGGTCTCACCGGTGGCTGAGACAGGACTGAAGCTCACCTTCTGTCCAAAAAAAATATACTCAGGTAGAGCAAGTGATGAGTCTACTTAAAACGAACCCGCCACACAATCTGTGAATGGAGACTCAGGGCCACTCACACTTACCTGTGGGAAAGAAGGTCAAAGAGGGGACGATGCCCTGGCCGGTGTGGCTCAGTTGGTTGAGCATCGACCCATGAACCAGGAGGTCACGGTTTCGATTCCCCAGGTCAGGAGACCTACCCGGGTTGCGGGCTCGATCCCCAGTGTGGGGCATGCAGGAGGCAGCTGATTGATGTTTCTCTCTCTTTCTCTCTCTCCCTTCCTCTCTCTGTAAAATACATTTAAAAACATAATTAAAAAGAGGGTGTGACATTTCCACGTCCTGCAGGCAGATTCTGGCACCTGGGGACCCCCGGCTTCTTGGGAATTGTGATGGCTCATTATTATTTGATCTGGAGACGCTCCATCTCCCTTCCTCCTCTCTCCTTCAGGAAAAGGACCGGATGTTCGCTGCTTAAATAGTAGAGACGATTTTTAAATGAGTTTCTGCTTTCAGATTTTTAACAGTCTTAAGAGGGCACAATAGACACCCTGGAACGTTGGACATGAAGACACTTTAACTTTTACTTGTACAGATTCAGTCTGGTGACTGAGGAAGAGTTGGGGGATCCGGAAAAGAAAAAAAAACGAATTCATAAATCCTAAGCTGGGCTTGGCAGGATGTGATCACAATCAAAACAGTCAGCAAGTGCCATCTCACAGTTCCCTGCCCTGTGTTCCAGCCCCTCCCTCCCGCTACCGTGCCCAGGCCCACTCATATATCTTTCATAAACTTCTAAATAAAAGAAAAGAGATGAGGCAGCCTTCGAACACAGGAAGAGGAGTCAATATTGGCTCAGAGATCTTCGCTGAGAAGCGGAATCTGAAAGGTCCAATTCCGTGGAGGTGACAAGAAGGTTCGGAGGGCTCCGGGGATGGAGCCCGGCCAGTCACTCTGCGGGGGTGTCCCCCTGTCCTTGGCTGTCATGCTCCGATTCCCTATTTTTTCATTATCTTGTCCACAGGACGTGCTGGCCCAAAGCACGTCCCTCTGGGAAGTGACAGGATTAGTTTGCTGGGGTGGGGATGCACTCTGAGGAAATAGAGCTTCCAGCTCATAACAGGATTTCATGATCTCTGCATAGTGTTTTACAGTCTGTCAAGCGTTTTATTTTTTTGTTAATCCTCACCGGAGGATATTTTTCCATTAATTTTTGAGAGAGTGGAAGGGTAAGGGAGAGACAGACAGAGAGAACCAAGGCTGTGAGAAGGCACATCGATGGCTGCCTCCTAGACATGCCCCGGCTGGGGCTGGGACCGAGCCTGCAACTGAGGTACGTGCCCTTGACCAGAACTGAAACCGGGACCTTCAGTCCTCTGGCTGATGCTCTCTCCACTGAACCAAACTGGCTAGGGCTCTACCAAGTGTTTTAAAATGTATCGAGTGTTTTCACATTCAATATCTCACTGAATGCTCTTTCCCTGGTAAAAACCATGCCTGGGGGACATTTTTTGGTGGTGTTTTAGAGATTTTTGTGTTGTTTTTTCCTTTTTCAGTAATGATGATGTGTTACTCTGATAATTAGGACAATATTATAAATTATAATAATGACTAATAGTTATTGACTATGTGTTGCAACTACTATAAGGGATTAGATGTATTAATTGATTTTTATAATAACCCTATGAAGTTGGCATTCTTCTTACCCCTTATAGGTAAACTGAGGCACAGAGTAGTGAAGTGACTTGCCCGAGGTCAGATTGCTAGTAGTTATCTCCTTCTCCCGTCACCCAAATTGGTTCTCATTTGTTCTTTTTTAAAAATATATATTTTTATTGATTTCAGAGAGGAAGGGAGAGGGAGAGAGAGATAGAAACATCAATGATAAGAATCATTGATCAGCTGCCTCCTATATGCCCCCTTCCCCCGCCCCACTGGGGATCTAGCCCACAACCCAGGCATGTGCCTAGACTGGGAATTGAACTCTGACCTCCTGGTTCACAGATTGATGTTCAACCACTGAGCCACGCCCACTGGGCTCTCATTCATTCTTTGGTTTACTTTCCCTTTATTCTTTCTTAAGTTGTATCACCTTAAACATATCAAAAAGTATATTTGAAATGCCGTGTTTTTATTTATTGCAGTCACCTGCTCTGGAAGTACACTTGGAATGGGTAAGTCATTTTTCTCGTGGATGAAATGGAAGGGGACTTCCTTGTTGCATTTTAGGGCGACAATGAAGTCAGGATCAAAGCTGACTCTTCAATTAATCAGGAAGACAAATGCTAGGGTGCCTGCTTCCGGTTTGTGTGGATGGATATGCCCGGGGAGGGAAAGGGGTGCTGAGAGGGAGACTGGGGTAAGATAACGCTCACTGCCTCCTTGGATGTGCTCTGGGCTGACCCCGTCGAGGCTATTCTGGGCCCCCCATGGAGGCCACCATTGGGCCAAGCCACGGAGATGACCACACCGCGCCGTGTGTGCCAACCCAGTCAGTGGCATGTGCTGCTTCAGGAGAAATGCTTGCCATGTTCTTTTAGGGGCGGCTTGGTTTGGGGCCTTGGGACCCCTGTCCCCAAGGAGTAATATAAACCCAGACTGCAGACAGGACTTTCGTGCACGTACACATATGCCCAGTCAGACATGGCTGACTTCGGAGCATGTGAGTGGCAATGAGGCCTTCCCACCAGCAAGCCCCACCTGCCTGCCCCCGGTCTGGGCCAGCTTCCCATCCGACACTTGTCCACGGGCAGGGATCAGGGCTGAGTCTCTCCCCATCACCTGTTCTCTGCTTCCGCTCCCAGCCCAGTGCTCCTCTGAGCTCAGCAGGACACCCGTGGGTCTGAAACAAGCCCAATCCCGATGAATGTTTAAAGGGTTTCTGTTTCCAGTGGCTGCAAGGAAACAGGCCTAACTTATTAAAAGCCAACTGTGAAAAACTTGTAAATTATTAAAAAACGACTTTTAAAGAACTCCCATGGTACGAATGACCTAGTCTTCAGGGAAATGTATAGGGTCCTAGGTCTGCATTCTTGGAAACTATTTCCATTATTACACTTTGTTTTGTTGTTGTTAATCCTCACTTGAGGATTTTTCCATTGTTTTTTTAAAGAAAGTGGAAGGGAGGGAAGCGGGGAGAGAGAGACAGAGAGAAAGCGAGAGACAGACATACATACACACACATCAATGTGAGAGAGAAACATCGATCGGTTGCCTCCCATACATGCCCCTGACCGGTAAAGGAACTCCCAAACTAGGTCTGTGTCCTGACCTGGAATCGAAACTGCAGCCTTTTGGTGTATGGGATGATGCTCCAATCAACTGAGCCACCAGGCCAGGGCTCAACAGCATAAATAGATCTTTTTAAAAAGACAGAGCTGGGTTCAAATCCTGCCCCTATCACTTGCCCTTAGGCAAGTTGCTTCAGTGCTCTCTCAGCCTAGGTTTCCTCATCTGAAAACTGGAATAAATCATCACCGTATAAGATGTTGTGAGGATGAAATGAGATTGTAAATAGTTGGACCTAAGACCCATAGCAAGTACTGAATAAATGGTAGTTACGATTAACTCAGGGTCAGCTTAAGCTCCTGTCACACTCTGTTATGTGTCATTTAACGTGCGACTTCTAAGGTATTTGCATTTTAACTGTGGTCCTCATGATACTTTTGTCGGTTCTCCAACTGTGGTCCCAGGGCCAACAGCATGAGCAGCATCTGGGACCTTCTTAGAGGTGCAGTTTCCAGGTTCCACCATAGACCTACTGAACCGGAATTTCTGAGAGTGGGGCCCAGCAAGCTCTGTGTTAAGGAGCCTGCCGAGTGACTCTAAGGCACGCTCAGGTTTGAGAACTAAGGTCTAATTCAAGGAGGCTGCTCTGATGCTGGAAATGTGATGCGGGTTGGAGGGAGAGGCAGACCATCCATCGAGGAGACAGGCTTTAACCCGAGGCAGACTGCGGCCCCGTGCCTGCCATCACTCTGTGCCTCTGTCTTCTTCAGCGCCCTGCTGTTTCAGTGTGTCCTACACATTCCAGGGAACTCTGGGGGGCGGGGGGGGGGGGGGGGGCGCGTTTCCTCTTCACAATTCCCTGGGCAATTGGTTTACGTGTTCTCTACACAATGTTCTCCCTGAGCCATTGAAACTGTGGGGCTCCCTGAGCACAGAGCAGGTGGCCTGGAGTCCTGGAGTGGAGAGGAAGGTCCTTCCCTCTGGGTTTGCAGTCTGAGCTCAGAGAAGCTCTTCTCTGGGAGCGTGCATCTCAGGAAGCAGGACCCAGACCCCCTGGTTAGTTACACTCTGCTAGTCCCTAGTCGGTTTCTTTTCCCTTTGAACGGTTCCTCCTCCCTGTGAAGTAGCATTTCAGATCAAAACACTAATCTAACTCTCAGAGACGGCTGAGGGCTTTTTAATGTAAGCAGATGTCTGCCTGTGTCACGCACCGTGTGGCTTCTCCCCTCCCTGTCGCTCTCAGTGATTTATAGAGGGAAGAGAAATGCAGAGTGACCGAGCGAGGCGCAATGGCAGCGGAGGCTTGACCCAGTGAGTAATTGGAATCGACATGGTGTGGTTCAAAAGCAAAGTGTTTTGTCTTTGTCTTTCAAAGTTCTCCCCTCTTATGTTTTGCAGGGTTGTCTCAAACGTTAGTGTGACTAGAGATGGACAAGCTCCATTAGCCTACACAATGCATCTAGCACAGGACTAGCTCTTTAGAAGAACAACTCTGACTCCGGAAGGCGAGGTCAGGATCCCGGCCGGTGTGGCTCAGTGGTTGAGCGTCAACCTACGAACCAGGAGGTCACGGTTCCATTCCCTGTCAGGGCACATGCCCGGGCTGCAGGCTCGATCCCCAGTAGGGGGCGTACAGAGGTGGCTGATCAATGATTCTCATCATTGATGTTTCTCTCTCTCTCCCTTCCTCTTTGAAATCAATATATTAAAAAAAGAAAAGAAAAGAAAAGATGTGCTGCGGAGAGGACCAGGGAGAGATAAACCCAGCAAGTCCTCCGGAAGGCTGCCAGCGTGAGCCGTGCCCTGGGCAAGCCCTAGACACATGAAAGGTCTGCTTAGGAGATTCTTTCTGAGATTTCACATCCAGACATGCCACAGCCGCAGCCCATCTGTTCCATCGACACCAGCCCTGGCCATGTAGCCCTTTAACCATTCAAGGGCTGGAAAGGTTCACTCCCAGAGAAGGCGACATCAGGCCACATACAGAGACTCCGCTCATCCCTAAGCAAACCACCTGGACTTCGGGACTTCGGGCCGGCAGCACTGCCAGGCCCACCTGTCCTGCGAGCGGCTTGCAGGGCAGGCCAAGCCACAGCGTCGGGCTGTGGGACCTCTGCTGGAGCGCCTGGGAGAGCGGAGTTGTTGGCCAGTTGCTGGAAGGATCGCAGCCATGCGTGTGAGTGTGCAAACACTTCGGATGGAGAGACGGCTGGGGCAGGGCCTCAAACTGTGGCAGACTGACATACGTGTACCTTTTGGGGGAAGGACCATCAATCTTGTTGGCTGTATCCCCCTCTCACACTGTAACCGTTTTTTCCATCTCTGGAGAGGAAAGGCAATGATTATATGTAATATAAAGCTGTTGTACCTGGAATAATGTGTGTTCTTTGAATGCTAGTAGCTGTCATATAAAATAGTACTATAGTAACACACACACAACTAAAGTGGCCACACAGAGAAGAGGGCTGGGCTTAGTTCACGTTTGTTCCAGTGAATGAATGGGACTGGCACAGGTGCGTCCACATCACTTGGGGAACTCATTAGTTAACACACATTCCCGGGTACCACCCCTGGTGACTCTAACTCAATAGATCTGGGACTAGGCCTGAGAATCTGTATTCGTGACAAACTCACCAAGTGATTCTGACATGTGGCCAAGTTTGGGGATCTTAAAAGGCTTGCCTTCGCCAGCACTTCCTTGAGGCAAATTTCAGTGGTGGGAGACTGAGAAGTGTTCAAAAATAACTGAGGCTTAGCATAAAGTGACGCCACTTTGGGCGGTTTGTGTTGTTTTTAACAATGCCATATGCTGGGCTTGAACCCGTATTATGGCTGATTCTATATTTCATTTCCCTCTTCTCTCCTGAAGAGCAAAAACTGCAGGTTATCTGACAGACTGCTCTATTTGTAACTTTCTGTTTAACTCGAGCCTGGTGTTTTTCCCACTCCACCACTGGCTGTGCATCCCCACTAAGTGACTTAACTTCAGTAAGCCTCAGTTTCCTTGGTAAGGGATGCTTTGAAGGTCAATGAGCTAATCTACTTACCACGGGTGCCTGGCATATAGTAAGCCCTCAGTAAACATTAACTATCATTATTAGCAGTAGTAACAACTTCCACTTCCCTATGTGACCAACCTGAATGAAGGCAACTGGTTCTTTGCAAATCTCTGTAGGGAAGCCTACTTTCTGCCAGTGTGTGCGATGGTGAGTTGGGCCGCTCAGCAAGCAAACTGATCTAATTCATGATCGATTGCTTTGAATTTCAAGTCTCAAAAGAACCCTCTCAGGAAACAGACCTCTGCCTAAACAGACCTAGGCCCTAAACTTTCTAAGTCTGAGCTCAGAGGATCTCCTCTGGGAATCAGCTTTCAACAGTAATTCCTTTCTTTGGGATCCTAAAGCATTGATAGCCTCTCCCATACAATTTGGCACATGAATTTATGTTTAGCAAATAATCATTGTTTTATTGGTTCATTTATGTATAGCATCATCATTAAAGCATTTGCTTTTGAAACCAACTTTTGACTACTTTCAGCATTCCAGGAATTGAGCTCTGTAATTTGTAAGTTCTTCAGGAGTGGGTTTAGTTCCGGGCACACTGGAGGTACACCTCATACTTCTACACCATTATTCTGTCCTTGAAAATGGCATAAAATCAACTTTTGGAGGTGGGTACATTTTCCGTTCGGTTGTTGAAGTGGCTACTGAGTGAAGTCTATTACGAGTCGTTTCGCGAAGGGAAGAATTCTTTTGGAAAGCGAAGAATCCCCCCTTCTACTTGTCTAGCACCCACGAATTCGAAAATCTCTTAGGTGCCGTCAGCTGACAATCTGTCGGCACGTTTTGTTTTGCTTCTGACGTCACGCGAGGTTGACGTGACCCCGCCTCCCGCTAGGGGGCGCGCGACTGCCCGCGGAGCTTCCACCCGCACTGCGCAGACTCCGTCCAGGGGTGGGCGGGGCTTCCGTGCGGACGACGTGACGTCACCGGCGGGCGCGGCCGGTGGGGGGCGTGGCCACCGGAGCGCCCCAAATCCCCGCTGAAGTAGGTGGCGAGCCAGCGGGAGGCGGCGGTCGCTCCTCCGCAGCGACGGGAAGATGGCGCCGCCGGAGACGGAACGGGGGCTGAAGAGCGTCGTGTGGCAGAGTGAGTGCGCAGGGGCCGGGGCCGAGAGAGGCGGCCTGGCCTCCCGCCCCGGACCGGCTTCCTCTGGGGGAGCGGCCGCGGGCACTTGTTGCTTCGAAACGCCCGTCCCTGTCAGGACCTCTTCCTCCTTCCCTGCCCGGCTCTGCTGCTTGGCAGCGCCGGGAGGGCGGGAGCGGGAGGCGGCCTTCCTGCTCGCGTCGGGCGCCCCCTCGTCCCTGCCGGCGCCGCCCGCAGCCCCGCGCGGGGGGAGCGCCCCGGCCCGGCGTGTCCTCCCCGCGCGCCCCCACCTCCCGGCGGCCGCTCCAGGCGGTGCTGTCCCCGCCGAGACAGTCCGAGCCCCGTCTCCCGCCCCGCCCTCGCCTGCGTCACGGTGTCCCTACCGGGAGGGGTTCGCCGCCGTAGTTTTCAGGGTCCTTTAGACACAAACACACGCACCGCCCTAGCACAGCCCATCCCTCGGCCCCGGAGGCGCCCACTGGGTCCGCAGTGGCGGGGCCATGGGGAGGACGGGCTCCCCGGCTCTGCACTGGACCACTCCCCGGCCCCGGAAGGTGCCATCCCCAGGACTGTCACCGCAGCCTCCCCACTGGGCTGGGGGGCGGGGACCGCAGGCGGGAAGACCCCCGTGCTCGGCGTGGCCGGGTGCAGAGCCGGGGCCCGCCTGGGAAGGAGGCGCACGGAGCACGGAGGACTGGGTTCTAGTCCTGGGCCTCCGCGAGCTCCCCGTGTGCCACGGCAGCTCCACACCAGTGCCCGGCCTTGTGCTTCCCATCCCAGGTAGTAAAAACAAGCGTATAACGAGAAAGGAGAAGAAAAAAAAAGTTACCAAAACATCTTTTCAGAAATTGGATCATTGTCAGGTTGCATTTTGTTTTTTTTTTCAAGATGTACGAGGCTGGCCTTGAAGATGTGGTAATGTCTTAAGATTGCAAGGGCAGTTAAATATATTTATATGACACAGGGTGATGAGTTGTGTTGCATAAGTAACTTCCAAGCTATAGGATGGCCCTTAGCATCAGCATTTTTTAAAAAGGAAAAAAAAAAAAGGTTAATGATAGTCATTTCAGCCTTGATAGCATGGAAAGGGGGCAAGAGAGGGAGCGTGTAGAGGTAACAGTCCCATCTAGTGCTGTTAGCATGAGGTGGGCCCCGGGGTGTCCGATGGAGTGTAAGATAAAGAAGGCAGGAGACTGATGGGAGGAAAGAGGGATAATAGTTTAAAAATCATTTGGGATTTTAAAAAATATATATTTTTATTGATTTCACAAAGGAAGGGAGAGGCAGAGAGAGATAGAAACATCAATGATGAGAGACAATCATTGATCGCTGCCTCCTGCACGCCCCCACACTGGGGATCGAGTCTGCAGCCCAGGCATGTGCCCTGACCGGAAATTGAACCCGGGAGCCTTCAGTCCAAAGGCTGATGTTCTATCCACTGAGCCAAACTGGGTAGGGCCCTTAGGATCTTTTTTAAAAAATGTGTTTTTATTGATTTTAGATAGAGAAACATTGATGTGAGAGAGAAACATCCACCTGTTGCTTCCTGTACCCGACCCAGGATTGAACCTGCAACCTGGGCATGTGCCCTCACCTGATGTTTGAACCGGCGACCTTTCAGTGCACGGGAGGACACTCAACCAAGTGATCCAGACTGGCCAGGGCAGTTCTTAGAGTCTTGGTGTAAATAGAAACATAACCGGAAATTCAAGATGATGTTCATTCAACATTTAGGGAGGGGAGAGAGAGAGAGAGAGAGAGAGAGAAAGGGAGATAGAGAGAGAGAGAAGGGGATGCCTGTGAGGTCTTTTAGTAAAAGGTGACAGGGTCTGAAGAAATGATGAAAGAATCTCCTTAGAGGTAGGAGAATCATACATTTGACGGGGAAAAGGTTTTGCTAGTTTGAAGATAGTACAGTTAGGTATAGAAAGCTAAATAGCCTTTAGTTTACCCACAAACTGGGAGAAGGGAACAAGGTTTTGAACAATTACTCTGTGCCAGGCACTCTTATATTAAAACTTAATAAATTTTAATCTCTGATTCACAGCTGTTATCATAGCTGCACTATACGAAATAGTCAAAAGTCAAAACAACCCAAATGTCCATAGAAAAATAACATGTGATATGTTCACACAATGGAATATCATTAGGTAATAAAAAGGGCGGGGGGGGGGGAGAAAGAGAGAGAGAAACATCAGTGTGAAAGAGAAACATCAATCGATTATTTCCATAAGTGTCCCAACTGGGATCGAACCTGATTTTGGGGTCCTCTGGCTCTCAGACGGCCAGAGGACCCCATACGCAGAAACTGTTCTCGGCAGGGGTGGGTACTCCAACCCACTGAGCAACACCAGCCAGGGCTATACAGGGATTTTTTAAAAATATATTTTATTGATTTTTTACAGAGAGGAAGGGAGAGGGAGAGAGCCAGAAACATCGATGAGAGAGAAACATCGATCAGCTGCCTCCTGCACACTTCCCACTGGGGATGTGCCCAAAACCAAGGTACATGCCCTTGACCGGAATTGAACCTGGGACCTTTCAGTCCGCAGGCCGATGCTCTATCCACTGAGCCAAACCGGTCAGGGCTATACAGAGATTTTTGACTCCATGAAGGTGGTGCCCCTAACTCCCTGAGTTGTTCAAAAGTCAACTGTATATCGTATGCAAATTATGTCAATAAAGCTACTTAAAAAACAAACAAACCTGATACAGCTATTATAGAAGTAGTTTTCACACCCTGTATTAGTTTTGAAAACCATTGCAAGGAACATATTAATAACTAGAGGCCCTTTGCTTGAAATTGGTGTAAGAGTAGGTCTTCGCAGCCGTGGCTGCGTGGATCCCTCCCTCGAAGCCTCGATCCTGCGCCTGCAGCCCTGGCTTTGTCTGGTCTAATTAGCATATTATGATTTTATTATTATAGAGTATTATAAATCAAGACTGAATATTTGTATCATAATGTGATACATGTTCTTAAAAATTGTAATCAATAGTAAATAGGAAGAAAAAACTTAGCCAGTTTTTTTTAAAATTCTCCTTTTTTTAATTTATTAATTTTTTTGTTAATCCTGACCTGAGGAGATTTTTCCATTTGATTTTTAGAGGGAGTAGAAGGGAGGGGGAGAGACAAAGAGAGAAACATCAATGTGAGAGAGACATATAGATTGGTTGCCTCCTGCATGTGCCCTGACCTGCAACCAGGTATGTGCCCTTGGACTGGAATGGAACTGGCTAGGGCCACCGACCCAGTTTTGATTGTCAGATGTAATGTAGCAATGGGCTAGTTAGGGATTTTCCTATGGGTTTTTTTTTTGTTTTCATTTTGTTTGGGATTTAAGTAAATAGGGAAAAACAAATTAGATAACACTTTCAGAAATATTTTCCAGATGTTTATGTACTTAAATGTATTAGCCTTTTTTATTCTCTTATTCTCAAAAGTTTAAAAATGTAGTTTCAATGTTACCATATAGGTTAGGTGTTAAAGATAACTGCATTTTTACATAGAGTTTAACAAGTGTATATGCTTTCTGTGTAGCTTAGCAGAATTTCATACTGGATATTTTCCCAGCCATCTTGGACTTTTTGAATAGTTATCCTATTATTATATTTTTAACTGTTGGTTAAGATTCCTACATTTTTCCCCCCTCAGAAATAAAAGCAGCAGTGTTTGATGACTGCAAGAAAGAAGACGAATGGAAGGTAGAATTTGCATATTTATTTGCCCTTATATCGACCTTCAATATATTGTCCTTACTAAACTTCCATCACCTATAGAGTCTGGAACCACTTTGTTCAAATCTTAGTTTCACCTAATAGCTGTGGCTTCTTGGGCAAATTACTTGATCTCTCCATGCCCCTGTTTCCTTGTCTATAAAATGGGGATGGTAGTACCTCATAGAGTAGTTGTTAATATTAAAATGAATTAATCCATGTAAAATGCTTAGAACAGTGCCTGGAACAATTATTCTTCAAGTGGCATTTTATAATTTTAGGAAAACTTGTTAAACATAACATACATTTAAATTGAACGTTCTCTGCTTCAGAGTGGAAAATTTTCATTTGCTCACTTGTATATAATACTATACAATATATACTTATATACAAGTATTATATACTTGTATATAATACTATATATAAAGAAACAGTCTCTAGGTCAGTGATGGCGAACCTTTTGAGCTCGGCGTGTCAGCATTTTGAAAAAACCTAACTTAACTCTGGTGCCTTGTCACATATAGAAATTTTTTGATACTATTTGCAACCGTAGTAAAACAAAGACATATTTTTTATATTTATTTTATATATTTAAATGCCATTTAACAAAGAAAAATCAACCAAAAAAATGAGTTCACGTGTTACCTCTGACACGCGTGTCCTAGGTTCGCCATCACTGCTCTAGGTCATGCTTGTCAAAAGATGAGTTGAGATCATTTTGCCTACTGTCCTCATTTTAATTTCATGTTGTAAAAGGATTATAAGTTTGAATATGTTTAACGGATTAAATTATTTTGTGTGAATTTTTAGCAATAAAATGCTTATACTATGTTTTCATTTATATTCAATTTAAGATAATGCTTTTAGATGAATTTACCACTAAGCTTTTGGCATCGTGTTGCAAAATGACAGATCTTCTAGCAGAGGGTATAACTGGTAAGTATTACCAATACTCATCATGAAAACATTTTTATTGTGATTGGGAAAGTTTGAAGTATTGATAAATTTTAGTTAGTAATTGTGTTTCTAAGGGGGTTATGGTTTTGTTTTTAATAACTGTAGCCTTAATAATTACACTGGACATTCTTTTCTCTGTGAGTCTTTAGAATAACCTCTGTAAGTCAGGTCTTTTTTTTTCCTCTCAGCTGAGACATATATTTAAGTGCTTCTAGCCAAGACAAAGTCAGTTGCCCTGTTGAGTGAGTTCTCAAAATTTTCTTTTAAATCCTCATCCCAGGATGTATTTATTGATTTTAGAGAGAGGAACGGAGAGAGAGAAAAGGGGAAACAAACAAGCAATCATCAGTGTGGGAGAGAATCATTGATCGGTTGCATCCCGCAGGTGTTCCAATTTGGGATCGAACCGGTCACCTTTTGGTGTATGAAGCAATGATCCAACCAACTGAGCCACACTGGCCAGGGCAATAATATTTACTTTTTGATATTTATATATAAAATAATCTTTTATTGTTGGTTACATATTCAGTTTGCAATCTTTACTACCTTCAGTGGAAAAAGCTCTAAACTGGAAATCAGAAGATGAAAGCCTTGATTTCTCTATTGTTGGATAAGTATAATATGGATAAGCCACTTAAGTTTTTTAAGTTCCCAGAGGATATTCTGATGTGCAATTAGAGTGAGAACCATTTGGTAATAAGTGTGAAAATACTATGAAACTACAGAACCATTTTGCACTATAAGGAGGTTTTACTGAATTTTTGTAGATATTACTGTTTCTTACTGTTTGTTCAGCATCGATAGCAGAGGCCTGATGCACAAAATTTATGCAAGGGTAGGCCTTCCTTCCCCTGGCTGCTTGCACTGGCTTCCCTCCGGCTACTGGCTGGCACCCGGGCTTCCCCCTCGATTGATCACCCCGCAGGCCAGTGGCCTGGGCCTCCCTCTGCGGGGCGATCGTGGGGCGATGGCGGCCCCCGCTTCCCCCACCAATGGCATCGCACCAGCCTTGGCTGGCCTGGCAGCAGTGCGTGTCATAGCGTGGTCGTCTGGGTGGTCATTCCGCTGTTTGGTTGATTTGCATATTAGCTTTTATTATTATAGATATTTTTCAATGAAAGGAAAGTGGCCAAGTAAGTTTGGGAAATAACATTAAACAAAGCTAAATAAGTTTCTTTAGGACTTTTTGGAGTTTTTTATATGCCGCCGGGTACAGGTACAGTATTCAGTTTTCTAAACTTATTTGGCCACAGAAAGCTTTTGTTGAAGAGCATTTTGTAAGACTGTATACCATGGAGCACATTCCTATGGACTGTCCTCCAGAGTTCCCTAGGTTTACTGTGTTTTTTTGTTTTTGTTTCTATACTTTATAATACTAATGTATGGTTTTAAAAGAATAAGAGTTAATTTGGGAATTATTTAAAGGATGTATAGAACTATAGTTAAAAACTGGGGCTCTGGAGTTGGACAGGTCTGCGTGGGAATTCTGTCTGTTTGCCTTTCTGTCTGTGTCACTTGGACAAGTTACCTCAGTTTCTTCATTTGTAAAATACTTATACGGTTGTTGTGACGTTATCAGATAGTTCATGTAAAGTGCTTAGTCTGGTATCGGTATCATACTCGCTATTATTATAGTAGAGTATTTTAAAAAATAAACACATATTTTAATTTTTAATGCATTTTCTTGGTTTCTTCATGGCTTGTTGATTGCTTATGCTGGTAGATCTAACTATGAAATAGCTGCTTTATCTTTTTATTCTCATGATGAGCACTTAGCCCAGAGTTTAACCTTAGGGAAAACACATTTTAAGACTTCTATACTTTATCAAATGAAGACAAAGAAAAGGTTAAACCCAAGATATGTAAATCTGTTTCTCTATTATTATACGTAAGAAGTACAATAAAGTTTATTTTTAAAATGTTTTGAATGTATAAATATTTGGTTATAAAAAATGACTTTCTTTTTTGTTAGTTGTGGAGAATATTTATAAGATTCGGGAGCCTGTCAGACAGATGAAAGCTCTTTATTTTATCTCTCCAACATCAAAGGTGAGTATTTTGAATCTTTAAAAAGTATGTTCTTTAATATTTTCACTGTTGACATGATTTTCTCATAGAAAAATCAAGGTAATAAAATACCCTTTATTAGAAAAATAGTGACACAAACTGGTTTACTTAGGGGAAAGTATTTGTTAGAAGATTGTTTTATTTGCACTCTTCTCACTAAGAATATGTAAGTGAAAAAATTCCTATCTCCCCCATGAAATATGAAAGCAGAATTTAATTGTATAAATTATTAGAGTTTCTTTGAATTACTTGTTACTTTTACAGTTCCTATTCAGCCATAATTGTTAAGAGGATGGAAATGTACTTAAAAGAAATAGTCTTGGATTAATCAATTTATCTTAGTAACTTCTCTACAGACATGATATATGTATGTATGTGTGTGTGTGTGTAATTTTTTTTTATGTTAAAGGAATTTCTTTGGTTTGTAATTCAGCAACCACCCATCTAAGTGGGTGAAGCTGCTAGGGAGAGGAAGTTCAATAAGAATAAAGAAAATGTGCATCTAGCAAAATGTAGCTGCTTGGAGAGAAGGCTGACAATTTGAACAGAGAAGTAGTATACAGAATGAGATTCTAGTTAGCACATAAAAAGCTTTCTGAAGCTCAAGAATATAGGATTTTTCAAATAGTTAATTGAAGAAGAGGATAATTACTATTGAAATTTGAATAATAGCCTAGAACAGTGGTCGGCAAACTGCGGTTCGAGAGCCACATGCGGCTCTTTGGCTCCTTGAGTGTGGCTCTTCCACAAAATACCACGTGCGGGCGTGCATGTACAGTGCGATTGAAACTTTGTGGCCCATGCGCAGAAGTCGGTATTTTGTGGAAGAGCCACACTCAAGGGGCCAAAGAGCCGCATGTGGCTTGCGAGCCACAGTTTGCCGACCACTGGCCTAGAAGATCAGAATGGACTATTTCAAAGCAAAAATAAAAGTCCTGGAAATAATGGGGGAAAGCGACTTGGAGGATAGATCCATGAGATCTATCAGAAATATGGATTTAGGAGTTCCGGAAGGAGAAAACGGGATAGAGGAAGGAGAGAATATTAAATCTCTGTTATTTTTTACTTTCAGACCACTGTATCTTTAAAGCTAGCAGTGTTAAGTCAGATTCCACCACACCGTATTACTTCCTATTCCTCCTTCTTGCAGTCATCTACCCCCTTCTGGGTTTTCATTCTAGTCTCTTGACAGTTTCAGCTTCTAGCTCACTGTCCTCTCTTCAGCACTTCTCCAGTGGTGGTCTCAGAGGTTTCAGTATCTGTGTGGCTAATACTTCGAGTGCGTTCGCTGACTTTCAGTTCCTTCATCTATTGTTTTCAGTGGTCTTGTCTTCTGTGTTGCTGCAGCTTCCCAGCCACGTGATCAATCATTCCTAGATCTTCTCCTCGCCAAATAGCCTCTGTTCGTACATATCACCTTGATCTTAGTAGGTTTCTAGCTGCCACTGGTTAAACAACATAGCATCTTACAAAATAAGCTTATAAATTAAACTTCTACACAGTTAAGGTTTTATTTTATCATCAAAATAAAATAATCTCAGTTATCTCAAAAGCTAGTATACTTAAATTAGTATTTAATAAAATACATATTGACATCTAACTTTTTTTTTAAGTCTGTAGACTGTTTTTTACGTGACTTTCCAAGTAAGTCGGAGAGTAAATATAAAGCGGCATACATATACTTCACTGACTGTAAGTAGCTTTGTAAAAGTCATTGCTTCATTATTTAAAATCCTTATACATGCCAATGCTAGTGACTTTCTACTTATTCTAATTAGGTTACAAAAAATAAAAAGCTTATGATCATATATATCCTAATTCATGATAAAGCAATAGAAAATTAAAGGAAATCATCCCAAACTAGTTTCAAAAGAATCATTTTTGCTGGTATACAGAGGTGGAGGGCTGGTGGAGAGGCCATCCCGCAAATTATGTGCTGACCACAAGAAGAATTCTTTTTTAAACTGAAGTTTCAATTGGGGATTTGATTATATAATAAGAAATAAGACCCTTTGGGAGGGCATTAGAGAAATTTCCCCTGTTTGGCAAGTAGTAAGGGAGAAAATCAATCACATTTCTCTTACTATGTCATATGTTCAGATAGAAAGCCCCTAAACGAAAGAATACAGAGAAGTCCAGAGACACATCTTATTCTGCTTTATGTTATTACATAATTACATTGCAAACTAAAAATGTCATTGATCTAAGTTAGGTCTTGGTCTCTGCTATTATTTTAAGTAGTATATTATTATTCCTGTTAATTATTATTTATGTCATGCCTACTAGTAGTTTGCATTTTTTAAAAAAGTTATTCCATAAGTATTTGTCACTTAGGTAGCCTTATACAGAAATTCATGTCTATGAAATTTGATAAATTTTAATGAATGTGAAGCCTCTTTTAACTTAAGGAATCTTGAGGCTAAACAACTCTGTTTAAAAGCCACTCCATGTTAGTAGCCAATGGCTGATATTCTAACCTAGATTTAATGGAACTGTAAACAGGTAGGTTAAAAAGGGGAAGAAAAAAAATGGGCTCTAAGGTCCAGAACTTACTAGTTTAGAATTTCCTGACATCAGAGAAGTTCTTTTAATTAAAGAAGAATTAACAGTTTGTGTGGTATGGTTACACCTAGTGGTCAACTTAGAAAAGTAGTGCAAACTCTTAAGAAGTTCTGAAAATCCTAGAAAATTTTGTTAAGTCATGAGTTAAGATTTTATTTTCCTTCCTGACAGTTTTAGTTTGCTGTGTTAGCAGCTATCTAAGGAAATATGTTTTAGGTTATGGTGGACATGAATGGTGAAAACAGAATTTCTGGAAAGTCCCTCTTGACTAGAGTACATCTGCTCTGTAAAGTGAAGAACAATATTTATGTATTATTTCTGTTCTCATGATAAATTACATTATAAAAGTCAGTAATTTATATGTAAAATAAATGTTCCTAGGTGTTAGAATGATTTATCCAAAAGAGAAAAAATTTAGATGGAGTTATATGCTTTGATTTTTTTTTCTTTTTTTCCTCTCAGTTTGCCCTGATAGTCTCTTTAACAAAATTAAGTCTTCTTGTTCCAAGTCAATAAGAAGATGTAAAGAAATAAATATTTCCTTCATTCCACTTGAATCTCAGGTACTTTCTGTTTTTTGTGGTTTTGTTTTTTTTAATTTTAGTTCATAATAGATTTTAAAATTTTGTTTTATGAGCTTATTTGTTAATAAGGTTTATTTTACTTATATACCTTATATATTTGTAATGTTTTACTTACTAGTTATTTGCTGAATTTTGAATAGTCCACAAATAAACATTTCCCATGATGAAGGGAAGAATATGAGTGCTTTATTAGACTATAACATTAATAATGAAAGTGGAGCTTAAATTTCACATCTGCCACTAGGTCCTGTGTATGTCAAGTTTTATAGCACGGATTATGGGATCAAATGATTTTGAGTACAACCTTTATTAGATGGCTGAGCAGCACAGACACAAGGTTCAGCTACAGCTGAATCTCAGTCCATGTTCAGGCAGCTGCTGGTTGTGATGGCTTAGGTGCAGAGGAATGAATGATTGTGTGAAAGGAAATGCAAGGAAGTTGATTCATAATTCATCAGTTAACCTACAGTGGTTTTACATACCTACTTTTACACTCAATTCATTATCTCAGGCCAGGAGGGATCACAGTTGTTTTTAAAAAAATAAAAATTAGTTTAGTGAGGAACTCTCAACCCTAGTTAGAGAGCTTCTTCTTTCATATTCTCCAAATAACACAATAATAGTAAATCTCTAATCCTATTCTTTGCACATAAGTAATGCTTTTGTTAGTTGAATAAATATGTCTGTAAGGTCAGAGTATATATGATAAGACCAATGGCACATTGTTATGTCTTATTAGGAAGTATATCTCTATTTTAAGGACATGAAGAATATAAGCTAAAGATATATATCAACTTGGAAAATTTCTAGGTTATTCTCTAGAAGATTTTTAGTGTATGCAAATTTACAGACCAATTTTGGCTTTGTTGTATTTCTTTGTGCTAGGTATTAGATCTTTTTCAAAATTAACTTTAGAGAGAGAAGAGGGGAGAGAGAGATAAAAAACATCATTGATAGGCTGCCTCCTATGCGCCCCTTACCGGGAATTGAACTCAGTGACCTCTTTCTGCATGGGTTGACACTAAACCACTGAGCCACATCGGCTGGCCCAGTTATTAGATTTTTATTTTAGTTTGACTACCTCAGATTCCTTCAGCTGTTGCACAGGTAATGAAAAGCAAACAGTACTATCTGTTTATGAAACAAGAACTGAAGGAAAGAGGTAGACTAAGCAGGAAAGGAGAGTGAGAAAGGAAAGGGTGAAATCCAAATGACAGAGAAAATGAGATTTGATTAAGGTAAAGACACAGTTGTTTCAGAAAACAGCATGGTTAGTGCAAGTATTTTTTTTAATGGCCCAAATAATAGCTGCATTTTTCTTGATATATTTTTATAAATCAAGGCTCCACATTGACAGTGTAACTTTTTTTGGCCTCACTTAGGTATACACTCTTGATGTACCAGATGCATTCTATTACTGTTACAGTCCAGATCCTAGTAATGCAAATGGAAAAGATGCTGTAATGGAAGCTATGGCTGAGCAGATAGTTACCGTGTGTGCTAGCCTTGATGAAAATCCCGGAGTAAGGTATAAAAGGTAAGGCGCTTAATACTGTCTGTTCATGTTATGTTTTCTATTTGCTCTCCGGTATAGAGGTAAGTAATGTCTGTGCAGGTGGATTAGCAGAATTTTCCTTGTAAGATTGTGCTGTAATTACAGAGGTTTAAATTTCAGAGTAATAATAGCCTCTGTTACTGAATTTCAGTGCTTAAATTTGGTTTGATTTACAAGCATTTTTTTTCATGAGTTTAAGGAATGCTTAGAGGAACTGTCTTTGTTGTCATATAGGAGCTACAGTCTGACATTTATTATTTTATATATTATTTATTATTATTATTATTATTTTTTATTCTCACCCAAGGATATGTTTTTCATTGATTCAGAGGAAGGGAGGGAGAAGGAGAGAGAAACATTGATGTGAGAGAGAAACATCTGTCACTTTCCTCCCATATGTGCCCTGACTGGGAATCGAATCTGTGACCCTTTGGTGCATGGGACAACATTCTAACCAACTGAGCCACACCAGCTAGGACCCAGCAATTATACTTTTAGATGTAATGTATCTCGAGAAACATGTTCATGGTGATATATGTACAAAGATGTTTATTTCAGTATTGTTTGCAATAGGATAGGATAGAATTGAGAATGGTTTAAAAACCCATCTTTAGAGGAATGGGAATGAATGTGTAGCATCCAGTATAATTATTTGATAGACATATATATAGAGAGAACTAAAATGAATAAATTTGATGTATGTGCCAACGTAAATAGGTCTCATATATATAACAGTAAAAACATACCCTGGGTCAGAAACCAAGATGGCGGCATAGGGTAACGCTGGAGATTGCTGCCTCTAACAACCACTTCAAAAAACAACTAAAAGACGGAACGGACATCATCCAGAACCACAGGAAGGCTGGCTGAGTGGAAATTCTACAACTAGGAGGAAAGAGAATATCATACCCAGACTCAGAGGAGGCGCAGTGCTGAAGTGAAATACTAAGGTGCGGAGTGCACTCGGAGCGGGCTGGAGGCGGAGGGCGCGGTTGATGTTTTCAATCAGGAGGGAGTTTCAGACTCTGAGCTCCAGATCCGGGCGAGTCTCTAGGGACCCAGACTCAAACGGGAGAAGCGGGACTGTCTGGCTTCGGTCGGAACTCGAAGGCAGCTTTCTCTCTGAGGTTTGCAGCGGTTGCTGGGACTCTGTGAGGCAGAGCCCCTAGGGATGGAACTGAGAGCAGCCGTAACTGCTCGCTCCAGCCCGCCCTGTAGATCCCCGGGGACCCTCCCCGCCCAAGCCCTATGCAGAGCCATTTGCCGGATAGCCTCAGGCAAACACTAGATTAGCACCATCCTAGAGATCCAGCACAGAAGCTCTCCCACTGCAGACACAGCGGACTCTCATAGCCAGTTAGCCTGGAGGTCAAATCACCCCCGGTATTGCCAACAACAATCAAGGCTTAACTACAACAAGACTGCGCACAAAGACCACTATGGGGTGCACCAAGAAAGCATAAAAAATGCGAAGACAAAGAAACAGGACAAAACTGTCAATGGAGGATATTGAGTTCAGAACCACACTTTTAAGATCTCTTAAAAACTGTCTAGAAGCTGCCGATAAATGTAGTGAGATCCTCAAGAAATCTAATGAGACCCTCGATGTTATGATAAAGAACCAAGTAGAAATTAAGCATACACGGACTGAAATAACGAATACTATACAGACTCCCAACAGCAGACCAGAGGAGCGCAAGAATCAAGGCAAAGATTTGAAATGCGAAGAAGCAAAAAACACCCAACCAGAAAAGCAAAATGAAAAAAGAATCCGAAAATACGAAGATAGTGTAAGGAGCCTCTGGGACAGCTTCAAGCGTACCAACATCAGAATTATAGGGGTGCCAGAAGATGAGAGAGAGCAAGATATTGAAAACCTATTTGAAGAAATCATGACAGAAAACTTCCCCCACCTGGTGAAAGAAATAGACTTACAGGTCCAAGAAGCGCAGAGAACCCCAAACAAAAGGAATCCAAAGAGGACCACACCAAGACACATCATAAAATGCCAAGAGCAAAAGACAAAGAGAGAATCTTAAAAGCAGCAAGAGAAAGAAACTCAGTTACCTACAAGGGAATACCCATACGACTGTCAGCTGATTTCTCAACAGAAACTTTGCAGGCCAGAAGGGAATGGCAAGAAATATTCAAAGTGATGAATACCAAGAACCTACAACCAAGATTACTTTATCCAGCAAAGCTATCATTCAGAACTGAAGGTCAGATAAAGAGCTTCACAGATAAGGAAAAGCTAAAGGAGTTCATCACCACCAAACCAGTATTATATGAAATGCTGAAAGGTATCCTTTAAGAAGAGGAAGAAGAAGAAAAAGGTAAAGATACAAATTATGAACAACAAACATGCAGCTATCAACAAGTGAATCTAAGAATCAAGTGCATAAATAATCTGGTGATCATAATAGAATCAGGGACATAGAAAGGGAATGGACTGACTATTCTTGGGGGGGGGGAAAGGGGTGTGGGAGATGCGGGAAGAGACTGGACAAAAATTGTGCACCTATGGATGAGGACAGTGGGTGGGGAGTGAGGGCGGAGGGTGGGGCAGGAACTGGGAGGAGGGGAGTTATGGGGGGGAAAAAAGAGGAACAAATGTAATAATCTGAAAAATAAAGATTTAATTAAAAAAAAAAACATACCCTGATAAAACATATAGTCCAGCCGGTGTGGCTCAATGGATTGAGCCTCGTCCCATGCTCCAAAAGGTTATCAGTTCGATTCCCAGTCAGGGTATGTGCCCGAGTTGCAGGCTTGATCCCCACTAGGGAGTGTGCAGGGGGCAGCTGATCAATGTTTCTTTCCCTCTCCCTTCCTGTCTCTCAAAAAATCAATAAAAACAGGTCTGCTCCTCCCTGTATTGCAAAAACCCAAAATAAAACATACACGCATATATATAAATAAATAACAGTATTGGCAGGAAGAATACACATCAAATTTATAACAGTGGTTTCCTTGGGAGTGGGGAGGTGGGAGGTAGAGGTAGGGGAGAAGACCAGGAATTGGAAGGGAAATAAAGGGAACTGTAATTTTATTTATAATATTTCCTTTATATTAAAAAATCTAAAGCACATACAATAAGGTTTACATTTATAAAATCCAGGCAAAATTAGTATAACATATTTGATATATTATTATCTAAAGTTTTCCATCTTATAAAATTTATTAAATTAATAAATTGCATGGTTTAATTTTAAAATTCAACTTTATGATATTGTAAAGTATCTTGAAAGAAAGATAAGTGAACATTTTTTTCCATTTCTAGTAAACCTCTAAATAATGCCAGTAAACTTGCCCAACTTGTTGAAAAAAAACTTGAAAATTACTACAAGACTGACGAAAAGAGCCTAATAAAGGTAATGTATATAAGGCAGGTAGTGATTATGCGTAAAGTCTGACTTATTTCTTTATAAACCAATGAAGCTATTGTTTATTTTTCATTATTGATTTGGGAATCGTTAATATAGATGGTAGTAGAAACTGTAATACACAGTGGGGTTTAGTGGGGAAGATATGGGTTTTGCAGTTACTGTGTCCAAATCCTGGTCTGCCATTTAATTAACACATTGTTTGCGGGTAGTTTTTATCACGCGCTAACAGGTGGCGCGGGCCATTTTTGCTAATTTTTTGTGCAAATGGCAACGTTCAGTAAAATTACGATAACTTTAGTTTACATATTTATACGTTACCCGCATTCTACCGCTAGTCTATAAAAAACGTATTAATACATTCCCGCGCTCTACTACCAGTCAACGTAAAACGTATAAGTAAAATGTATAAATATGTTTCCCGCATACAATGTGTTAATAGATATGTCAATTTGGGAAAATTATGTAACTTTTCTATGCCTAAGTTTTCTTATCTACAAATTGGGAATAATGAGATAATACCTATTTTATAAAGGAGTGAGAGGGTTAAATGAGTTAATATATAAAGTTCTTAGAATAAACAGTCAATAAGTACAGTTACTCCTGTTATTACTAGCTCTGTGACCTTGGACAAGATTATTTATTCTGAGTTGTATTTTTATCTGTGAAATGGATAATATAACATATGCCTTGCTTGGTTGGTATGAAGATTAGGTGAGTTAACGTGTTTGGCACATATGGTAGTTTAATGATTGGCAACTGTTACTATCTTATGAAGATAGTATAAAGTAATCAAAGAGTAAGGTCCACACCCAGGGAATACCAGCATTTAGGCGTGGTTGGAAAATGAAGATCCTGACAGGTGGTGCCAGAGGGCAGGGAAGCCATATTACAGTAGCTAAGGAAGAAACTAGATTGTTGAGAAGAGGAGATGGTTAAGGAAACCATCAATTACAATGCTGTGTGATCAGTGGAATGAGAAGGATACAGAGAATGTAATGGGAACATAGGCTGGGGCTCACTCTGATTCTGCTGGAGTTCTGGAAGGCATCCTGGAGGAAGAGGCCCTTGCGCTTCAAGAATGAGTGTAAGTGATAGAAGAGGAATTGTATTGCTTGGATAACAGGCTATTTTGGGCAGAGGTCTAGAGAAAAAGGCAAAATTCACAATCTAACACCTTGGCTAGAATGGAGGGTTTATAGCTTAGACATATTGTTAGTTTAGAAATTTAAAAGTTACTAGTTTTTGCTTTGGAGGTTTAGCGAAAGCTGTTGCTGGTTGTAGTTATGAAGACAATGGCTCAGTACACATAGCATAGTAAGTAATCAGTAAATGTTTATTGAATGAGGGAAGAGATATACAATCAATATATTAGTAAATATCCTTTGTTCCTTCATGATTTCAGTGAAAAAAGGCAAAATCCACAAAAATACATAAATAAACTCATCTTTTCCATTCTTCCTTCCTGAAAACTACACTTTCTTTCAAATGCTTGATACCTTTCTTTCCTTATTCAAGGTCATGATAAAGTGTCACCTCCTTTTTGAAGCCTTTCCTGACTCTTTAGGTCAAGTGAGGCTTCTTCCCACACCCTGCCATAACCCTGAGCCCTGATAGAGCAGCTGTTTTTCCTGTTCATGTTTCTGAAGACTCCGAACGTACATGCATTGCGGGCTCATGCAGTGCCAGGGAGTTCTAAGTGTTACATGGTGTAATTACATTTAATCTTTATAATGATCTTATAAGCAAGGTTCCTATTATATTTTACAGTGAAAATACTGAGATGTTATTAACAAGTTAAGCAATTTACCCAAAGTCATACAGCAAGAAAGTGGTCAAGGCTGGACTCAAAACCAGATCTATCTGATTCCCAGAGGATGTGCTCTTAACCAGTAGACCATAAGGTTTATTTAAATGAGTGAATAGTTAATTAAACACTTTTCAAAGATCTAGCCTATGTAATTTACCTCTGCTGTATGTAAATAAATAGGAAATGTTTGTCTAATGAGTTGTAGGTATCTTACTGCTTTGAATAATCCAAATAATTTATAACTTCTTAAAATAACATATGAAAGATATTGGTATTAATTATTTTTTCCCAGCACTATTCACTGTTTAATGATTAATGCTGCTTGTGAATGAATGAAAGTAAGGCTTTCATTAAGATTTAGCATCTTAGCTGGTATCAGTATTATCTTTTTAAATAGCATGATGGTTAAGAGCACAGGCTGTGGAGTGAATCTGACCTGGGTTTGAATCTCCCTTCTGCCACTTACTAGCTATGTGATTTGGGCAAGTTATTTAAGCCTTTCTGCCCTCATTATCAAATGGAGATGAGAATGCTTGTCCTTTAGGGTTGCTATATAAGAATTAACTAATATATGTACTTCTTACTTAGCAAAGAGCTCAATTAATGGCTACTTTTCATAATTTGTTAGTTTTAGTGCTTACGGAGCTGAACCCCTAAAGAAAATAGACTTAATGCAAGCCAAATGTTATTTTTTAAAAGGAATGTTCACAATATTGAGCATATCCTCAATCTAATTATGAAAACTTTTGGTTTTGTAGTTTGGTTCCTCCCCTACCCCCTACTGTGCCACTCAGCTTTTTCCTTTTTAATAAATAATGACAGAACTTAGGAAAAGTCTGCCTTTGTTTTCTAAGATAGTATAAAAATGTGTTCACACAAAGAAATGGAAGTTTCTTAAGATAATTTTATCTTGTTATTTCAGGGTAAAACTCATTCCCAGCTCATAATAATTGACCGTGGCTTTGATCCTGTGTCCACTGTCCTGCATGAACTGACGTTTCAGGCAATGGCATATGATCTACTGCCGATTGAGAATGATACATACAAGCAAGTATAACTCCAAGGGCATCTATAGGGCATAAACAAACAGGATAAGATATGAGCAATTAATGGTTCTTGTATGCACTAGAAATCTAAAGTCTCTGTAACCTTTTTTATTCAGGGCCTTTATCCTCCTCTTCTCCTATAATCAGAATATATTTAAAATGTCTTAACCTTGTAAGTTAATGGGTAATTTGATGACTTTGAAGCTTTTTTGGTGTATTTGCTTGAGTATAGTAGAAAAAAGTGAAAATTAGTTTTCTGAAATTTTAGGTTTAATTTAGTAATTTTAATAGATTAAAAATATCCAAACACTTATGATAATTATACTTAGTATTTTTTCTTAAATCAAATATTATTAAATTAATTTTGTATTTTTCTTTCTTATATATTTTTTCTTTTTTTTCCCTCTTATACTTTTATTTGCATATTGGTCAAACTCAGGCTTTGTCTATTTGTTTTATTAGATGACATACAGAAATCAATATAGCTATTTTTTCTAATTTAAAAGTAGCTTCAAGCAGTTTATTCAGAATTTTCAAAAGAGATTATTATTACCTCTCATCCTTTAGGTCTCTAACCCTGCATTGCTTAAGAAATTTACAAAAGAATTAAACTGATGAACACTAAAGAATTTGGTTTCAGACTTTAGACATACACTTCAGACATTATGCAGTGTGTAGCACAAAGAGCTCAAGTAATGGGTACTTTTCATAAATTATATTAGCTTTAACCAAGTATTTAAAATACTTATCTTCCTAGGTTTGCTAGCAAGCAAAGCAAGGTTTAATTTTTTTAAGAGTAAGAGAGAGATTTATTTTTAAAAAAATCAATACTTTTTTATGAATGAAAGAAGTCCAAGAGCCCTAACCGGTTTGGCTCAGTGGACAGAGCATCGGCCTGTGGACTGAAAGGTCCCAGGTTTGATTCCGGTCAAGGGCATGTACCTTGGTTGCGGGCATATCCCCAGTGGGGATTGTGCAGGAGGCAGCTTATTGATGTTTCTCTCTCATCGATGTTTTTAACTCTCTATCCCTCTCCCTTTCTCTCTGTAAAAAATCAATAAAATATATTAAAAAAAAAAAAAAGTCCAAGAGTAAGACTAGATGGAGGCATGAATTCCCTGTGGTTTGTGCTGTGTCAGAATTTTTAATGGAAATAGAATACAAAGCAGGAAATGCTAAGTACCTTAATTTTTGTTTATAAATCAAAGGTTAAAGATATTCAGTAACTACAAGTGGCATTTTGATGACAAAAGGGCTGTTATCCTTAGGTGCAGCCTTATAATTAAGCACACTCACTCTGTGGGCATCTGTAATTAAGACCACATAGTTAGATGGCTTTATAGGCGGGACCTGTAATATTTTGGGGCTATGGAAATAATTGTATTCATACAGTAGAAGTCAACATACAGCTCTGTCCACAGTTCAGGGCTGGGAAAGCTCAGTGCTGTTCTTTCTAATCTTGGCTCAGGATAATCCCAGTCCCCAGGATGATTGAATCTCCTCAGCTCCCCATATGGAAGGAGGCTATCAGTATCAAAAGAAGGGAGAAAGTTTGGGGAAGCAGTCAGGAAGCCTATTTTAAGTAATTTCATGAACCCCTTGACTTGCTGCTCACTTTAGTAGAACTCATTAAAGCTATCACAATTTTTTATGACTACATTTGTTTTTCTCTCATTTCCTTACCCATTCTTTTTTTAAAGTTGAATTTATTGTGGTGACATGGTTAATAAAATTATATAGGTTTCAGGCCCTTTCCCATTCTTAAAAGGAGATGATTTTATAGGGTTAGGGAAGAAGAATATACAAACAAATGATACATGTTTGTGAATTTTGTACCAGCTCTGAAACAACTTCAGACATTTCTGTTCTTCACTTAGTGGATGGTTGATAGTTGTGCTAATGGTTATCAGGACATCAAAATTGTGTTTAAGCAATTAGAATAAAAATTATTAGTATACTCAGTCTTGTTCTTTTTTTTAAGTATTTTTATTGATTTTGAGAGAGAGGAATGGAGGGAGAGAGAGAAATATTGATGAGAAAGGGAAATAACAATGGGCTGCCTCCCACACACACCCTACCAGGAATTCGAGTCCACAACCTGGGCATGTGCCCTGACCAGAGAATCAAACTGGCATGAGATGATGCCCAACCAACTGAGCCACACTGAGCCAACCAAGGCACACAGTCGTCTCCTCCTCCTCCTCCTTTTTTTAAATGTATATTTACTGATTTCAGAGAGAAAGGAGAGGGAGGGAGAGAGAGAAACATCAATGATGAGAGAGAATCATTGATTGGCTGCTTCCTGCACACCCCCAACTGGGGATTGAGCCTACAATCTGGGCATGTGCCCTTGACCAGAATTGAACCCAGGATCCTTCAGTCTGCAGCCCAGCGCTCTAGCCACTGAGTCAAACCAGCAAGGGCCACAGTCTTGTTCTTAAAGTTGATTGTAGAACGTTGAATTTTTGTTTTATAGAATACTATTTTGCTAACCTAAAACTCTATAATGACGGCTAACTCTAACATTTGACAGTAAAAATGTCTTAGTAGGATTAACTTCTTGGCTTTTTAAAAATGTGTTTTCATTGATTTCAGAGAGAGGAGAGGAGAGGGAGAGAGAGAGATAAACATCAATGATGAGAGAGAATCATTGATCGGCTGCCTTCTGTATGCCCCTACTGGGGATTGAGCCCACAACCCATGCATGTGCCCTGACTGGGAATCCAATCCTGATCTCCTGGTTCATAGGTTGATTCACAACCACTGGCTTAGTAGCACTTTGATTTTTAATGTAAGGGTGGATACAAAAATAGTGGATATGTACTCTTCAGTTCTTGAACTGTGTCTTAAAATTATTGTGTGCAAAAGATGTTTCTTCAACTTTTCTGGGGGGAAAATAATTAAAAGTTTTTACTTGTGTCTACTTGTAGATATAAAACTGACGGGAAAGAAAAGGAGGCGATCCTTGAAGAAGATGATGACCTCTGGGTCAGAATTCGACACCGGCATATTGCAGTTGTATTAGAGTATGTGAATCTGTTTTAATTTTTATTTCATGTTTTTTGAAGATTAAATACATGAAAGTACAGTTTGTAATCTTAAATGTCTCTGTAAAGAATTACACCTTAGAAATTTAAAGAATTCTCTCAACTTTACAGGGAAATTCCCAAGCTTATGAAGGAAATTTCATCAACAAAAAAAGCAACAGAAGGAAAGGTAAGAATGAGTCTTATTTAACTTTCAAAATGATGAAGTTGTTATATAGAATAACTGAATCATAAGTTTAATTTTAAAATGTTTGGTTTTTTCCTAGACATCACTTAGTGCTCTTGCCCAACTAATGAAAAAGATGCCGCATTTCCGAAAACAGATTACTAAGGTGAGAGTACTGTATGTGAGACCTTATTTATTAATCCACCTAGTTCTGTAGTCAGGGGTAGCAGTGGGTGTCATGGAATACTTGGTGTTAGTTTCCCTGTAAAACCTTATTCTAGTTCTAAGAAATACCCTAAGTAACTAAGCTTTCCAATAGGATTCCCTCTATATATAATCTAGATTTATCCATATCCAGCTTAAACTTCTTTATATCTTTGTCTTGGATAGCCATATAGAGAATGTTTAGCATTTATCAACTTAATAAGAAAATTCAACATTGGTTCAACCGTGATTGTTATTCTACTTGGTTCTTTAAATTAATAGATTTAAGAGTAGTTAAACTATGTGGGCAGATAAACTGCTGTCCCCGTTATTCTTACGAGTTATTATTGGAATAATTTTTACCAATTTTTTATCGTATTGCACCCTAATTAAGAACTAGTAATGTAAATTCAGACTTTTTCTGCTGGACTTTAAGGAGTGGACTTCCCCCCCCCCCACCTTATTTTTTGTTACTCAGAAACCCAACACAAATTCAATCCTTTCATTTTATTTAATTTTTTTCAAATATGTTTTCATTGATTTCAAAAAGGAAGGAAGAGGGAGAGAGTGATAGAAACATCAATGATGATAATCATCCATAGCTTCCTCCTGCACACCCCTTACTGGGTTTCAAGCCCACAACCCTGGCATGTGCCCTGACCAGGAATTGAACTGTGACCTCCTGGTTCATGAGTCGATGCTCAACCACTGAGCCACACCGGCCAGGCCTTTCATTTTATTTCTTGCTGTCCATTGATTGTCCCCTGTAGATCATGTTAATTCTCACTTTTTCCCCCTTTTTTTGAGTTGTTTCCCTTTGGTGTACATGGTACTTCCTTTCCATCCAAACCCATACTTCCCTTCAGGCCAATCTCAAAGTTTAACATTACATACCAAAAAAAAGTGAAATGCTTTGAATCAGTGATTTTCAACCTTTTTCATCTGGAAAAAAAAAAGGTGTAATTTTGATTCATTCACACCAGACGGCTGTTGTTGTGTAGGCTGTTGTCACTTTTTTTATTTGACAATCTAAGGGAAAAGAGGTCAGTGCTCCTGATTAAATAATCAGGTATTGCATGTTGAAACATGCTGCGGCACACCAGTTGAAAATCACTGCTTTAAATTATTGATTTTTTTGTTGTTTTTCAGCAAGTTGTTCATCTTAACATAGCAGAAGATTGCATGAATAAATTCAAGTCTAATATAGAAAAGCTCTGCAAAACTGAACAGGTATGTACAATCAGAAATACCTATGTTCGTAATAGATTTCCTGAGTGATCTTTCTAAGATAAAACCTAACTTTGCTCAATACAGTGTGTCCAGAATCACAGAATCTCTCTTAGAAGGGGACTCACCTAGGTCATATTGAATACGTCATGCCCCACCAATTAACAAGTAGCTATATATGGTATCAGTAGTAAGCAAGCCCCTCCTACTCTGTGATGATGCATTTTTGATTGAATGGGATGATTTGAGTGTTTGGAGCATTGTTCCGGGTAGCATTGTTGGCAGGCCTTTCTCAGGGTGCAGCACTGAACGCAGCATCCTGCAGAGCACTGCACAGGCACATTGACTCTGTTAAGGAGGCTCCTCTGCAGTGCACATCTTAATTCCCACGAGGCACACTTCACGTGCACAGGAGCCGCATGTGGTCATGGCCACCCTGGTCATCGCACAGGTTTATGGTGATGGTTTTCTTTTTCTCTGAATTATTTTTTGACTTTTTGCACTTCCTGCAATCAGAAGTTTGCAAGTGATGCCCACATTTTCCTGTGAAATGTCATCAGTATACCATTACAATTTAGCAAGATTTTGCCCAGCTGGTGTGCTCAGTGGTGAAGCAGCAACCCATGCACCAAGAGGAGCTGGTTCGATTGCTGGTCAGGGCACACGCCGGGATTGCGGGCCCAGTCCCCAGTGGGAGTCCTGCAGGAGGCAGCCGATGGATGGTCTTTCTCATCGATACTTCTGCTTCTCCCTCTTTCTTCTCTCCCTGAAATTAATAAAAACATCTTTTTAAAAAATTTAGCAACATTTTCAACTGAAATGAACTTGGGTTATGGACCACTGACTGTGTCATTTTCAATAAGGACCTGGCGCTGGGAACTGATGCAGAAGGACAGAAGGTGAAGGATTCCATGCGAGTGCTCTTGCCAGTTCTGCTCAGCAAAAACCACGATAATTATGATAAAATACGAGCAATCCTGCTCTATATCTTCAGTAATAATGGTAATGGAGACTTTGTTCATTTTCATAAATATATTAGAGTATCCAGCTCTGAAATCACATTATAATAAGTGGTTTACTAAGAAAATTAAAGGTGGTAGCTGAAGTTGGTTAAGATAAGGAAAGGGAAAAATATGAAATTGGGAGAAGACTGAAGGATATATAATTTAAATGTTTGCTTTTTATTTAAACATTATTATTAGATACCACCTAAAACCTAGAAATGATTGTGGTAGCAATTATATGACTCATATCTTTACTTATCTAAGGAACAACGGAAGAAAATCTGGATAGGCTGATCCAGAATGTAAAGATAGAAAATGAGAGTGATATGATTCGTAACTGGAGTTACCTTGGTGTCCCCATTGTCCCCCCGGTAAGAAATCTTAAATTCTATATGTACTTACATGTATGCATGTGCAGTTGATTGCATCAAATGTTTTCTTATATGGGTATCCATGTAGATAGTTTTCTAAATTTTACTCCAAAGATTTGGTAAGTAAAACATTAACATTTTGGCCGAAACCGGTTTGGCTCAGTGGATAGAGCGTCGGCCTGCGGACTGAGGGGTCCCGGGTTCGATTCCGGTCGGGGGCATGTACCTGGGTTGCGGGCACATCCCCGGTGGGGGATGTGCAGGAGGCGGCTGGTCGATGTTTCTCTCTCATCGATGTTTCTGACTCTCTATCTCTCTCCCTTCCTCTCTGTAAAAAATCAATAAAATATATTTAAAAAAAAAAAAAATTAACATTTTGTTTTCCATATATGAGTAATTTAGACAATTGCACCTTCCTGGTGAATTTATATCTTAGGGTTTCTCTTGTAATTTGCTATTTATGCTTTTCTCTTTATAATTAATTTAAAACAAATTTTGAAAGAACTCTATTTGGAATCTCATTCTTTTCCCATTAAATTCTATAGCCCTTTTGAATAAACGTATTTTCTGGTCCTATTATAAATTTTATCCTTAAAGCAAAAAATACTGTTAAGTTATATGTCCACAACTATTCAGATTATTTGAACAGGCATTTCCAATCTTACTTTTAAGTAGTACAACATAGTATTTGCTGTAAATTAAATGTCTGTGTTAGAAAACTTAATAAAAATACACTAAATAAATTGCTGATTTTTAATCCCCCCCCTCCCCATCTAATTATATTAGTCTCCACAAGGCAAACCATCAAGAAAGGATCGGTCTGCAGAAGAAACTTTCCAACTCTCTCGATGGACACCTTATATCAAAGATATTTTGGAGGTAAAATTCACTAAATTTTACTTATACCTTGAATGGCCTCCTGTAGAGCATTCTTAACTGTCTGTAGTTTATAGGCTAGAATTGTCTGCAGTACTGGGAGGTTCACTGAAGAAGCCTGTATCTGGGGTCAAGGCGGGAGAGGAAACTCTTAAAGATTCTTTCCTTGAAGACCTCAAACAAACACCACTGGTTGCCTCCAAATAAATAAATAAAATCAGCACACACATGCTTTATGGGAAAAACTGCTGCTGTTTTAAATAACTATATGTAACAGATATACAAATAATTTCTTTGAACGAAAGTCCAAACAAAATAACACTTGTATATAACCACTGCTATAAAGTGTTAGACTTCAATATTCTTGGAAATGTATCTGTGATTAAAATGTAAACCTCACTGTGGTTTGCTGTTATATTCAACAGATGGTTTGTGCCTTTTAGTATTGTTCACTTAGAAGATATTCAATTATAGGAAATCAGAAAATAGACTAATAAAAATTGTTTTATGAACTCAGTCAAATCATGACATTGATTCTTCAGTCAAAATTGCTAGTACATAGTTCATTTATTTCAATTTTTCTTTGACTTAAACTGAAATTTCTACTTTCCTTTAGTATCTAATTGGATACAATTTATTACTATGATTTTCCTGTTTTCTTTGACTAGTTTTATGCCACTCACACATGCTTAATCATAATTGAAAAGTTTTAAAAATTTAGACTTTATTTTCTGAAGCATAAGATTTTCCCCCCTTATAACAGGGATATAGAACTAACTAGTTTTTCTTGGCTTGTATTTTCAAAGTAAGAATTGATTTTCTCAAACCCTTTAACAAAGATTTGCATGTTAAACTTAGAAAATCCACTTTTGGCTAAGTGGCAGTGTAAGACCTTCAGGATTTTCCTGAAACTTGGTTTCTTCGCTTCCTGCAGTCTTTTTGAGATATTCTTCGACTACTGATTGTGTCTACTCATTAATACCACATGCTGTAAAGCAGTGGCCCCCAACTTTTTTTGATCATGCACACTTAACCATAAAAAATGTGAACATAAGCTTATAGCATGACTGTTCATTTATAAACTATGTATTACTGTACAAATAAACTATATATACAGTATATCCACATACATAAGTTTATCATAAAATATAACCCTTAAAAAAAAGGAAAAATGTGTAAATGAAAATTTCCCTCCTCCCTTTGTGTTGTGTTGTGTAGCCTGGGCTGGGGGTGCACATCCTGCGGTAGAGCCACTGCTGCGGGGGCAAGGCCTGCACTCCCTGGTAGCTTACGAGGTGTCCGGACTAGGATAGTATTAGAAACCCTAGCACTCCAGACAGAATGGTCCTGAGAGATGCCTGGAATTCTCACCCCAACGTGGGGCCCTCCCAGTAAAGAAATGTAGGCATGCAGTTTAGTAAGTAAGTAAATGATTGCGTTAATTTTTGAAGCAAGTAAGGTTTGCGAGGTCCAAAGAAAGGGCTAACCTTATTATTAAATATCTGTATATCCTTATGATCCTTAATTATAAATACAAATTTTGAGTTTTATGCAAAACAGACAAGTAAATAAAAATATCTTGGAATTTACATTTTCTTGATGGTGTTAATTCTTTTCTTCCCTAGGATGCCATTGATAATAGATTAGATTCAAAGGAATGGCCATATTGTTCCCAGTGCCCAGCAGTGTGGAATGGCTCAGGAGCTGTAAGGTAAAACCTATAAATATTTTGTGTGGGAACCAATAGTGTATCTTGTTTCTGTTCCATCTTTCAAAACTAGCCACGAATTCTTTCCCTTTTCCTGTCACTACCTCGTTGTTCCTTAAGGTGGCAGATGGGAACCATCATCCCAAGGCTGGACAGACTGAGAACATTTTAAAAAGTGTGCTGTGGGCTCCAACATTGCAGGGTCTTAGAGGTCAACTAGAGCATGGATTCCAGAGTGGTAACAAGATGATTGTTGGGTACTTACTTATACCTTAAAAAGGGAGAAATTAAGTTTTATTAATGTACACTAGCACACACATAATTTATAAACTAATATAGTATATTTTTAATAGATGCATAAAATATTTATTTTGATATATTTATTTACTTTTCAAATACAAGTTCAAAATTTTTACCAGTAGGGTACAAAAACAAAAACAGGTGATCCCCATGGTCTAGAGTAGACAGTGCTCTCTAGTGGCACCTTCTGCCGAGAGGGAAAAGTCCTGTAGCCACACTATCCAGCTTGACAGCCACTAGCCACTGGAGCTGCTGAGCATTGTATGTGACCAGTGTGACCGAGGAACTGAAATTTCCATTTTATTTAGTTTTAATAAATTTAAGTAGCTTCATGTGACAAAGTGGCTACTGTATTGGACAGTGCATATCTAAAGCAATCTTGGGGAGAAAATGGTAGAAATAATGGCTACTATCTATTGAGTGTTTTTGTGGTACCAAATTCCATACTTTGTGTGTTCTAAACGTTACTTCATTTAATCTGAAAACAACCCTTACAGTTTAGAGAGCAGTTAAGTAACTTGCTGAAAGTCATAACTGCATTAGAAAGAAGCAGAATCAGAGTTGAAACTCAGGTCTAATTCTTTTTTAAACAGCTTTATTGAAGTATATGTAATTGACGTAATAACTTTGTATATGCCTTTATACATATAAAAACAACTTGATGTTTTGATATGTATACATTGTAAAAAGATTACTACAGATGTACCCATCACTTTACATAACTACTGTTTCTTCTTTTATGTATTTTTTGTGTGTGTGGTAAAAGGATTTAACTTAAGATCTACCCTCTTAGCGAATTTCAAGTATACAATGCAGCTTTGTTTATTCTGGTTTCGCTGCTGTACGTTGGATCTCTAAAACATAGTCATTTTGCACAACTGAAACTTTGTGCCCTTTGACCAACATTGCCTCATTTCCCCCTCCCCTCAGCCCCTGGCAACTAACGTTTTGTTCTCTGCATGTGTAAGTTTGACTGTTTTAGATTCCACGTATAAGTGAGATTATATAGTATTTGTCTTTCTGAGTCCGGCTTATTTCACTTAACCTAATGTCCTCTAGGTCCATTTATATAGTTGCAAATGGCAGAATTCATTTTTTAAGGCTGAGTAATATCCCATTGTATATATACACACCACATTGTTTTTACCCACTTGCTCGTCGACATTTAGGTTGTTTCGTATCTTGGCTGTTGTGAATAATGCTGCTGTGAACATGGGAGTGAAGATGTCTTCAGTACCTCCCACCATCATACTCTACTGACTTTCAGCAAGGGATGTCCCAATACCACATCAGCTCCTGCGAACCCCCCACCCCACCGTATCTTTAAATGCCTATTGTTTCACCGCTACTTCCCTATTTCTTTAACTTCAAGAAGCCAGAGACTTCAGGTATATTACTTCTTCAAGTGAAATAAGTAAGAGAGGGAGTTAGCTCTATTTTATAGGCAAACATGCTGAGCTAGATTATGAGTGATTTATCCAAACTATCAGATCAAAATTAAACTTGAAGTGGGACTTGTCCTGCCTAATTCTTGGTGCCAAGTTCTTTCATACATAGTTACCTGGTAAGTCATTTCCTTAAAATTATGTCACCGGTGCCAAGTCTGAATTTGCTTGAATGAGGCTTTTTGAAAAGTTTATAAGCAGGAAGGCTTTGGGAGTATTTGTAACACGTTAGTGTTTTTTTATTTTTTAGTGCTCGCCAGAAACCCAGAGGTAATTATTTGGAAGACCGAAAAAACGGGTCCACGCTGATTGTTTTTGTTATCGGAGGAATTACGTACTCTGAAATGCGTTGTGCTTACGAAGTTTCTCAGGCACACAAATCCTGTGGAGTTATTATTGGTAAGACTTGTTTGCCTCTCTTCTATTTCTCTAAACAAACTCTAAATGCAAAAATATATATGTAAAACTTTATCTTGTACTTTACATTTAGAACTAAATTGTTGAAAGCTGGACAATTTGTTTTAATCATAGTGTGTTTCATCTGATGTACTAGAGTTTTTCCTGGTTGTCCTTTGGATTATTTTATTTTTAAATATCCTGTTTTTGAAGGAATGAGCTTCAAAATACTACATTCTTTAAATATTATTACATATATCCTTTAAAATGTTATATTCTATATTTTTCTTGTTCTCATCATTAAATAATTTTTGAGACACTTCTACAGAAATATTTTGAGTTATTTTGTGAATGTGGATATGACATTGTTAAAGCCTGTATATGGAATTTAGTTTTAAGAATTTCAGTCAAAGCCACTGATATACAAACTCTCCTGACCCTGGCCTCAGTCCTCAGCACTGCTTAATGGTTCTCTGTGATTGAACAGTGACTGTTCTTGTCACGAAGGTAGAGTAACCTCCAGTTTGGCTCCCCAGTATATCAATATATAGTACAAGGTAGACAAAGTACCAGGAGGGGGCAGTATTTCTGAAGGTTTACTGAGCATGTTCAATGAGGAAGGATTGAAATACTGCGGTATAAGCAGATTTCAGGAAGGTGTCCTATAGGACTTCTGTTAAAATGCTCCAAGTTGTACTAACTTTGCATATTTGAAGGACAGGACAATATGGTTAGTCAAGGAAAATGGATTTAACTGCTGGCCTCTGAAAAAAATTTATCTTTTGTCCTACCAGGTTCTACCCATATTTTAACACCCAAAAAGCTGTTGGATGACATAAAGATGCTGAATAAATCCAAGGATAAAGTCTCCATTATGAAGGATGAATAGTATTTGGGGGTGGGATGGTTCTTATTCTTTCAACTAAACTAGAGCAAGACAGTGTTGCTTTTATGCAGTTTCAACAATGTAAATATTTTATGGAATAATGGTTTTTCAAATATATTTCTTAAAGGACTGCTTATGGTTACATATAATTGGGTTTGACATTTTTAATTTAAACGTTGATATTTTGTTGATGATGAGAAGAAATATTAAAATGCTTTTAAAAGGAAATCTTTTCACCTTTGGAATAGAATATGAGTTGTGGGTAATTTTTTACAGCCACCTGTGTACATACTAATGACTTCTTAAATACTTATCTGTTTTATACTAAAGTATAGTTTTTGGGGAAAGAATGATTTTAAATGAAAAGGTTATAAAATTAAAAACTGTAAATGTGTATATATGATAAAGGATTTTTCTGTACATGAGATTTTTCTTTCAACTAAAATTTATAATTTCCTTTATGTGTAAAATAATTCAGTTGTAAAATTAGAAAGATTTCACAGTATGTACTGTCTTTCTAGATACTTCTAAAGAACACAGTTTTATATCACTTTGAAATCATGTATGTTTAAATTGAAAAACCAAAAGTACTCATGAATATTCTAAGAAAAAATAAATATGTAGTTACAAAATTATCTTTGTTTTGGGTGGGGAGAGGTAGAGGAAGTTAGGAAGTTTAAAAGTTCTAAGCCAAGGAGTTAGAAAGGGAATGCACGTTAATCTTCCTACCAAGGTAACCCATTGACTTTTTAAAAAGTCATGTAATATATGTATAAGGTTGGGTAATACTGTTTCCATGCACTGCTTGACAGCAGGGATATGTTCGGAGAAATGTGGCATTAGGCAATTTTGTCCTTGTGTGGATATCATCCAGTATCTGCTGCACACCTGGCTTGTATGGTGTAGCCTATCGTTCCCAGGCTACAAGCCTGTACAACATGAGATTAAATCAAGCAGAAGAGAAAATGATGCAATCGAGAGACACGCTAAACACAAGACGTACGAGGCTGCTGCTGGCATAACACAACATACTGCTTTACAGCAAACTTTTTAAAAAATGTTTTCATTGGTTTTAGAAAGAGAGGAAGGGAGAGAAAGAGAAACATTGATGGGAGAGAGAAACATCAATCAGTTGCCTCCTGTACCCACCCCAACTGGGGATCAAACCCAAAACCCTGGGTATATGCCCTGACTGGGAATGGAACCAGTGCATGGGATGACTCTCAACCAACTGAGCCACACCAGCCAGGGTAAAATTTTTTATGAATAGAAAAGAAAAAATATACTCTAAAATGACAATAAAAAGTATAAATGCAGCCCAGCCGGTGTGGCTTAGTGGTTGAGCATCAGCCTATGAACCAGGAGGTCATGGTTCAATTCCCAATCAAGGGCACATGCCTGGGTTACGGGCTTGACCCCCAGTAGGGGGTGGCAAGAGGCAGCCAATCAATGATTCTCTCTCATCTTTGATGCTTCTATCTCTCCTTCTCCCTTCCTCTTTGAAATCAATAAAAAATATACTTTTTAAAAAGTATAAATACATAAACCAGCAACAGTTGCTTATTATTATTAAGTATTATATATTATATATAATTACATGTGCTATACTTTTATACAAGTGGCAGTGCAGCAGGTTTGTTTACACCAGTATTACCACAAACATGAGTCATGAATTGTGCTGTGATGTCCTAGGTCCATGGTCAGCAAACCGCGGCTCACGAGCCACATGCGGCTCTTTGGCCCCTTCAGTGTGGCTCTTCCACAAAATACCACATAGGGGCGCGCACGTACAGTGCGATTGAAACTTCGTGGCCCATGCGCAGAAGTCGGTATTTTGTGGAAGAGCCACACTCAAGGGCCAAAGAGCCGCGTGTGGCTCATGAGCCACAGTTTGCTGAGCCGTGGTTTGCTGACCACTGTCCTAGGTGATGGTAATTTTTCAGCTCCAGTATAATCTCATGGGAGCACTGTTGTATATGTGATTCGTTGACTACAACATCATTATGTGGCCCATCACCATATAAGGATATGTCTGCACAAACGGAACATGTGTTAACATATATGAAGTACTGGTGCGGCTGAGCAGCAGACCTGAGCGACGGATGAACGGATTGCTCTGACACGTTCTGTGAAAGAAAGGCTAAGGGACTGTTTTACTTTAGAAGTAAAAAACAGTCCTCTTCAACTGTCCTCTTAGGCTTTTATTATCACAACAGCTTGAACTAAAATTAACCTCTAGATACAATCAGCAGGGTAAGTACCCTTGAGAAAGTATATGCTCCTACAAGGTCGGGTCTTTAAAGACTAACATAGAAATTCTAGCAAAATACCCCTGGGGATCGGGCTCCTTTGGAAAAGTCAAGGTAGGGGCTGCCGCCTTTGGCAAGGTTCCCTCAGAGGCCCCCGACCTTTCAGAGAATCCTCCTTACAGACATTCCAACCAAGTCCCGTGCTTCCCCACAAAGTACGCGTTACACAAAGGGAACGTCTTTATTTTAAACCTGTCCTTTTACCTGGCCTCTTGGTTCTGTCATGTGACGGACCATAATTTCATATATTACTCGTCTTCAGAGTTTTGCTCTTACAAATAATGCTTCATTGCAGACTTCCACAATATTTCTATAACGTAAATTTTTAGCAATGACATAACTGCTCAAAGTATTTAAAATATGATAGATGCACCATTTTTAATTTCTATGTAGATAAATCTATCACTTTTCCTTATTGGTGTCTGAATTTTATGTTGTACATAGAAATACCCTTTGCACCCAAGATTAAGTCTCCCATTGTTTCTTCTAGGACATTTTGATGTATTCATTTTATTTTTTGCAGGTAATTCATCTATCTGGAATTGATTTTAGTGTGAGAATGTATGCTAGATACTATCTCTCAGCTCTTGCCTTTAGATCCCATGCCTCTCCATCCCTTCCCACAGGGCATGAAAGGCTGAAAATGAAGTTTTGCAGACTCAACAGTAAGTGGCACAGAGATTTAGACTAAGACATTGCCCTGGGACAAATGGAACTCCGATGTGATGGCAGCAGTTACTGCCCGTTGAGTCGGTCACTCAGCCCCTCAGTGACCACTTTGCCCTTTTGTACTGATGGGAGATCCTGTGAGGCCTGCACTGCAGGTATATTTTAGGCTTAGCGTTGAAGAGACCCTTCGTTTCCTGAGTCTCTCACTGAACTTGAAGACATAAGAGGTCATCTCACCTAAATTCCTTAGACTTAGCATGTACAGATTCTGATTTCAAGACCCTGAAAAAAAACCTTTTTTGTTCTTGCAGCTAACACATTTATTCACTATCTCTGAAGCATGGTTTTGCTTCCTGTTGAAGTGTGCTTGGTCTGCGAAGTATAGTGGATTCACATTGCTCAGCCATATTCACAAGAACGAAGAAAATATCAGTAGTTCATGACACAAAATTTTTTGGATTCAAGCCCAAAGGCCAAGATCCTGGCAGTTTATGTTGTTAGATGTGATGCCTCTATAACTCAGCTGTGGTGTGGGTGTCTGGTACCCCTTATGACTCCCATCAGGATGCAGGCCGATTTATTTTTTATTTTTTAAATATATTTTTATTGATTTCAGAGAGGGAGAGAGAGAAAAACATCGATGAGAAAGAATCATCAATTGGCTGCCTCCCGCACACCCCCACTGGGGACCAAGCCCGCAACCTGGGCATGTACCCTTGACTGGAATCAAACCCAGGACCCTTCAGTCTGCAGGCCGATGCACTGAGCCAAACCAGCTAGGGCCAGGCCAATTTCTTTTAAAATCAAAGGAGCAAGAAATACCTTCTATAGCGAAGCTTTACTACCAAACACTTGGGTATTAAATATAGATACATATATATTCATATTTAGTATGTATTAGGTATATTTTAAGTAATTATTAACAATAAGATTGAATAGGAATGAATAGTAAAAGGATGCGTTTTCATATATGTCCTCTGTAGTTAAAGTGGATGGCTAGAACTTCTAAAGAGGTGATAGCATTCTACAAGCTGTCCCCTCACCCAGCTGTCTTGGTCCTGGTGCCTCAAGCAGGAAGCAAGCACAGAGGCCTCTCTGCTGTGGAGGGTGCCAAGTGTCTTTACAACACCCCTGCCCCCAGCAGTCCTGAGCCTGTGACTCAGCATTTGGAGATGCAATCACTGTCGCTTAACAAGCTTGTTTTTCTGGTTTATTCCTGCAGCAGGATTGGAAGAGAGGTCTATCAGCATTGGCACAAAGAAGTTGCGTGAGGGAGGCCCCAGCCAAAGCTACAGCATCAGTAAATCTCACATTATCTTTGTCAATCAGAGCCTGTAGCAGCACTTCCGCAGAAGCCTGAAGGCGGTTGCCCTACTTCTGTGCCTCGGGTGAGTCATGGTGCAGTGACTGTTGCTAATGCCCTCAGTCATCAAGGAGATGAGAAATTACATCTAGAATACAGCTACATACAGCAGAGGTGGGTTGTGTTTTTAAATAAAAATGATTTCAGCAGTGAGCTCCTCTAAAGGGTAATGCAAGGGGTCAGGAAGGTCATTGATGGTGCTTTCTACCCGGAGTTCCATGGGCTTGTTCAGTGCCCGTGGACTTGTGAAAACTGGGTGCCAAGTTGTTCCTGTTTACATGTCGCTTTTCCGTGGGAGAGTGACGCATAGGGAGGGAGACTCCACAGGTTTCATCAGATCTCAGAGAGGTTTGAACCCCAGAAAGGTCAAGAAACAATGCGTCGCTTAAGAACACCGTAAGCCAGAGAGTTGTGTGATTTTAAACTTGGGGACAGGGTGGCGATGCTTGGTGCACAAACAGGTTCTCAAGCTGTGATGAGTTTAGGTCTGTGATGAAGCTAGAAGCCCCTGAGCACGTATACAGTTTAAGCCCCATTTTTTTCCTCTTAAAATTCGACCAACAGTCTTGACTCTTCCTCACAGTGCCGCAGCCAAACGTGAACTTGGCCACAAAGTCAGAGGAGTCTTGAGTCTGGCCTCTGCTCGCTCTCTCTCCCCCAAGGCACCAAAACTCATTTCCAAGCCCCAGAGTTAAAAATAACCCCTTCTCCAGCTGGACCAACAGCAGCTGCTGGTCAGCACAGAACCCTCTCTGTGGGAATGGTCCCGCTCTTCCCCTGAGCACAGCCGGGGAGCGGAAAGCCATTTCTTGACTTTGGAGTGAATGGAGGCCTCAGGAAAGAGGGAAGCACACCATTATAATGAAGTGTCTTCACTTTTGTCCCAAATTTCATGAACCTAGAGCTAGGACTGTCATTTTTGTGTATTTCTGGCTTTAAGAGATCTTCACCCAAATGATTTATGAGAATTTTGTAAGAACTACAGAAAGTCAATGTAAAGTCCCTCCACTTCCCCGCAGAGCTCCCGGTTCCTCTTCCTAGAGGCCCACTCGGTGTTTCTGCGTGCTTTCCAGTGGTGTGTGTGCCCTTTGAAGACCGTACACAAAAGATCACACCTGTGCATCATTAGGCAGCGTGCTTCCCCCCTCACACTATCTTGAAGATTAACCCACCTCATTCTTTTCACTGGCTGCAGAGTCTTAACTGTATGACTGACATCTGTGTTTATGAATGGCCACATTGGGTGTTTAGATTAGTTCCAGTTGGGTCTGTTCCCATCTGTGCCGCTTGGCCATCCTCCCTCCCATACCATGGCCTGTTGGGTGAGTCACCTGTGAAGTAAACAGCTAGTGGTGGAATTCCTGCTCGAGGTCAAGTGCGTGTCGAATTTGATAGAATTTGCACCAGTTTGTACTTCCAGCATCAGTGCCTGAGAGTACCTGTCTCCCCCAGCCTCTGATACTGGGTTTTCCAACTTTTTTTTTTTTTTTTTTTGCCATACTAATAACTAAAAGTATGTTTTAATTTCTCTTCTCTTATTATGTGTTAGGAATAACAGATTTATTTTCAAATAAATACTTGTTGATTAGAGTATAAGAATCAGAGGTCCCTTTTTTCTCATTTAAGTACCGTTGTGTTCCCATTTCTTATGGTTTTGGCATTTTCTCTAGAAATTTATCCTAAATTGTGTAATAAGTAAAATAATTTGAGGGGAAGATTAAGTTTTCTTTGCCTTTCTTTTTTTCTCAAATCCCCAGTCACCTTGCATCAAACCAGTATTTCAATCGATTCCTCCATCTCTGTAGTTTGGCGAGATCTTCTGCAATAGTTCTGATCATTTGATCAGTTGTTTCTTTCAAAATGTTTGCTGTCCTCAGGGCATGGTCCAGAGACACGGCTAAACCCTGCGGAGGACAAGTGCGCATATTTTAGTCACACACGTTTGCCACTGTTCCTGTTAACTGAGTTCTGTCATCACACACTGCCAGGTGGAATTGGGAGTGCTCTTTTTTCCACCCGGTCTGTTTCTGTTTTTTCCACCAGGTCTGTTTCTGTTTTTGAGAGTTGGTTTCCTAGGAAACCAGTCGGAGATGGAAGGTATTTTTTAGAGCAAGGGACAGAAAAAGGACTGACACGTGACTGATGAGCATGAATCAGAGGGTGAGGTCAGAAACCTGCTGGGCCCATTCCCTGCTGTTGAGAAAGAGATCTGAGAAAAGGAAAGTTCTTGGGGCCACTGAAGGGGACTGGGGGACATGACCACTGAGAGGGCAGGGATACCACACATGCGTGCACAAGCCTTGGGAAGTGGCCTGGGATTCGAGTTTCTGATTGGAAAAAATATGTGGCTAGCAGCTCTAAGCCCATTGTCGGTGGAACAGTCCTGAGAGCGGCCAGGGGATCCTGTAGCTGAGGCACTGCCCACAAAGTTCCCCTGGGAACCAGTTTAGGAGTAGCACACACCACGTGGCTGCTCAGGCCCTCTGTCTTTAGGTTAGTGCTGCGCACACACTGTTGTTAGCAGAGCATTTTGGGTGCTCCGTACTGTAATAATTTAGAAGCCATCAATTTTGTGGTCAGCAAGACCAAACTTACAAGCTGCAAGGATTCTAGAATGTTTTTCTGAGTCCTCACCTCAGATTTCGTTTCTTCGTCACTGCTAACGTTGCTTAAGGATTGGCCTCCAGAAACCCTGCCAGAGTGGAAATGGGGGGAGGATGTAGCCAGGTCTGAAGTGGAGGTCATGGGAGCCTTAAGGTTTTTTCTGGAAGGCAAAAGCACAGGGATACTCATGGGAAGCGCCACCCTCAGCTCTGGGGTGCAGGGTGCCTGTGTGCTGGTGTGGAGGCCGGCACCCTCTGTGTTGCCGCTGTCACAGTGCCTTGGTGGATGACCGCAGCTGAGCTTCCCACATCAGGGCCTTCCCACATCGGAAGCTCATGTAGACTGGAAGGGTCTCTCTTCCCCCTGTCTCCCTTGCTAGCTCATTCATTTAATCTTTGGAGTTGAGCTTCCCTGAACCCCCATATTAGGTAATAGCACTTGGAGTGACCTCTTCTTGGCACTCACACACAACCTCCTCTTCCCAAAAAGTGAGCTCCCTGAGGGCAGGGCCAGGGTCCGCTCTGTCACTGGTTCAGCAGCTAGCACAGTGCCTGCTGTGGACACGCGGATAACGTGGTGAGTGAACACATGGAAGACTGACGTCCTAGCCAGACTTCAGTTTGAATCCGGCTCTCCTACTCAGGATCTAGAACAGCTGTGGGCAAACTACAGCCCGCGGGCCGGATCTGGCCCGTTTGAAATGAATAAAACTAAAAAAAAAAAAGACCGTACCCTTTTATGTAATGATGTTTACTTTGAATTTATATTAGTTCACACAAACACTCCATCCATGCTTTTGTTCTGGCCCTCCGGTCCAGTTTAAGAACCCATTGTGGCCCTCGAGTCAAACCGTTTGCCCACCCCTGGTCTAGAATCTAGATGATCTTGGGAGGTAAGTTAATGCATTAAGCACATAGTATGCACCCAGCCAGTGGGTAGCCGTTCTTGTCGTCATTACTAATGAGAGTGATACTTACTTTCCTGGTTTGGGCTCTCGCTCATCTTGAGAGGACTTTGAATTTGCTCTCTGGGAACAGATCCAGTTTGGTTTGGAATAAGCTGGAAAATGTTGGTTCTGATTAAATTCAGAGCATCAGAAACGATCCCCAAATCGTGGATATGTGGGTATCATTTTCTGAACTTCTCTGTGAGTGAAACATTTTTTTTTAATATATATTTTATTGATTTTTTACAGAGAGGAAGGGAGAGGGATAGAGAGTTAGAAACATCAATGAGAAACATTGATCAGCTGCCTCCCGCAGACTCCCCACTGGGGATGTGCCTACAACCAAGGTACATGCCCTTGACCAGAATCGAACCCGGGACCCCTGAATCCGCAGGCTGACGCTCTATCCACTGAACCAAACTGGTTAGGGCGTGAGTGAAACATTTGATAAAAATTTAATAAGAAAATTGGGGAACATAGGAATCAACTTTGTATCAAGTATTCTGAAGTCAGAGAATTCAGGAAAGAAATTCCATTTTTAAAAGGAATTATTAGCAGACAAGAGACCAGGAGTCTAGGTTCTCTGGGCGCTAGCCGTGTGACCTGGGCATGTGGTCTAACTTTTCTGGGCTCAACGACTTCATCTGAAGGTGGAGGGGTAATATCTCCCAAGAGGTTGACCCACTTGGACTCCTGAAGTCCTCTCCAACTTAGGGTTCTAAGAGTCAGAAATTAAGTCACTAGGACAATTCTAGAAATTAGAGACTAAACAGAAGATACGTGTATTAAAGTCACCCCTCCTCCGTCCTCTACCTTTCCCTCTTTTTCCTTCCAGGCCTCCTGTCTTACCCTCTGGTCTCTAGGAGCGAGGCTTCACTCCCCTCAGGAGTAGCAGACAGGAGAGGAAGGAGCAGTGTGGGTCTCCCAGGCCTGGGAGGGAGACTGGGTTGTTCACAAAGATGGGATCATGGAGGAGGTGTACTTACAAGGTGGAGAATTCTTATTTCCATTTAAAAAGCGGAACTGGACAAAGGCTCTTCCTTCGCTATGATTTAAGTAATTCTGTCCCGGGGTGTTGTATCTGTAATGAAATTCTAAAAAGGAAAGATTAAAAATAAGACTCATTGCCTGGGAACCACAGCCGTCCCCACTTCTGACCTCTTTGGCGGCTCCCTGGTCGCCCTGACCTTTAAGTGGTTCTTTCCGGCCGCCTCTGGGGCAATTGGGAGTCCTAGTGCCACAGCTCTCGCAGGTGTTCTGCAGCCCAGCGCCGGGAGCAGAAGAGCCGCTGAGTCCTGTATCAGCACCTGAAGAAACCCGTTACACCAAGGAAGTGTGAGTCTCGGTCATAGTCATACAATGTGGTGTGGCGAGCAGAGCTCTAGCCGGGCCAGGTCTGCACTAGACACCACAGTACTTCCCCGCGGTTACCAAGGGGAGTTGGCAGCCCAGGAGTAATATTCGGGGTCCCTTCCTGACAGCGGGGAGGTGTTCTGATACGAGAGCCTCCATTTGCCTAGCACTCGTGGGTGCTTGGTAAAGGCCTGCGGAACAGTGGGCCTGTGAGAATTTGGCCCTCTGAGTTATCAGATGATCTTGCATTTAGTCATTTTTCCAGATTTGCCCCAGTAGATCCACATTCTCTTCTCATCCCCTGCTGTGGGCCAGGAGCTCGTGTTTTGTCACCCAGGCGGTTGGAAAGATGGTTTTCCCCAAGTAAGTTCATAAGCCCAGGTAGGAACTTGAATCAGCTGTGCCCTCGCCAGTGCCACCCGAGGCCAGTGGTGGAGAGCGTGTGTCTGGTGCAGGTCTAGAACCTGCTCGGCAGTGGGATGCTCCAGGGGATGCCACGGGGTGGGAGCCTGGGCCAGGCAGGTGAGCACGGCAGGCTCGGGTGTCCAAGCCACATCTCGGCTCCGGGAGAGAAGAGGCCGGGACACAGCCTCTGCCACTGCTAGCAGCCACTGCATCCATGAGTTCACTTGTCAGGGACTTGGTCTTTCAAAGTGTAAGTCACAAATGGGAGGAGCTCTAGAAAGGACTCTTTTCTTCCCTGAACCTCACTCAGTGCATAGTTATTGAGTGCCTTCTTGATCCTGAACCCAAGGAAATTACAAACAGAGGACAGGGACTTAACCCTGGAAAGGCTGTGTTGCACAGTGAGAGAGCGAGAGATTCAGACAGGCCTGAAGTTGAGGCCTGCCTCTGCCCCTTCGCTGGATGGGTTGACATATGTCCACATATTCTTCGTGTGCGCACACATGCACACGCGCGCGCACAACATTTTATGATAAAGAGTAACAGGGTTGGGTTACTTTGAAGAACATAGGAAGAAAAGTTACTGAGTCTTTTTTTAAAATATATTTTTATTTCAGAGAGAAAGGGAGAGGTAGAGATAGAAACATCAATGATGAGAGAGAATCATTGACTGGCCGCCTCCTGCACCCCCCCCCCCACTGGGGATTAAGCCAGGAACCCAGACATGTGGTCTTGACCAGAATGGAACCTGGGACCCCCCCAGTCCGCAGGCCGATGCTCTATCCACTGAGCCAAACCAGCTAGGGGTCCACATATTCTTTTGTTTTGTTTTCCATATATTCTTTGACATGTTATTCAAGAGGTGGGCTGGATTAGTGACTCGCTTCTAACAGAGAATAAAGCAGTAGTGATGGTGAATAACTTCCAAAATCAGGTCATAAAGGATATTGACATTTCCAGTCTTGTTCTTTCTCGTGGATCCCTTGCTCTGGGGGAGCTGGCTACCATGTCTTAAGTGACACTTTAGCAACCAATGGCCCTATGAGTGACCATCTTGGCAGCAGATTCTCAGCCCCGGTCAAGCCTTCAGATGACATCAGTGCTGGCCAGCACCTTAACTGCAGCCTGGTGAGAGACGCTGAGCCCGAACTACCCAGGAAAGCTGCTCCCAAATCCCTGACCCACAGAAAGGCGCTAGTAAGTGTTGGCTGTTCTGAGTCATTATGTTTTGGGGACCCCTGTTACCCAGCAGTAGGTAACGACATGCCACCTCTTTGACCTGGCAAGTCTCTTAATTTTTCTGAGCCACCATTTCCTTATCTCTAAAGATAATTCCTACCTTACATAGGTGTTGTACAGTTAAATTATATATACTACGTCAACAGTTCTCAAACTTCTGATTTTATAACCCTTCTACACACATAAAATTGAGGGCCCTAGAGAACTTCTGCTGAGGTGGTTTGTCCTGCCGTCTACCATGATATACACCATTTTCTGTACCTGTGGAGGAATGTCCCCCTGCACTGCAGAAGAGCTGTCCTCAACAGTCAGTCAGCTTAAGATGGGTGGGTAGAGAAATATCTATAGATAAACTTAAAATCATTTTTGCTTCAATCACTCAGATCTTTCCAAGACTTAATGGGTAGTCCGAGGCTTAAAAAAGTTGTTTTTAACTGAAGTATCTAAAAAATATTTTACTTATGGTATCATTTAAAATGACAATAATCCATTTCATATTAACAACATCTTTTTAACAAAAGCTAATTTTGAAATGAGAAGAGTGGCGTGCTTTGTGTCTTGGCAAGTATCTGTAGTATCTGGGTTAACAGAAGACAGCAGGGTCCCATAGCTGCATCTCCAGTCTGTTGCAGTATTGGCCTTGCAGCAATATACAGTACAGTTAGAAAGGAGAGGACCTCACGGTCCCGGCAAGGGTCTCAGGGACTCCCAGAGGCCTTCGACCACTTCGAAAAGCTCTACTCTGTTACAGCATCTGGTATATAAGTGTTCAGTGAAACCTATATTTATTATCACAAAATATATCATCTACAGAGAACAAATAGAACTAAATGTGACAGAGCAGTGAGTTGGGAAACGGCTCTTGGCTAACAGGCTGTATGAAGGTAAGCTCTCTGAGCATAATCCTTGTTCGCTCTCTGGCTCCGGTTCGTCATGTGTAAATGGGGTAGATGAGGCTTGGGGGTGATTGTCACACTCAGGAGCTGCCTGAGCAGGCAGGCCCGGCCCCGCCTCTTCCCCACCCAGGGCAAAGCTGCCAGAGGATGTTCTGCTTCCATTCGCATTGAAGAAGGCTCCTAGGACTAAAAACCATTGAATTCCATGCCCTGTGCTTTCTGGGTCTCCTCCCAGCTCTGACTGTCTGTGCTTCTCTGACGCGCACATGGACAAGTGGGCAGCAGATCTCACGCGGCGGGAAACTTATAGGTGTACACGTGGGTCGTGCTGGATGGGGTGACACACCCTTGAGGCCACCCAGGGACCTAGTCTATGCAGTCCTGAGGTGTTGGCCAGAAATAGGTGTGGGCACGTTCACCTACCTGGCTACATCTTTAAATCATTTATTTTTAATTCTTTACATTAAAAAAAAACATGCAACACCACAGCCTAGGCCAGGGGTGGGCAAACTTTTTGAATCGAGGGCCACAATGGGTTCTTAAACTGGACCGGAGGGCCGGAACAAAAGCATGGATGGAGTGTTTGTGTGAACTAATATAAATTCAAAGTAAACATCATTACATAAAAGGGTATGGTCTTTTTTTTTTTTTTAGTTTTATTCATTTCAAACGGGCCGGATCCGGCCCATGGGCCGTAGTTTGCCCACGGCTGGCCTAGGCAGTGCTATTTGGAGTGGCCAATGGCAAGCTGGCGCCCACCATGAGCAGATCCCACAGGGAAGGATCTTGAAGACTGAGTACCCACAGCCCCAGCCCCCTCAACTTACTGAGAAGTGAGTCTGGATGAGGTGCCTTTTCCTGAAGGGCAATGGGAAGCCCTCCACAGCTGGTCCTTCTGTGGCCTTTCTCCAGGGTTTGCTTCCTAAAAAGGTGCATAGACCCCATGAATCATCAGTAGACTTTGAATAGAGATAGTGAGCGTATTGGTAAAGGGGACATGTCGCGTTTCTTATGTCAGCCTGGACGGTACAGCAGGGGCATGTCGTCCCCCCAGGGGTCTCCTCTGCCTGTCTGTGAGCTTCCCCCTGAGAAGTGGTACCCAGTGCAGTTTAGCCTGATAAGGACATAGTTTCCAAACATTAAAAGTGAATCTGTTTGGCCTTAGCTGGTTTGGCTCAGTGGATAAAGCATCAACCAGGACTGAAGGGTCTGGGTTCAATTCCGGTTAAGGGCACATGCCTGGGTTGCGGGCTCAATCCCCAGTAGGGGATGTGCAAGAGGCAGCTGATCAATGATTCTCTCTCATCATTGATGTTTGTCTCTCTCCTTTTCCCTTCCTCTCTGAAATCAATAACTATATTTTTTTAAAAAGAGGAAATATTGTATTTTTTTAAAAAGTGAATCTGTTTGTTCCACAGGGAATACTTATCTAATCATCATACATACACAGTATAGAAATTTAAAGTTTGGAATTATAAAATTTGGAGCTTTTTTCATATGCATGTTTCACAATCAGTTCTTATCGGGGGAAAAAAGCTGTGCTGTATGCCACTATGGGTCACATGGCTTCGACTTTAAAAGTGCAAACAGACTATATCCCAAGAGTCCATAAAGCGGATTTTGTCCCAGGTTTATGGGTCTAGAGCAGTGGTTCTCAACCTTTCTAATGCCGCGACCCTTTAATACAGTTCCTCATGTTGTGGTGACCCCCAATTTCATTGTTACAAATGGAACATAATTAAAGCATAGTGATTAATCACAAAAACAATATGTAATTATATATGTGTTTTCCGATGGTCTTAGGCAACCCCTGTGAAAGGGTCGTTCAACCCCCAAAGGGATCACGACCCACAGGTTGAGAACCACTGGTCTAGAGGCTGGGGGACATCTGAGCTTAATTTTATCAGTACAGGCCACCAGGGGGCATCAGAAAGATGCCCTACAATTGTCATTTACCAGCTGCTTCCTTTGACCTGTTGCTTCAGTCTCCCTCCTTCACAGAAATCCTAACTCCTCCAAAGGAATCCCACTAACATTCTTAAAGCTCTCGCTCACCCCTGGGTACAGTAATAGCCCCTGGGGGAAGATGCTCATTCCTCGTGTGGAGGCACCGTGGCCAAGGGATCCTGGCCCGAGCGGGTGAGGCAGGACTGAGACCGATTCCCAGGGAGGGTATGAGGTGCTGCTTGGCACGAGCGGGCAGGTCTTGCTGTGCCTGTGGGGTTGGAGCTGGGAAGCCAAGCCTTTCCACTCCTCTTGGAAAAACACTCTGTCCTCCTGAGTCACACTTCCTCACACCCCATTTTCTCTCTCCACCCCCTCCGCTGGGGCCTCTGAACATCTGCTCTCCAAAAGTGGGAAACTTGGATCTCACTCAAGTGAGTTCAGTCCCACACGACTTTCTTTTTCTGCCTCTTAAGCGTCTCTGTGCACTGAAATCTTCCTGCCAAATGTAACAGCTCAGGGCAACTCTACTTGAGACGACAGTCTTAGTGGGTTAAATCCAGTCCTGCCCCAGAAACAACACAAAGGGATAAGCATTTGCATGCAGCATCTATGCCATTTACCTGCATGCAAACACACCACCCTGCAAATGCCCTGCAGCATCCTGCCCATCAGCAAGCTTTACAAGGAACACACCCCACCTGAGAGAGCTCTGTCTGCTGAAAGAGCAAAGAGGAGCCCTCTGCTCATTCATTCCTCCGGGACTATTACGGCACTGACCGAGATTGCAGTTTGTAACTCATGTCTGCCTCCTCCCTCCCCAGCAGTAGCTTCACTGTTAGGTCTGATTTTATACTTGGTTGTGCTTTTCTCTCCATCTTGTCCATCAGAGAAAAGTATATTTAGTCTAGAACACTGGTCCCTCTAGGTCTATGCTAGGAATTTGGAAGAGAAACATTTAGTACCTTATGAATGCTTGATGAAAATGTTCTTTAAGCATAAAAAAATTTTTATACTTAATAAAACCTAAAAAACATTCAGAATCTAGGTTTAATTCTAGAAATACAAACAGTGGGCAGGGATGACTGGGGAGTAAGCACATCAGTGCCCCTTGTGTTTAGAGTCAGAGCTGATGACGGACATGGTGGTTTAAAGTCCTGAGCCTCACCAGGTGACACCAGTAGATGTTAGCACACACACCCTGCTGTGTCTCTTCGGGCTCACCAGGTGACACCAGTAGATGTTAGCACACACACCCTGCTGTGTCTCTTCGGGGGAGGGGGAGGCAGAAACTCAATGGAACACTCATGACGAGTGCGGTTCCCGTGGGGAATGCTTTCTTTCAGGAAACCCCAGTCTGTCAGCCTCCTCATCTGCTTCTATTAGTCCATTACGTGCATGTAACAGCAGCTGCCAAACAGCTCTGCCCTCCTTGCTGCTGACCTTCCCAAGGTAATTAGCCAGGCTTTGGCCCCAGTCCATGGAAGCTTTAAACAAATGATACTGAATTCACATGGGCCAACAGCTGCTCCAATGAGCATTTCCAAAACATTACGGGTGTCTACGTAGGGTTTTATATCTGCGTGCACGATGTATAACTTGGAAGATTTCATGCCGAGTGATAGGAGAAATAAGCCCTGAGGTGTGGGATAAGGTTTATTTCTGGTGGGACCCGGGAGCAGAGGGGGAACCCAACAGGGAATTTCCCTCATCCCAGGGGGGTGGTGGTGGGGAGCCGGTGGACAGGGGTGTGTGGCACTATCCCACCTGGCAGTGTTCACAGGAGCCCTCAGGACAGACCCCCCTCCCTGTGCTGTAGCCGAGATTCTCCCCCAGGGGCTCATCGGGATCACCCAGGAGATGTAAACAAGAATTCCTCCCGGGCTCCACCCTGGCAATAGGTGGGGCTGAGGCGTGTGCATGATTTAAACATCTGCCCAGTGACTTTGATGCTGTCCCCAGTGGAGAACCACAGCCACAGGGACTTGTAAATGGGAGGGAGGCTGGGCTGTGTGCCCAGCCCTGAGGTCTGCGGTTCTGTAACTGGGCCAGTGGCTCTGGCAGCTGGTCAGCAAGTTGACGCCCACTCTCACTGGAGGCATTATCCAGGCCCGGCTCCCACCCCCCCTTCCCCCCACACTCCCACCCCCGGCAGCTTAGCAGTCAAAAGCCCTCACCATTCGAGGACCCAGTGGCAGAAGGCACAGCTCCGGCCGGTTATCTCTGCACATTGCTGCCTTCCGGAGGCGGAGGTGTGGCGGGGGTCCTGCACCACAAAGCACACAGATGCAGCTGTGACCCAGGAAGTGACTCACCCCCTGGCTGCTCACATTCATGCACAGCTCTGCCCAGCAAGCAGCCCAGGCTCACTGCTCACCACCGCAGGCGGCTCGGTTCTCACTCCTCCCTCGGTGGGTCTGTGCTGTAGGCCAGGACTTAGAGAAAGAACCTTCAACACAACATACTGTCTTCTTCCCTTCCCCAAGCAGATTTTAAATCTCGTGTACAGACGAGAGGGTATTCTTCCCTTTTTCTTACCCTTTGGTTTCACCAGAGGACGAACAGATGTTAGAAGCTAATTTTAAATCGATCAATCCGACCATCAGTTAGTAGAACTCTGAAAGCTTTTCCAAAGAAATACAATCCACTAAGAATTATAACAAAGTTTAGGGAATTAAACCACCCCTCCCCCCCCCCCCCGCCAAAAAATGGCATTACTGGCCTGAAAGGGCTGACACCATCTAGCCTGTATTTCTTACGGTGGTTTTACCCTTTTCAGGGGTGCGGAACCTTTTTTCTGGATATTTATAACATCATTTGAGGGCCATACAAAATTATCAACTTAAAAATTAGCCTGCTACACTTGGTCAAACATTTAATTAGCTCACCCTAATGCCTCGGCAGGGCCAGACCAAATGATTTCCTGAGCCTTATACAGCCCACGGGCTGGACCTTCCCCACCGTGCTCTAGGGGAACAGAAGAGAAACGCACCTTTCTCACCATGATAAACAGTGCCGGCACAAGCAGCATTGTGCAGATAGCTTTTTCCGTGTTTGAATGACTTCCTTAGGAAGTGTCTGGGTCAAAGGGCACGAACATGTTTGTGTGATGACAGGAACTGGCAAATTGCTTTCCACAACAGTGGGAATTACACAGCCACCAACAATGTGGGCCACTCCATGGCCACACCTTCCACTGCATCAGGAATGATCAGTTGAAAATGTTTTCGTTAATTTAATAAGGGGTGGCACCCTGCGTTCATGAGCGTTTCCTCTGCTATTAAAGGAGATAAGCGTTTCCCAGCTGCTTGCTTATTAGTTGTATTTCCTACTTGCGACTTTTTAGTTCACATCTTTTGCCCATTCGTTTTGGGGAAGGTTTCAGTGTTTCCTTATGATGAAAACAAACATTTGTTGACTGCTCCTGTGCCAGGTGCTTCTCCGGTGGCCTCCTTATTCCTTCCCACCACCCTGGGCCATTGTTCCCATTTTAATGATGAGTAACCTGAGGCTCAGAGAATTTAAGCAACCCGACAGGTCACCCAGAGTAGCAAGTAACACACAGAGCTGGGATTTGTCCCTTTCCCCGTATGCTGTGTTCTTAAGCACAGTCCTGCTCCTTAGAGCACTTTGTGTACTAAAAATCTCAACACTGAACTTGATTTGCGCTTAATATTTTCCCAGTTGTCTGGTCTAACTCTGCAGCTGGGCCTTAAAATGAATGAGATTTTGCCAGGAAGCTAGGTGTTTTGAGGATGTGAACATGCTTCTTTGGAAAGGCTAACATTTATACAGGGTGGGGCAAAAGGTTTACAATGTTCCTTTGGAAATTAAAACAATAATTGATAAAAAATTAATACATAGCCCTAACTGGTTTGGCTCAGTGGATAGAGAGTTGGCCTGCGGACTGAAGGGTCCCAGGTTCGATTCCAGTCAAGGACATGTACCTTGGTTGTGGGCACATCCCCAGTAGGGGGTGTGCTGGAGGCAGCTGATAGATGTTTCTCTCTCATCTATGTTTCTAACTCTCTATCCCTCTCCTTTCCTCTCTGTAAAAATCAATAAAATATATTTTTTTAAAAATTAATACATAATAATACAAGAATAAGCACTGTTTTTCACATACAACTGTAAACCCACTTTTGCCCCACCACTGTGTATAATGCTCAACATGTTGCCCTTGACTCTGACAAAAACCTATTCAACTTTTGAATGTCAGCCACAGGCTGTGTGTCTTCACATACCAACTGAAACCAAAGAATCAAGTTTAAGGCAATTATCTAGAAAATTCAGTTTCTCAGAATTTAGTCTGAAATGTTCCAATAGTTGAGGCTACAAAAAATAAAAAGTGTAGAAAGACAGTGGTGATGGATTGGAATTCCTAATATTGCATCTTTAGACAATCCAAAAGAATTTAGCTTGCGAGAAAGGAAATGCAGATGTGGACTCATGGAAATAGTTCTTGCACTGAGAGTGTCATTCTCATTTGGAAGAGTGAGTACAAAACCATTAAAAAGAAAAATTATTTCTTCCAGGCACGATCCACAGAAATATTACTATCCGTCCTGAAGAAATAGCTCTTCAGCAGTTCATCAGTTTAAACTACATTGTTGCAGCCTAAACTAATAAGAGGTTTTAAAAACCAAAACTTGAAATAGCTTCTAATTTTTACAAGCTGGTTCCATTGAAAATAATATGATTCATGGGACTTTGGGAAGTTAAATTTTATGAAATATTAAAGTAGAATTTTGTAATTCCATGAATGTGTATTCTATAAATGCACAGGAACCAACCGTGTTTCCTGGCATGGAATTGGGCTATAGGTTATGCATTACCTCATCTGAGGGTGGAGAGGATGCGGATAGCAGGCCACCTGGGAGGGTTGGAGAACTCTCGGGAAGAGAGCCAGCTGAAGTGTGTTTGCCTTCATCAACCTTCCCTTCAACATCTTCAAGTAGCATCTCCATCCTGGAGACTTCACCTTCCGCTTTCCTAAATAAACAGAAGGCATCGTGTGGGGCATGCAGTCAACATTCTAACCAGTAACAGCAGGTCTTGACCATGGCATTGATCTATGTTATTAAATGGCCTGTCCTCAGAAAGGACCCATAATGGACACCTGCCCTGATGGGCATCCTGTTTTAGTGTCACTTGAAAGGCCTGGGCTCTGATCCCTATTTTGCTATCCATTGGCTGTGCATCCTCGGGCAAATCACTTAATCTTCCTGTGCTTCCAATGTCTCAAGTTTAACAAAAAAAATGTGTCAAATCTACATGAAGAAAACAAGCTCTTGGACCCAAATACTCACTGCAAAGGTTTTAACTCCTCCCAAACTAATCTGTAAATTCAACACGATCCTGAACAAAATTCTAATGGAATTTTATTAAGGACGTCTGGTGAGCTGATGATAAAGTTTTAATAAGAGAGTGCAAGAATAGCTAAAGAAAGTTTAAACAGGAGGAAACATTTCAGAATATATACTAAACTCCAGTAATTTAAACTGTGTGGTTGACGTAGGAGTAGATACCTAGGTCAGTGGAATGGAACAGACCCGTCCCGTTACCCATGGAGATTTCGTATACGATAACATGGCTTTTTTCCACCATGGGAAGGGCTGGCCTGTTCAGTAAGTGGTGGGACTAAGATCTCAGCATGAAAAACCATATTGATAATCAAATAAGATATGGGGAAATGTGTTCTGCCCTGGCAGGCAGAAGAGAATGAAGAGCGGACAGGAGAGACTGAACATGTGAAGGAAGAGAAACGCTGAAGCAGGCCGCAGGTCGTGGGAAGAGATGGGGCTGGAGAGGCCGCAAAGTGAGTGAAGGAAGAAAGGTGTGTGTGTGTGTGTGTGTGTGTGTGTGTGTGTGTGAGAAAACATGTAGATTCGGAGGCGGAGAAAAGATATTTTTGAGGGAATTTATCTTTTCTGTAAAACCAAAGACGATAATACCAGGGCTTGATGGAGGTAGAATCCCATTTCTTGGCCCCTTGGTTTCGGGTGTTGGTGTGTGTGAAAGATTCAAACAACTTCCAGACAACATTCTAACAAACAAGATGCATTAAATCCAAACAGTTATTTTTGCATCTTACCTTTGAAAGGCAATAATATTAAGGTTTTCATAAGAGTGCAACAGTTGACTTCAACAAGCGATTAGCTGATGAATCTGCAGAATTCTTTCCCTACAGAAAAAGCTATCTGCAATGGCCTTTGGTCTCAGGGCTTAGAAGCTTCTCGACATACCAGCCGCTCCAGGGCATGGGGTTCTGCTCATTGACAGGTTACGCCCATGTGAGAGCAGGAGGACCAGCCTGGGACTGAGCAGCGTCGCTTCCCGAGGTGGTGTCACTGAGTTTACTGAGCTTGCCCGTGTGGAAGCTTCTCCTGTGTATGGGATATAATTGCAGTTGGGACTCTGTTGGTTTATGCTGGGGCCAGGCAGTGTGGGTGTAACTGGGATATAAATAAGGCCTGGATTGCATAACTTTGGTCTTCATGTGCACAGAGGCCTGTCTTTAAAACCCCTGCCAACAGTGGGATTCCTTGGAAAATAAATATCCTTACTCTTTTCGTTCTTAAACAAATAGAGAAAGCATATGGAGATCTTTTTTAAAAAAGGCTTTGGAGGGAAAATATTAAAACCCTATCCTTGCTGTCTAATTAGTTGGTATTGAAATAACAGTAGACAAAGGTTTCATTCATTTTTTTTGAAAAAGTAAAATTGTACTTTGGGGAAAAAAGCCTCAGGATGCAAGTGCTAAAAAATAAACCATTAAACTATTTTGGCATCAAGAATGATTTGTGTTAAAATGCTAGGAATAGAAAGAGCTGACCTTACGAATATTAAGCCCACTGAATGGATTCTTTTAATTCATAGCAGGAAATTATATGGAAACAATCCCAGCCTTGATTCCTGGAATACATCTTAAAGCTATTTGGTTTGGAAAGAGGATTGTGGTGCCATAAAAATGGCCAGTTGGAAACTTCAGTATAAGTATGCATCCAAGATTCTAATGTGGATTTGCTCAGGAATCACTTAAGTTTTAACATTTTCCCTTTATCAGGATTTGTGGGTCCCTCACCCCAACATTAACCAACCTGACAACAATCCTCTCCAGCCCACTGCCCCTTTGAAATGGTCTGTGGATGAGAAAGAAAGGGGGGGATGGGGGGGGAGTGGGACAGGAGAGAAGAACCAGGCAGGAGAAATAAGGGCAAGATGGGGGTGAGGAAGGACAGAGGAGCGTGGAGAGGGAAGGGCCTCTGGGTTAGACTGTGAGCCCTTCTACAGTGTTCTTGTGCTCTTCTGCGTCTCAGAACCAACTCTAATGACATCCACGAAATGCAAGATGGCAGCACATGGTCTCCGCCAGGAGACAGCTGTTCACTCTGGACACGCCATCTGGTCATCACCTAGCACAGGACCTTCCACGTAGCAGGAATTCCTCACTGTCTTTCGCATGTGGTGACACCTACTCATTGGTGGCAGGGGTTTTACTGACCCTAGACCTTTCTGGGCCTTTCGTGGCTCTCAGGCACGAAACCAGCAGCCACATCCGAGTCCCACCTGAAGAGATCTCTTCTCCAACCCTTCCACCACTCACAGTTTAAACCTGACCTTTTGGGGTCATAGTCACTGACAGCTGGGGATTTAGGCTTGTGGACTTGCTGTTCCAAAGTCAGCTGCTCCTCAGCCACAAACTCCTGCTTCAGCAGTTCCAGATGTGCCTGCAGTTTCTGCAGCTCCTGTGGCAGAGAAGGCACTGGCATCATTCACATGTAACCCTGCGCATGGAGTTGTTTCCCCCAAGCCCATGAGGGTGTACCCTACAGTAGTGCAAAACAGCCGTCATCCTTCTCCTGGCCAGTGTTTTGTTTTGGAGTCTGACATCTAAAATCCAGACAGGGGCCTTCTCCACATACCACCCTCCCTCGTAGCACAAAGCTGAAAAGTTCGGTGGTTCTGATTTCTCTCCCAGAACCCACTCGGAGCCTCTTGACGGGGCGTTAATAACCCTGTATATTTGCAGAATGATTTTTAGCTTCTAGAATACATTCTGTTCCTTTTCTTACTTAACTTACTCATCAGTGTTGTAGATGTCGCAAAGTAGATTTATTACCCCGGTTTTATAGAGGAGGAAAGCGGAGCGCTATGGAGTAAGTCTGATGCCACATAGATCTTACAAGAGAACTGAGCTTAGAGGACCTGGCTTTGAGTCTCTGGCATTTAGAGGGTGAGATGAGGAAGGAACAGTTGGGAGTTTAGCCCCAAGCTGGAATGGGTCTTCCAGATGTCACCACGTCACCACATGCAGCCTCGCACAGGTGCCTGTGTAAACCGTGCAGGTCAGGGTCTTGTCTGGAAGTGTAGAGACTTTAGCCCTACAGTCCCAGCCGCTAAACATTCCCTGATCAATGTCTACATCTGGCCCTGGGCTGGATCGGAGTACTTTGCCATGGCTCAGTGGAAGAGGTGAGACTGAAGTCAGGCTTGAAGGGTACTCAGGAGGGCCTGGACCAGGCAGCACTCATGAAAATGGAGGGGAGAGGATGAATCAGAGAGAGATTCCCCAGGGCAAGAAAAGGATCAGGAGTTAAAGGATCAGACCACCAGGGTTCAAGTTCAGACTCTGTCCCCTACTAATTGTATGATTTTAGTGAACTTGAACTCTAAACTTCAATTTTTTCATATTGTGAAAATTAAATGAGCTAATGCTTAGTGTCAGGAGCATAGTACATACTCAATAGTGGGTAGCTATCATTATTACTATTAACAATGGATAAAGAAGTTTGGAAACATTGGCTATTGGGTATAAAAAAAGGCAAGTGTGGTAAATATTTTCCATTTCTCCCCCCAGATCCATCCTCCATCCTTCTCCGTGCCCCACCCAGGAGGCTGACCTTCCATAGACATCAAAAGGAGGGAGGAACTGAAGAAGGATGAGGTAGGGGTCTTTGTTTCCCTGATTTCCTCCTGCAGGTATCATCATGGACCAACTGTGTCTCTACCAAAAGCCACAGAGCTTGTCAGCTACTCCTACAGCTACAGCTACTCTCCTTGGGCCAGAGTATCTGTTCTTCCTCTGTCCCTAACTGTTGTTGAATGATGGCTTATTAAACTCTTCTCGATTATTCCATTGGAGCAGGCCACCTAGTTCCTACTAGGCTGCTGATTCTATAAACCTCACAGTCAATGATCAGGGGTCTAGCTTGGGAGATGGACAGAGTGTGAGAGCCCTGACTAAAATGAGGAATTTGGAAAAGCTAACAACTTTGAATGAAGATGTCAATATCAACAAGTTCTACAGTGTTGGATGAGAGAATTTTCAGTATAGTGAGCCATCCAAGTGAAGATGAAACATTTGGAGATATGGATGGGAAGTTAGGACTAGTTAATGAGGAATTGGTAGCACAAACATGACATTAAAGTCATGAGAAAGAATTTAAAGGAAGGAGAAAAGAGAAGAAAGCACATTATAAATTATAATTTAGGGTCTTGGATTTTGAATCATGTTATATCTCAGAAGAAGATAGGGCATAGTTTTTTAGCCATAAATTTTCCTCATTTAATTCTCATAACAACTCTGAGATGGAAGACATGCTACATGTCTAAGATCATACAACCAATGTGTAGATGGCTGCTCCATTATTGAAATGCTTTCTATATTGTGCTGCTTGTGTCGAGAAGGTTCACTGTAGCCCTGTCTGACCACCTCCTGACACCGAACCAAAGGGGCCTGGACCAAGGCTGACACTGTCAGAAGTCACATCTCCTCTCTCCTCTCCTGTCCTCTCCTCTCCTCTCCTCTCCTCTCCTCTCCTCTCCTCTCCCCTCCCCTTCCCTCCCCTCCCCTCCCCTCCCCTCTCCTCCTCTCCCTTCCCCTTCCGTCCCCTCTCATGTCCCAACACAAATCCCCACATGCCCTTGAACATCAGGAAGAAACGTCCTGAGTTGAGGCCTCAGAAGGCCAGTGTCTTGAACCAGTTCCCCCTCCTTTGCTCGGCCCCTTAAAATTCTGTGTTCTCCCAGTTCCTAAAAGCCTGGGTTTTTGGAGTTTGCCTTTGTCATTCACTCCTTAATTCCCCCAATCTGACTTCCATAGACCCACCACTTTATTGAAACCGAGCTGACCAAGGTCCCTCATGACCTCTGGGTTGCCAAACCCAAGGCACATCATGCATTCCTTCCTTCCTTCCTTGAACATTTGAGGGTGTGGCTCACTCCCTACATCTTAACACTGTCTTTTCTCTTGGCCTCTGCAACTCTGCCCCTTCCAGGTCTGCCTTGACCTTTAGAGTCACTCCTCACAGGTCTCCTTGGGGGACCTTGCTTCTTTCACCTGCCATGGATTGCTGTTTCCCATGATTCTAACCTCGGACTTCATTGCTTATGCTGTGTCTTTGCCTAGGTAACCTCATACACCCCATAGCTTCAACCCACAATATACTCAAGTTTACATTTCTGGCCCAAACAAGTCCTCATTTAGTCCAGATCCATCGTTCTAATTGCCTCCTGGACCTCTCCAACTGGAAATCCTACAGGGAGCTCACAGTGTCACAGACGGAACTGACCTCCTGCCTGCCTCCCACACCCATTCTGAACTGGACCCTCCACTTTTATTCCTGACCTCAATTGTCCAAGCTACCAATCTGAAATTCATCCAAGCCTCCTCCCTCCCTTTACTCACCCCTTTCAATCTGCCCCCGCTTCCTTACCCCTTAGATTTGTCCCTTCTCCTCCTCATTGTCAGCCTTGGTTCAGGTCCTCATAACGTGTTCCCTGGATATGGCTTCCTAGCCAGTCTCCGTCCCTACAGTCTTGCCCCCTTGGTGTTTGCTTTTACTTGATTTTAAGTCCCCCAGGCTGCCCATCACTCAACCTCAGGAGGAAATCCAAGCTCCCAGGTGTGGTTTAAAGGGCTTTAATGATGGAGCTGTTGTCTACCTTTCTCGTCTTGCCCATTCCTCCCTTCGCCACGTGTACCCTGGGCTCCATCTGGTCAGTTGTCGCACCGTGCGGTTCCCCACACGCTCAGCACTTTCCTTCCTGGGCCATGGCACCTGCTGGTTCCTTTTCCTGGACCACCCCTTGCTCCCTACTCTGCCAAGCTTACCTAGATGCCTCCTACAGTACCCAGCTCAGTCACTCCTAGGAAGCCCTCTAAAGTGCCTTGCTCTGACTAACAAGGGTGAGCCTCTTCCCTGCCGCCCTTAGCATCACCTGTAACCTTTCTCAAGCTGTGTGCCACTTGTCTATTTACCCACCTGTCCCTAGGAGACTATCCGCCGCTAGAAAAAGAAATAGTTTCATCATCTCCAAATGCCTGGTAGAGAGTCTGGGACATGGGAAGCACCCAATAAGTGTTTGTTGAATGAATGAATGAGATATTTAATTAGTGTGATGAATGAATGAGTACGGAATGTCTCTTAAGGTTCGGATCCTCCCAGTTTTTGTGCCGTCTGGGCTCTGAAGCACAGCCTGCCTGAGCTTTGCTGGTGCTCTTTACATCAGGGCTTGTGACCATGTCTTGCGGTTGACCCAGTGGCCTAGACTACATCTCCCACTTTGCACATTTCTAGCTCTCACAGTCTCAGCGTATTGCCCCATTGCCAGGCTCCACCCCCACTTCCCGTGACCCAGGCACTGATGAACAAGGCTGTGGTGGTTACAACATAAATGAGTGACTTGATTAAATACAACCAGCAAGGATGTGGAACCCAAAGATTTTGATCTGAAAGCACAGCTTCAGGATCAATTTTAAGTTTTTGAAGTGTTATTATATATTGAGTTGCCAGATCCTGGTAATTCTTATAACCTACACCCCCTGGGACCCATCGACTCTGGATGGGCTTTGTGATCCTTTATAACAGCTGGTGTGCTAGTCTCTTGGACCTGCCCTGGTCTCAGATTTATTATGGGGCAACCGGTGAAGAAAAACAGCAAACAGCCATAAGTAATAGATCCCCTGAGAAAGAGAGAGGGCTGAGCACATAGAGGAATTCTAAGCTCTTTTCACTCCTGTAACACGAAGCCCCAGTCCTCAAATAATCAGTGAGACCTGAGCCTCAGCCCTTTGGGAAGGAGAGTGGGGGATGGGAAGATGGGTGAAGGGAAAGAGGAAATCTCATAAACATTAGCACAATTCTGTACTAGTTTCCATATAACCAGCTTGAAATATGTTATTAAGGACATATTTAATGCTTAATTCAATTTGATTTAGCTTTCTAGGGAGTTATGTATGTATGACCAACGCCAGGCCTCTGGGGGCTGTTCAGCCATGGACACAGGTTACTGCCCTTAACCCCTGGCAGAACGTTTCCACCCGAGCACCTCCACTGCCCCCTGCAGAGAAGGCCCGGTGCTGGGCAGCCCTTGTACTTTCCCGTGTCAGATTCCCCAGGAAAGACTTATTACCAGCCTCTCGTCTTGCTCGTAGCTGGGGGAGTCCTGTGCTAGGCTTCTGGAAAATTCTTGCACCTGCAGTGAAAAAAAATGCAATATTTCATGAGTGGCATGGTATCTTATATTTGAATTTGCTCACTTCTACTGTTCATAATCTTTAAAGGTATTACTTTAGTCTTCAGCTGATCAGTCTGTTCTTTTAGCTTCTGGCACATCTCTCTCCCTTGGGATATCTTCTGGAATATGGAAGAACTCAAGGCAGGGTCTTTCTGAGAGGTTGATGACAGCTTCCAGGGGCGTGTCTCGGATCCTGTTCCTGTAGCAGAGAGAATAAGTTGGGCTACCGTTCATCTCAAGTTCACTGCAGATTTATTAAGTCCTGAAAATGGAAGTTGGTGGCAATCACCACCATTTGCTATTTAAAAATTTTTTCTAAATGTGTATCTAAATGAAAGAGGTTGAAAAACGCTAGTACCTGTGAGATGTTCTTGGTGGCTGTGTGTTGCAGGCTTCATCTGCATAATTAAAGGATAAGAAAGTGTTACTGTTGATAGTGATCAAGGACGCCATTATTCAGAATGGCTGATGGTTCTGGTCCTCCAGGCAGCCCGTGTTGCATCAAGGCTGAATCACCTTCCACACTGATCTGTGGGTGGTCCAGGCAATTACTTATCACCGTAACCCTCAGTTCTCAGCAGGAAAGTGGGGACAGTAACAGAACCTATTCCTGGGGTCCTTATGAGGAGTAAGTGTTAAGTACTTAGACTCAGGCATGTGGTAAGCACTGAGTACACATTAGCTGTTAATACTATCGTGTCTGATGCTATTATATGAAACACGCAAACATTTCTCCTAAAACTAGCCCACAAGTCCCATGAGGCCTTCTCACCAGGTCTGTTGCTCTCACTAACACCGAACTCATGGTAGCCACACCCTAGAGAAGAACATAAAATAGTATGCATTACGTTCCATAACGGGTGTCAAGACAGCGATTTTTACCAGGACACGCCCCTTTCTGCTCACACAGGCGGGACAGGAGTTTACATTCCAGAGTGATTCGCCTTGAGGGGCTGCCCATCACTCACAGCACACAGAGCTCAGAAACAGGCCAGTGCCAGCAGCTAAACCAGTGGATCTCAACCTTCTGGCCCTTTAAATACAGTTCCTCATGTTGTGACCCAACCATAAAATTATTTTCGTTGCTACTTCGTAACTGTCATGTTGCTACTGTTATGAATCATAATTTAAATATCTGATATGCAGGATGGTCTTAGGCGACCCCTGTGAAAGGGTCGTTCGGCCGCCAAAGGGGTCGCGACCCACAGGTTGAGAACCGCTGAAACCGGTTGTGGTCTCACCAGACTGACGATTACGAATGTCTCAGTGACACGATGGGTATGGAACCTATAGAGTCCAGTTCTCCAACCTGAAAGGACTAGAGAAGCCCAGCTAGTGTGGCTCAGTGGTTGAGCATCTACCTATGAACCAGGAGGTCACGGTTCAATTCCAGGTCAGGACACATGCCCGGGTTGCAGGCTCAATCCCCAGACAGGGGCGTGCAGAAGGCAGCCGATCAAAGATTCTCTCTCATCATTGATGTTTCTCTCTCTCTCTCCCTCTCCCTTCCTCTCTGAAATCAATGAAAACATATTTTTTTAAAAAAGATGGGGAAACTCAAATTCCAGGTGGGAGAATTTGGATTTAATTCTATGATGTGTTATTGTTATTCCAGCCCCTGCTTCTTCTCATGAGGCACCCAGTGGTCTTCTGAGAGGTCACAGAACTTGCTCAGAACTGGAACAAGAACCTCAGACCTGGAACAGGTGTCAGTCACCTTCCAGAGACCGGCTGTGGCACAGAGGAGCGGCCTGGGCCTGTTTCTGGAGGCGACTTCTCTTACCTCTGTCTGCTGGGAGGGGTCCCCAGTCTTCCTTTCCTGCTCTTCCTTCTCAGCACAGTCTGGCCTACCCGTGCCTTCTGGAATTTCTTGCCCAAGAGCTAACCCAGCTCTCAGTTCAGGAGAAAAGCTGGCTTGTTTATCTGTTGAAAGCGGTTTATCAATAGTATTATTTTTAGGGATTTTCACTTGGGGAGCAACACTAGAGTGATCAGAGAACTGGTAACAGACTTGGCCATATTTGAACCCAGGGCCTGATCTTGTGTTTTCTGTCTGCAGTTTCTGCCCTTGGCAGCCTTTTTGTTTATTGCTTGGACTCTTGGATTTAGTTAGAAAAGTGGAACTTTGTGGAAGGCTGCCGTCTCCCGCAGCCACTGGCTCTTCTGTCTCAGAGGTGTTTTCTGCTGTCATGGTGGGGCAGCAGCGGGGCTCACTGCCCATGTCATCCTCCCTCAGGGGGTTGAGCTGGTCAGCGAGTTCTGGGGTTGGTTCTTTTGGCCAAAAACTCTTAACATAATGCAAAATAAAACTTTTAACAATGGCTTCATCAAGACTGTCCGCACTGGAGACCTCTGGGAGAGTTTCACAATGACTGCCTTGGCCTTTTAAAAGCTCCTCTTTGGAAAGATGATGCTGTAAAACATCAGAAAGGTCTGACTTTGAACGGCCGCCTTTCTTAGCTGGGATGTGGAGAGTTGGGGGGCAGCGTTGCTCTTCATCAGATTTTTTCTTGGCAGCGTGTTCAGTCGTTTTCCCCAGAGTCATAACCGCGCCTGCATTTCTGCGCGTCCCTTCATGGGCAGCCCCCTCTTGAGGGCCCTCTGCTGTTGGAATCACTCGATCTGAGGCACCCAGGATGTTTTCCGAGGAAAAGTTGTGATTGGCGTGTAGCTTAGTTTGGGAGAAACCCCCATCGTCAGGGAAGCCCTCCCGTTGCTTGGAAGCCTTACGCTCTGAGAAATCAGCCTTGTCCATGGGCAGCCGGGCCTTTGTCCTTGTGCTCGTCCTTGATGTTCTCAGTCATGCCAACAGAGCTCCTGGTTTTCAGTGACTGTCTTCATTGTCTGTCCTGTTCTGTGCGAAAGGAGAGGAGCCTGGTTGTTAAATATATTAGGATAATGTGGGGAAGTGGGCTGTCCCCGTGTCCGAGCCAGAACAGAGTGGGTGCTTCTCACTTAGAACAACTCAGTGATAATCGTGAAGGCAGAAAGCTCAGCAGGCGCTAAACCATTCTGAATGCTACATTAACACAACCAATGGTCATACACAGGAGAAAAAGGGGAGTGGGAAAAATTGTATTCATTAAATCTGGTTAATGACCACATATTTATCAATCTGTCTTAGTCCACACATCACTGACGGGCCTCTCAGTTGTATAACATTAAACGTTGTTTGCTCGGCTAACATACGACCTCCCACCTTCCCTGTCCTGGTTTTGAAAGGATGCCCAGGGCAGAAGGCAGGTACTCTTCACCCATGGGAATAAAGGACAAAGGAAGAAGTGGCATGCAGGAGACATGGTCTTGGTAAGAGCCTTGGAACTATTTTTAAAATCTACTTGTAAATGACTATATTGTTTGATGGTGGAAACTATCACTAACTAATGTGAATTCATTGTCTAAGACATCCAAATGGCCAACAGGTGCATAAAAAGATGCTGAACATCTCTAATCACCAGGGAATTGCAAATCAAAACCACGTTGAGATATGGCCTCACACCTGTGGGATGGATGTCATGGAGAAGAGATAACAAGCGCTGGCGAATGTGGAGAAAAGGGACCTTTGTGCGCGGTTGGTGGGAATGCAAATTGGTTCAGCCGCTATGGAAAACAGTAAGGAGGTTCCTCAAAACATTAAAAATGTGTCTACCATGTAATCCAGCAATGCCACTTCTGGGTATATTCCCAAAGGAAATGGAATCAGGATCTCACAGAGATACCTGCACACCCATGTTTACTCACATTATTCACAATAACCAAGGTGCCCCAAAGATGGATGAATGGATTAAAAAGATGTAACATATTACAATGAAGTATTATTAAGACATGAGAAAGGAGGACATCTGGCATTTGCGACTACATGGGTAGACCTTGAACACATCATGCTAAGTGAAATAAGTCAGAGAAAGACAAAGGCTGTCTGATGTCACTTTTGTGTGGAATCTAAAAAAGCCAAACTCGTAAAAACAGAGTAAAATGGTGGGTACCAGGGGCTGGGGGCAGGGGGCGAAGGAGGGATAGAGTAGATGAGATTTACGGGCACAAACTTACAACAAGTAGTTACCAGTTTAACGACATAAGCCCTAGAGATCTAATGCACAGTGTAGTGAATATCAACAGCAATTATGTATTCAAGCTTTGTAAGAGACTAGAACTTAATTATTCCACTCACCAAAAAGAATAATTATGTAACTTGATAGAAGTGCTAATTATGACTAGGGTGGCAATCATATCGCAATATATGAATGTATTAACTTTAAAATTATACAATGTTATATGTCAAATATATTTCAGTTTTTAAAAATTGTTTTGAGGGGGGAAAGAGTATTTTAAATGCCTACAGAGAAGAGCGAAAGACGAATTCTAGTTTTTCAGGACTTTTAATGACACAGGCAAGCTACAGACCCAAGCGCATCCTCATGCGTCTTTGTATCTTGAGGTGCTAATGGCAGAGCTCCAAGCCCTTCTAACCAGATTCTGGTTCCTAAAATATTATTCCTTTGAAACTGATAGCATTTAACTTTTGTTAGAATTCTTAAGAAAAAGAGACCACGAAGGTGCTCTCCCATTGCATACAGGAAAACAGCTTGTTATTATTGTTATTTTCTTTTTGTTTGCATGCAAAATATCAAAAGTTTTTTCCTGGTAAAGGACAGTCTACATTCTTAGCCTTGTAATGGCCCCTTACAGGTAGCTGGAAAGAACTGGAACATCTTCCCACGAAGCTACCAGGCTCTGTCTTGGACTGCCAACGTTCATTCAAAGAGGTTCTGGTCAGAATCCAACAGAACCCAATTTACTTTCTGAGTTCAGGTGGACACATCTGGGGCCGTGACTGCTTATGCAGCGACTGACCATTATGTGCTCAGCAGTAGCTCACAGACCCCCCTGAGCGTGACCACTGAGCACACAGGCCGGCTCGCCCAGTGGCCCAGCCCTGGGAGATGCTGCAGCTGGGCCCGGCCAGGAATGAACGCAGGTGCTCACCACACTGACCACTGTGCCCTGCGTGGTTCGCTTGATTATGAGTCTGAATTTGGTGCCCAAGTGCTGACTCATCTGCCAGTTTAAGAGAAGGTAACCGTGGCTGCAATGACTGGGAATCTGATGGAATCGATTGAGAATGTCTATAGATGGAAATCCCAAAAATCCTTAGTGCTTAGAGGCCAAAGATGGTCAGTGAATCATTGTCTCTGGCTGGTAGGTGATGTCTGTTCTAGTCACTAAGCCCAATACAAATGTTCTATATTGGAACCTGTTTCCATCTTCAAAGGAAAACCAGGGGGCCGTGGGCCAGTGACAGTCTCTTCCTCTCATCCCCAGTACCCTCTGCTCTGTGCTGCCAGCCTCCAGACAGGCTGTCCATGACCCAAAGGAGAAAGCAGGCATTGTACCCTCCCGCCCTTCCCTGCCTCCCCGCATCCAAGTACCAGCCACCTAACACTCTTAGTCCTGATCCCCCTCTTCTAACGCCAACCCGCTGACTACAATGAAAGCTGGAGCTGACTGGAGGCACTGCACCAACAATCCAAATTCTTCTTCCTCCTGTGTGCGTGGGCCACGAAGGGCGTGAACAGACGACAGCCAGGAGCTTTAAGTGTGTGACCCAGGACGCTTGTCCTGCATACAGCAACCTGCTCCCAACCTGACATCCGGCACCCCCCTCAGTCAACACAGATGGCAGGCCAATGGCAGCAGCCACAGAACTCACCTCCCAGGGGCTCAGGTCGCCCAGAGGGAACCAGTCGCAGGGCCTTGCAACACAGAGGAGCAGTCCTTCAACTCAAAACCATCTTCCTTTTTTTCAGTAGCGGGAGGTGGTCGGCAGTGGAGCAAGAGCACAAAAACTACTGCAGAGTCCAGCGCGTCTGCTGCTCCTGCCTTCCTTCAACTGCAAGAAATCGGCTGTGGGGATACTTAGGGGACTGCTGATGGGATCTGCATGTCATTTATCTTTTAAGAGCATCAAAAACACTTAGTTGGACTGTTTTCATTTTCAGATCCTCCCCCTCTATTCCTAGCTCAAGATTTCTGTTTACCCATGAAAGCAAACAGGAGATGTCTCCGGATCGTGTGCGCGAGGCCACACCCGGAGGCCAGGTGTGGGTGGGTTTTGTGTCCAGTGGATGGTGTTTCTAGATGAACATGTTTTCAAAAGTAACGTGACACGGGCTCCCTGCGCAGTGACTGCATTTGGTGACGCTCCCATAATCCTATCAGCGAACTCTATCTCAGAAATACGGGGCGCCCACCCCGGCAGGGCTGTGACCGGAACCACATGCCAGTCAGGGTGGCGTCAGCCTGTGACTGTTGAGCGGCAGAAGGGAGACACCGTGATGGGCGGCACATGGAGCCTGTGCTCCCCCGAGAGCCGAAAGCCGAGGGCCGAGGATCTATTATTTATCGTCTGTCTCACTGAGGTGGGCCTTCTGGGAGTGTGTGTGAGTTGGTGACCAGCTGTTACAAATTGTTTATCCCCAAACCATTTTACAAGTCAGAACAGAAGAATCTTTGAAACTGTGAGCAAACCAGTATTTGGAGAAGCTTCTTGGTGGTGTGTGACCAGCAGCCTTCGCTTGTTTTTCTTGCCCTTTGAGGGTCAGCGCTGTCTTTTTGGCCAATTTTCCCACTGACTTAACCACATAGTCATCATAAATCTAAGTGATTGTCTCATTTGTATGGAAGCCATGGGCCCTTACTGTGCTTTGGGAACATTTAGAAAACTCTTGCCAATTGATTTTCTTTTCTTTCTTTCATTTTTAATGTAAACACTTTTTACATATCTTTCAAATAAAAATCAATGTTATAAAAATTGCCCATTGATTTTCTAAGAATAATTCTAATGACACATTTTAAAACACTGCTTTAAAGAAATATAATTTTTTTTCTTTTTTTTTTCCCCACCCCCTCCCGTCCTCCAGAAGTATAATTTTTAAAAGGACTTTGTCCCTTCCCTAACTTTCTAGCTTAAGTTTGGCAACCACTGCCTAGAGCGAAGAGGAGCAGAATATTTTAGGAACGTTCTTTCTCCTTTACCTAAAGACTTACCCTTCTGATTTCCGGGTGGCGTGCGGGGCTGCAGAGGAGAGCGGCTCTCTCGACCGCCAGCATGGAGAGTTTGTACCGAGTCCCATTCTTGGTGCTGGAGTGCCCCAACCTGAAGCTGAAGAAGCCGCCCTGGGTGCACGTGCCCTCGGCCATGATGGTGTACGCTCTGGTGGTGGTGTCTTACTTCCTCATCACCGGAGGAATAATTTATGATGTTATTGTTGAACCTCCAAGTGTTTGCTCTATGACTGATGAACACGGGCATCAAAGACCAGTAGCCTTCTTGGCATACAGAGTAAATGGACAATATATTATGGAAGGACTTGCATCCAGCTTCCTGTTTACAATGGGAGCTTTAGGTTTCATAATCCTAGACCGATCCAATGCTCCAAACATTCCAAAACTCAACAGATTTCTTCTTCTATTCATTGGATTCGTCTGTGTCCTATTGAGTTTTTTCATGGCCAGAGTATTCATGAGAATGAAACTGCCGGGCTATCTGATGGGTTAGCGTGCCTTTTGAGAAGAAATCTGTGGATACTGGATTTGTTCCTGTTAATGAAGTTTTGAAGGTGGTACCAAGCCTCTGCTATGAAATATGGAAAAGAATGAAAAGCAGCAGAAAAGAAGCATCTAGTAGGAAACATGGAAACATATTAAAGCTCGGACTAGAATATCTTCTTGGTATCAAAGAGACTAGCTTATACAGTGTTTTTTCCTGCTGACCTACACTGACATACCCATGTTAAGTGGCATTTTCTTCTCGGTTTTTAATTTAAAGAAAATGTACTCCATTTCTACACCTGTAATATTGAATAGAGTAATTATTTTTTACAACCATCTTAACATTATTTTGGAGATGACATTTCTGACTCAGAAATGAATGTAAAATCAGGAAGCAAGATCCCATAAGCTGGGAACTCTGAACAGCTGAGCAGTTTTACCTGTGGTGCTTTGCCTTTAAACAGTGTGTGTACTAGCACATTATTTCAGATGTGTATGTAAGACTGTTTCCTGAACAATAAGGTGTATGAAAGGATCAGGGATAAAGAATTTTTCTAATTAAAAAAAAAAAAAAAGATTTACCCTTCTCTCCCCTGCCTTTCACCCCCAGGCGAAAGGAAGAGCATTGACTTAAAATTATAAAATAAGAAAAATATAAGGAATAAAACGTCAAACATATTATAGATGCCTGATCTATGCTCCTCAAGATGATTTTGAAAAAAGTCTATCCTTGCATTAGGAAGAAACAATCTAGGGGATGCCTTAAGGAATGCCTGTGGTCAGGGGGTGGCCAGTTGGAAAGCGTGGTGAGTAGAAGCAATGAAGTGAATTTATGGACCCTGACATGGTCGCGTGACTCAGTATTCCTAAAAGCTCCACTGTTCTCTGCAGCTCCCCCTCACCCCACCCCGGGCGTGCGAGCAAGTGCCTGGGGGAGGGCTGCACAGGCTTCTTGGAAGGAACCTGAGCTACCCCCTGAGCTAACCGGGAGGTGAGGCGCCTCTAAAGCACTTGCTTTGTTCTTTATGCCTCTGAGGTTGGGGTCCTACCCAAGTCCTGCTGATGAAAGAAAAATATTTTGGGAAGGGTCAGTGACATCCATCTGAGGTGGAGCCTACCACTAAGGCAGAAAGAATTCTAGATGATACAATTTTGATGTGTGTGATCTGCCTGTCAAAAGGTACCTCTGGGCACATTTGCAATCCCATAATTAAGACTGACAACAGCATCATAAAGCAGTGGGTATTTATTATCTTCAATCGCTTCTCGGCCTTTTGGCTAAGATCAAGTGTAGTATCTGTTCTTATCAGTTTAATATTATCTTCAGAGGAGGACATCCCGGACGCATCCTGTCCTAAAGGCACGCAGACTCTTAGAAGTGAGACACGTGGGGGAGTCATGAGCGCCTCACTTCCTTTCCAAGCAACCCGCCCTACTAAGTGATGTTTGGAATGACGGGGTAGGAACAGGTCTCGTTGTGCAACTTCTTTTCCACGTGACCCCACGTGAGTGGGAAGCCCTTGACTGCTGGTACCAGGCAGCCCCCAGACCTGCTGACAGCAGTGATAGTGTCCGCCTGCAGGAGAACACGGGCCGTTTCCCGGCCCAAGCCCTGAACCACTTGCTTCTGTTTTTCATCAGCTTCTTAAACCTCCTTCTTTGTTCCACAGGCCCTAAAGGGTTGCCATGCTCGCCTGCCTTTACCAACTCCGTCCCGGATTGAAGGTGGGGCGTCCGCATCCTGGAACCTTCTCAGTCGGGGATGTTAGTCACCCAGCGTAGGACAGAGTCCCTCACCTGCCAGGCCCCTACCCTCTCTGTTATCCCCTCACCCCAAGCACTTAGTCCTGTTTCCTAGCTAAGTCGTTTGTCTAGACAGCCACCACCAGGAAGTGACAGAGGCACACTTACGGGGAATATACAAACCCACGGTCATTTTTTTCTTAGTTTTTAAACTTTGTTACTGCTTTATGTTTTTCTGCTTATTGTAGAAGATGTGAAAAATAGAGAAAAGTGTAGCATCAGAATGCTTCAGTAGAATTCTTTCTAGTGTTTATTAAACGTTTTGCATAGCTGGGCTTGTAACATATAGTTTTGCAACATGCTTTCAAAAAATGTAATATCAAGAGCATTTCCCATGTTATTAATAACTTTGAAATAAGTACATGTTTTCATAGTTATATCCACTGCATAGCTGTACTGTAATTAATCATTTCCCTAAGACAGTTTTTGTTGACCTGAAAATGCTTTTCTTTCACTCTTTTTTTTTATTGTTTTATTGCTTAAAGTATTACAAAGAGTATTACACATTTCTCCTTTTTTCCCCGCCCTTAACAATCCCCCGGCCTCCCCTACCCCCCAGTGTCTTATGTCCATTGGTTATGCTTATATGTCACTCTTTTTTTTTTTAATATATTTTATTGATTTTTTACAGAGAAGAAGGGAGAGGGATAGAGAGTTAGAAACATCAATGAGAGAAATCGATCAGCTGCCTCCTGCACGCCCCCTACGGGGGATGTGCCCGCAACCAAGTTACATGCCCTTGACCGGAATCGAACCTGGGACCCTTCAGTCCGTAGGCTGACGCTCTATCCATTGAGCCAAACCGGTTCGGCTATATGTCACTCTTGTTTTTGAAATATATTTCCACTGGTTAAATAATCCAATGCTGACAGTCATTTTCTATGATATATCAAAGATATTCTCGCCCTAGCCGGTTTGGCTCGGAGGATAGAGTGTCGGCCTGTGGACTCAAGGGTCCCAGGTTCAATTCCAGTCAAGGGCATGTACCTTGGTTGTGGGCACATCCCCAGTAGGGAGTGTGCAGGAGGCAGCTGATCGATGTTTCTCTCTCATCGATGTTTCTAACTCTCTATCCCTCTCCTTTCCTCTCTGTAAAAATTTAATAAAATACATATTTTTTAAAAAAGATATTCTCCTCTGGTTTACATTTCGCAGTTGCAAAGTCACCTGTCAGCCTGACTGTTGTTCCACCGGGCAGTATATACTTTCTATATCCGCATACATCTTCAGCTAGACTCAATTATTAAGTATTTCTCTCTCTCTTGCTGAACCGTTTGAATGTAAGTTGCAGAATTCATGGTGCTTTCTGAAATATTTAAACATTTTTATATGTTCAGCTTGCCTTTCCTAAAAATAAAGACATTCTCCCATCGAAACATAATTCCGTGTTAGTAAAAAAAAAAACTAACTGATTTCATAATCTCATCTAATATACAGTCTATATTTAAACTTCCCCAAGTGTTTCTTAAAATGACTTTTATGGTTCCCCTCCTCTCTCTCTCCCTCTCTCTCTCTGACTCAGGACTCCATCAAGATTCATCTTTTTTGGTTTGTTTCTTTTCATGACAATAATGTTTACGAAGAGTGAGTCTGGGCTAGTTGTCACGTATTCTGTCTCAAATTCCGAATTTGTTTCAGAGTGTGCTTTTAAAAATATACACAAATGAAGATATTCCCACGCTTAAAATCTTCCATTGGCAACTAGAACATTTAGAAAAGAAAGCCCAAACACGTAACCCTGGCTTGCGAAGGCCTGGGGATTTGGGGTGACCTTACCGCGAATCCTCTCCTCTCCCTCACTTCACTTAAGGCCAGGTTCTCAGCCCCACTGAGCGTGTCCTCACAGGACTTTGCATTAGTCATGCCCTTTGCCTAATGTGCTCTCCCCTGAGCTTTGCTTGGAAGTTGGCTCCTTCTTATACTTCAAATCTCAGTGTGAACCCCATCCTCTCAGAGTGGTCTCTCCTACCTTGACCCTCAGTCACCCACCTTCACATCACCCTACCTTCACTTCTCCTCGTGATACCTCTCACAACCAGATATCTTTCTTGTTATTTTTCTTGAACTCCAGAAGAGCAGGGGCTGGGCTCTGTCTGGCTCATTGCTGTGTTCCCAGCACCCAGAACAGTTCCTGACACGTAGCCGACTCTAAATACTTGCTGGATATTGTAATGAATAAGCTGAAAGTTGAGGGCTGAAAAGAAGCCAGCCATTGAGAGAGGCCGGGGGGAAATATCTAGGCAGAGGGAGCTGCCAGGGAGGAGGCCCTGAGAGAAAGAACCCTGAGGCTCGGTCTGTTAGGGCCTGCGACCTCCTGTGTGTGGAGGGGACAGGGACATGCAGGAGCACAGAGGTGACCAGGACCAGGGGACAGAGTGCCCTGCGGGCCATGGGAGGGAACTGCGATTTTATTTTAAACCAAAGGTGAGGCCGCTACAGTTTTTCAAGTAGGAGATTGACATGATCTGATTTGCACCTTTAAAGACATCACTTAAAAGATAATTCAACTTGAGATGGAGATAACTAATATGAGTGATAGAAAGCCACATGCATTCGCGAGTCATGGTTTACTGGGACATGCTCAACCTGATAGCACTTCCTTCGTGGCTTTCGGATCAGCAGGCAGAGAAGAACTTATGAGTAAGAAGGAATCTTATCTGCCTTTGAGACAGCGCAGTCAGCTCATTCTGTGCCTGATATTTAAGTAGTTGTTGATAATAATAATAGGTACCCTTTATTGAGCAGCCACCCCACGGAAAGAAGATTTATTATTTGTGTTTTGCAGTTGAGGCTAAAGAGGAAAGGTGACGACTTGTTCATGGTCAGCCAGCCAGTAAATGGTAGCTTGATGCCAAAGCTGCTGTTTTAACCTATTTGCCATCAGGCGTTCCTAAAAAGAGAAATGGTGTTTGGATCGGTGGTTCTGACCATATTCAAAGAGACACTGAAACGGGTTTCTTTAACAGATCCTTAAGCAGTAGGAACATTTAAATGTCATTTCGGTGGAGAAATGTATGAGAAATAGATTCTTTGGCCGGAGAAACTGTAAGTCTTGGTATTTTTATGAAGGAGAACAAACAGACCTTTATTAAAAAAAATAACTTGCTCTGGAGAGGAAGTGCATGGGAGGAAGCTCTCCGTCCCGGCGTATTTGGAGCGTGGCGGCCTGTAACCCAGGACAGCTGCCGCCGGGGTCCCGGGAGCCGCGGAGTTTGCTTGTTCAGGACCCGGAGCGCCCCCAGCACTGAGCCGCCTGGTCCCCCCACGGCCCCGTCCCCGCACCGAGCCCCTGTCTTAACCCGCGGAGCCCGCCGGGTGCTCGCCCTCGGGCCTGGGCGAGCCTGGGGCCGGGGGCACTGGCGTGGGGCTCCCATCGTTTAGGGGTCTGGTCCGACCCGCTCTGAGCGCTTCCTGGGCGATGCTTGCCGCTCCGCCCACCCATCCGTGTTGGAAGAAGAAACAGGAAAGCAACTTGGCCTGTGGCCGCGGACAGGTCCCGGAGCGGGAAGGGCCCACTCCCCCGTTTCCCCTCTCCTCCTCTCCTGTCCCCTCTTCTCTCCCCAGTTCGGCTCCGACACGCCAGCCACGCCCCCGCCCGCCCCCGGCCTGCCATTGGCTGGTCCGAAAGACGCGGGGCGTTGTCGGTTTGAATGGGAGCGCCTGGCGCTCGGCGCTCGGCGCAGGCGCAGAGGGAGCGGGAGGGGCGGGCGGCGCTGCGAGACCCCCAGGCGGCGTGAGACCAGCGGGCGGCGAGGGGAGCCCTGGGAGCTCTGGCTCACGTGACCGGCCGGGGGCGGGGCCCGGGGCGGGGGGCGCGCGCCGGCCGGCGGAGCTGCCCTTGTCTGGCCTGGTTCCCGCGGCGCGGCGACCGGCCCGGGGGAGGGGACGCCACCCGTCAGTCGCCCGAGGCGTCCGCTGTTGCAGCGCCGCGTTCTCCGCGCTCTCCCGACTCGCCGGCCCGCGGGAGGTGAGTGGCGAGGGGCGTCTGAGGGCGCCCCGCGGAGGGAGGTGGCCCGGGGTGTGGGTGCGGGCGGCGGGTTCTGGGTCCGGGGCCCGGGGTCCGGGTCCGGGTCGGGACGACCGCCTTTGTTCGGGGCGGACCGCGGGGACCCCGGGACGACAGCCCGCTGCGGTCTTGGAGACTTTAAAGTGCGAGTAAAGCGTGACAGTTGCGCTCGCCGATGTTTTAAGATAAAAAGTGGAACGGGGTGCAGTGCGTTCTCGTCTAGTCCGAGTGTGAGCCCCGGGAATCGCACCGCGGCCGGTTGCCTTCACCTGTAGCCGGGCGGGGGCTCCGCCGGCGGGTGGGTTGTCAGACACCTGCGTCCCCCTTCATCGACGCCACCTGTCGATCCGCCTTGGCGATGGTAATCGCTGCGGAGTGTCGGTCAGCGCGGGCTGTCCTGGCGCGGCCACAGGTGCAGCCGCGTTTTCTTGTTCGATCCGTCTGACCAGGGTCGTTTGAAATCAGCGGGAGAAAACGCGTGAGGACAGACGTGCTGCCTCGGTGCGTAATTTCCCCCGCGGAGAGGCAGGCGGAGGGGGCCCCGGGCTGGAGGAGACGCCGGGAGTGGGGGTCAGCTCGCCCCGAGCCGAGCGCAAGCGGCCGCCGAGAGGAAGGGTTAGGCCGGTAACCGCCGGGGCGCTGCCCCCGATGCTGACGCCCAGGCCTGCTTGTCCCTCTGCGGGAAGCAGCGTGGGTTGATGGTTCAGAGTCGAGTCGGCAACACGCGGGGAAGGTCGCTGCTGGTGGCCCGTGTGTGGAGTGGGGGCCGGGGAGTGGGGACCCGAGTCCCACCTGCGCCTCCACACCCTCCCCGGGCCCCGGCGAGCTCTCCGGCCGTTCACACGCGGACGGGAGCGGATCCAAGTGCAAGTCCTGGGACACTGTGGTCGTGGCGGTTCCCCCTTCAGCGGTTCTCAACCTTCTGGCCCTTTAAATACAGTTCCTCTTGTTGTGACCCGACCATAAAATTATTTTCGTTGCTACTTCATAACTGTCATGTTGCTACTGTTATGAATCGTCATGTCAATATCTGATATGCAGGACGGTCTTAGGCGACCCCTGTGAAAGGGTCGTTCCACCGCCAAAGGGGTCGCGACCCACAGGTTGAGAACCGCTCCAAGCCCTCTTCGGCCAGACCTGCGGTTGTGTTTTCTTCTGTTATTTAATCAGCATTCGGTGCTGCACATGTTATATTGTTACATAAATCTCAGACTTGGTACCAGGCTAATGGCAGCAAAGATAGGATATAGCTTTTTTACAATGGCCTTGTTCTTAAACATAAAGCATTTCTAAGATTTACTGAAAAGATGAAATTTTGTAATTCTCAGGAATTTCAAAATCGAAAACCTGCCACAGATTTAGACTATTCTAAACCTAGTTTAATGGCCGTGTCCTTTTTAAATAACATTAATAGTAAGTAACAGTAACTATTCCGATTATTGCTACTGTACTCGATCGAGTACTTTTATTAAGTACCAGAGCCAGGCCCTGGGTTAGGTGCTTAACATATCCTGTCTCATCACAACACATGTTGCCTGAGTATCATTATGCCCAAACCTCCTTTGAGGGTCCAACCAGCTTAAGGCCTTGAGACGACTAAGTCACTGCTGGGATCGGACCAGGCCTGGCCCCGCACAGGCTGCATTGTCTCTGGATTCCATCTGAGGGACAGAGTCCCGTTTGATGCCTGCAAGTGCTGTGCTTTGTTGTGAACGGGGCAGACATCTTCTATCCTTTTTTTTTTTTTAGAACTGCTTTCTTTTTTTTTTCAATACCTTATACACCACATAAAATTTTCAGTATCCCTTTTAATCATTTTTATGTATGTGCTGCCAAAGCGAGCACTTAATCATCTTTATAAAAAGAGTAAAAAAAATATAAGTTTTTCCTGAGTTATTTACATGAATATGAATGCACTCTTTACTGTGGAGACGAAATATGTTAAAGTATTGTTTTCTCAATATTATAGGATTCTTTGCTGCTTTATAGTTCTTCCCAGGCAAGAAGTGAAAAAAAAAGTTTGTGGGATATCAATTATGTGTAAAGATTTTGCTTCTGGAGTTTTTGCAGTGTCTTTTTAATTATTTTTTGTTTTTATTGATTTCAGGGAAGAAGGGAGAGGGAGAGATATATAAACATCAATGATGAGAGAGAATCATTGATCGGCTGCCTCCTGCACGCCCCCTACTGGGGATCGAGCCAGCAAACCCAGGCATCAGTCTGCAGGCTGATGCTCTACCCACTGAGCCAAACCGGCTAGGGCTTTGCAATGTCTTTGCCTTTCTCCCTGCCCTGCCCTGTATGTTGCTGCCAGGTTATCGTCCTCACACAAATCCAGCTTTGCTATTCCTTTGCTGAAAAAATGATAAGGTTCCCCATTATGTAAATGCAAGGCCAAACATGTGTGTCAGCCACAGACATAGTCAGAGTCCCTCATAATTTGGTACCTTCTCTGACTTCTCTTGCCCTGTGCCTAACCCAAAGGGCTTGTCCTGGGACACATTCTGTGTTCCCTCCTCCTGGCTTTTTTGGAGCCATTTCCTCTATTTTCCTAATAAGGCCTGTCCTCCTTCAAGGTGCAGTACAGATTTTATTTCTTCCAAAAAGCGTTCCTTAGTCCTTTTTTACTCAGAATTAGTCTTCCCATATCACCTCATGATATTACTGAGTTGAATAGAATCATTTTTGCAGAGAAAGGTATAACTTTTGGGAGGAGAAGAGAGTTATATTTTCCTGTGAAAAATTCTAAATTCAAACTCTTTAGGGATCCCATTTAAGCACTTGGGATTTATTTCTGCTTAAAAATGTATTTGAAAGCAGTTTTGCTTTGTTCACGTCCTGTTAAGAGAACTGATTTATTGTCACTTATTAACTTAAGAACAATGCTCAGTTGAAAGGACCACTTTTCTACTTCACTGTTGAGTTGTTCACATATGCATTTAATAATTGATTTAAGCTGATGGCTGACCAGCATGGGTAGTAGTAAGTGGCCGTGGGCCACATGCTCTGGTGACTTGATAACCAATTTTTCTAAAGTTGTGTCCTCCCCATTGTTTACTAATAAGTGTTTCTCTTTTTCTGGTTCGGTCATGTCTTCATAAGACTTTTTAAAATTTTACTTCTTTGAACTTCTATTAATTGCCTCATGTTTGTCTGGTAATTTGTGTGGGCCCTAAAAAGATAAAAACAAAATAAATTTATATTTATAAACAAACAATTACATACAGTACATACAGATCAAAAAGGGTAGGGTTTTTTTTGTGTGTGTTTGTTGTTGTTTTTTTAGAAGTTGGGCTTAGTGTGAATGGCCAATGTTTGTGGATTGCAGACATTTTCTTGTGATCCCCTGTAACCTCAGAAGCCACTTGGGAAGCACTGGACATGTAATTGGCATTGATGAAAGCTTAGAGTGTCTTTTGTTAAAGTTGTCTTTGCGTCTTTTATAACCTTGATATTATAATACTTCTATGTATCCATAGACTTTTGGGTTTATAATAATTAACTAGAAATCTCTTTCCTGCCCAGCCTGCGTGGCTCAGTGGTTGAGTGTTGACCTATAACCCTCTGTTCTAGCTTTAGAATTGGTTGATCCACTGCTTTTACTAAGTGTTTGCCTTTGTCTGTGAGAATTTTCTTCTTTCCTATATATGTTTTAAAATATATTTTTATTGATTTCAAAAAGGAAGAGAGAGAGAAATACCAATGATGAGAGAGAATCATTTATTGGCTGCCTCCTGCACGCCCTCCACTGGGGATGGAGCCCACAACCCCAGCATGTGCCCTGGCTGGGAATCGAACCTCGGCCTCCAAGTTCACAGGATGACACTCAACCACTAAGCTATGCTGGCTGCGCTCCTATATTTTCTTATTCATATTTCTTATCTATTCTTAAAGAAGTTCCTTTAACATTTCTTGTAATACTGGTTTCGTGATGAACTAAACTAGTGATAAACTCCGTTAGCTTCTTATTGTCTGTGATCACAATTGGAAATCTTGTAAGCTCTCTGCTACTGCTTGCCTTTGCCTCTCACATCCCAATGGCACCGCGTCCCTTTTCTCCAGGTGCTCTGAGCCGACGACAGAACCAAGTACCAGCCGTTCTCGGACCTGACCTGACTTTCTTCCGACATAATTTCCCACCTCAGTCATATATTCTGATGTCAGAATATTTCTTGCCTTTAACTGGCTTCTTGTCGCCTCCACACTAAGACCACGTCTGAACTTTCTCCTTGTTGGACTTTGCTTACTACCCCGTGCTTTTTCCTGTGTCTTCTCACATTTCTCTGTGTAAACTTCCTGCTTTTACCTTCCTGCTCTGGATTTTGCACGGGCTGTTCCTTATACTTGTCATCTCGTTTCCACTCTATCTTTCAGATAAAATGTAACTAGAAATAGAAATTTGGGTTCTGCAACAGGCCATATTTTAGTTCATCTAAAAGTAAGTCTATTTATAGATACGTAAGTTGACAGAAATAACCAGTCTGCTAGGGTAGTTACTTGAGTTAATTCAGAAGTGGGTATTTGGGCATCCTACTTTATTTTATTTATTTATTTATTAAAAAATATTTTTATTGATTATTTACAGAGAGAGGTATAGAGAGTTAGAAACATCAATGAGAGAGAAACATAGATCAGCAGCCTCCTGCACACCCCCTACTGGGGATGTGCCTGCAACCAAGGTACATGCCCTTGACCAGAATCGAACCTGGGACCCTTCAGTCTGCAGGTGGATGCTCTATCCACTGAGCCAAACCAGTTAGGGCTTATTTATTTATTTTAAAATATATTTTTATTGAATTGAGAGAGGAGGGGAGAGGAGAGAGAAACATCAATGAGGAGGAGGAATCATTGATTGGCGGCCTCCTGCATGCCCCCTACTGGGGATCGAGCCCGCAACCCAAGCATATGCCCCTGACCAGAATCAAACCTGGGACCCTTCAGTCCACAAGCTGACCCTCTAT